CATAAGTTGTATCGTATAAAAGTTACATTGGATTGATCGCGGTAAAGTGATAATCCCTGTATATATATATAGTTTTCGATCAATGCGTATATCAGAAGATGATAATTCAACTATTGTAAAAAATGAATTGAAAATCATTAGCTACCTCAATTCTGAACCAGTTCGTGGAACATAAAGAATCAGCTAATTAACAACAATTAAGAAGTGCGTAATTGATACACATGGTACAAACTCACCATCGTTAGCTTTATCGAGAAACTGTCCTGTCAGAAGTGTGATAAATTTTGATTACCTCAACAGTTCTTATCATGAAAAAAATTATGGTTCGTTATCGTATTTATACCTACTCATCAGGTGATTCCTGAAATGAATCCGTGCTTTGAATTTTTTTGATTAAATACCTAGTGGTTTAGTTGGCTCTTATTCGGGAATAGCATATATTGCCAGTGCCGTAGATACAAAGATAAATGAAATCTGCCCATTTTGAATGAATTGAAATATCTGTGATGTCCATTAATAATGACTTATATTATACAGGGTGTTTCCTAACCTCTCTGACATCAAAATGAATGAAGCGAATTCTCACTCAATTTTAATGCAAAAGTTTTTTTTCCGAATTCAATTCAATAATAGAGTGAATGATTTCGAGATTCACCTTTAAGTATTGAAGGCATTCTATAAATATTATTGAAATCGTATCAGCAGATGAAAGTGTCTCAAATTTGCAAAAATCATAATTTTCAGGGCATACTATGTTTTTGTTGTGTTAGAAATTGTGAATTATCATCAGCGAATTTTTTAGTGAAATTCGACTTCACCACTGGGAATAATGCAGACAAATTTTGAGAAGCGGCAACATTGTCAACACACATGTAGGAAATAATTTGTCTAAAATATCTATATGAAAAATGGTATATTAATGTTGTTATAACTTCGTTTTCATCAAAATTTTACAATGAAATTTTGCGATTTAGCTGATTGAAGGATGCTGAATACAGTGGTGGAGTCAAATTTTCTTGAAATAAATCGCTAATGGTATTTTACAATTTTTAACATGAAAAAAAAAGTATGCCCTGCAAATTGGCATTATATATTTTGCAAATTTGTGCAAACCTACATCTGTAAAAAAAAAATCGATCGGGTGAAAACTGTAGATTTTATAAGGGTGCGCCGGTCTTAAGTGGGTCATACTGTGCATACATATATTTGTATATATATATGTTATACTCCTACTATATCATATGTAGTCAAAAGTTTTGAAATTCCAAAATTTCATTGTTGAACTTCTGGAAGATATAACTTCAACATTTTTCTCACTAGTATAGTATATAGGAATCATTGAATAAAAATGTATCAAATATATCTTTCGTGTATTGAAATAAATAAGAAAAAATACTTTGGATTCCAAACATAGTAACAAATATTAAGACGTACATAAGTAGGTATGTCCATATGCCCCTTTCATATCATAATGCTACACTCACACTTCACCAATTGAGTTCGTTTAAAAAGCAAAAAACAACTCAATCAAATCGTTCGTCTCGCTTAATGTAAAAATAATACAATGAAAATCAGTGACAACGGACTTCAATTTAATAAAGGGTATTGCCCTATATATAATTAAAAGCGTTCTTTAAAAGAGAATAGTTGGTTCCTACATCAAATGAGATACATGGTGATTTAATCAGAAACTTTTTGATAGAGGTAATGAAAAAATGTTACGAGGAAAACTCATGTTTGCCCTGAATTGTTGATGAAAAACAGAATTTCGAACAGAAAAACTAGTGGAATTTCTAGTTTGTGTATTCAAGACATACTTAAACCTAACCTACAGACTTTTCTATTCAGCATCAAAATTGGGCGAATGGGCTGATAATGAATTATTGGCATTATGTAAATATGTATTATGTAAATAATGAGTGGAATGAATGGTGGGTCAGTGTTTATGCTGTTTCGTTATTGGTCAGAAAATCTTCCATTTCCACTCATGAAGCAAGGTTTTCAAGTTACCAAAATAGAAGGAACCCATGATATTATAGATCATTCTTGACTTTCTTGAGTCTCGGCAACATTGTGCTGTATGCTGAGAACTGACAAGACCACGCCCACAAGTCGTGGGCCGTATTGTAACGTTCATCGATTCAAATGTCCTCTAGTGTGAATTAATATAATGATTATTTACACAAATAAGCAATAAGTCACAAATCATAAGGGAACATTTTGAGACAATTGAATTTTTATCACTAACTATAGGAATATTACCAATACTCAATTGAGAATTTATGAATTATTGAATAACTAATATCTCTGAAGTTCCCAAACGTATTTCAACACATGGCAACTGTGCTATGGTCTGCTACTGCTACTTACGAAATCGCAGCGTTAATTTTTAGTGGCAATAAATTTCTAGCCGTATGAAAATTACAGTGGCATTATTTATGATTTTAGCACCTAAAAATTGACCGAAAAATTCTTAAATGTGTAACAACCTCACCAAAAGATGTAAGTTTCTTTTGTAGAATCCATGTGACCTAATGATAAATTGTTTGTAGTATATCCCTGATGATGGAAATATAATATTCTGAAAGCTTGAGCAAACTTTAAAGAGTACTCTTTACACTTTGCTGCATTCCCCTGATTAACCTACTTTTACCACTAACTATAGTCAGCAACGACTATACCCTCTCACATTATATATAGATTTCAATATGATGGGGTAGATTGGAATTATAAACCAAAATCGGATGCCTGTACAGCTTTTTTGGAGCCATACAATTAATCAGTTCTTAGCTATAACAGGTCTAGCCTCAAGGTGAAAATTTTGCATTTTTCTCACTATTCGCATAGATGAACAATGAAAAAAGCAATTAACAACTTCACTCGAGCAGGCATACAACTGAATTTACATATCTATAGATTTCATACTGATATAGGTATCTTCGTCACAATATGGTCACAATGTAGCTACAAAATATGGATAACACCTATCCCAATACCTGGATATACAATTCCTATTTGAGGAGGGCGTATTTTATATCATCTCATTATACATTTCTGGCTCCAAAGCCCTATGGATAAGTACCTATACTGTCTCCGACCTATAGGATTTAAAATTATTTTTTGCAACTAGGTCTAAAATCCCGTGGAAAAAGGGAAAATATCTGGCTTGCAACTGAAGCTGTTCATCTATTTACCATTAACTTCTAAGTAGTAAAGAAGTTGATTGATGTATCTACTTATATAATCCAGTTTCTAATCATTACTTCCAACACCTATGTTTAGGCTTATATTCGTTATCATTGAAGCAAGGAGAAACATTGCTTAATGGATGACTGTTTTCGATGAATCTGTATGATAAGAACAATAGGAAACATCAGACAATGCTGTATAACAAAGAAGAGATCCTTTTTTTTTAGTAATGAAATTAGTCGATTTACCTAATAGAAACAGTTTAATAGGTATAGTGATTTATGAATAATAACATGGAGCCCATCAGGGTTGTTCTCAATACCTATATTGTTTCCCGAAATGTCAATATTTTTTCATCATATCCACCTATACTGAGCCACCTACCTATCAGAAGTTTTCTTGATATAAATTCATGACAGAACATTGGTATATATATTTTTATCCATCATAACTTTAATGCAGTTATATATATATTTCACAATCATTAATCATTATCATTCACTGATTATTATACTGGAACGTTGGCACTGACAGTCAATAACCAATAAATAAGCAACCATATGGCATTTTTCACATCACCACACAATCAACTCCATTTTATTACATTTTAAATGGTTATTATTTCCAGTGATGAATATATGTAGATTTCGGTTCTCAACTGGTGTTAAATGAGCTCGGAATTTAATCAGGTGACAATCGTGAGATTTCTAAATCAAGGAAAATGTTTGTTCAATTGTTCATAATGTGAAATCACCCGCAAATATTGCAAGGTGCAAGACATGGTAAAGGAGCCCCTTTGCATCGGGGTGTCCCAGAAAAAAGTACCGAAACACCTACCGGGTGGTGAACTAAAGGTACAAATGAGCCAATTCAATTCATATTCAAATTAAAAATCTCATAGACAAATAATTAGGATGAATGTGCATAAGTAATTAAGCCTATAGTCGATGTGCAGGGAGATGAATATTTCTAATTTTTTTACAAAAGAGAACCTTTTATAATCATTTATTTTATTTTTCTCTAATTTCCACCTACCCGAAATTATCATGCATGATATAAAATCAATTTCAGTGTCTATCCATTCTGTCCATTATCCACCATGGCCGATCTATCCCAAAGTTATATACAAGCGGTGTTCCGAAATTCGACCGACAACGCTTGCCAAGTGACATCCCTCGTGATATATATACGTTCTTCAAGTCCTTGGTTCTCGAAAAGTTCAGAAATGAAAATGTTTTTTTCACAATAGCTCAAGAATGGTTGAATATTTCCTATTCAAATTCGGTGTATGGTGTTTCATCTCTAAGAGTTCATTATTGTTCAATTCCGTTCAAAAAAGCATCTTCAACTGAGCTGCAGAAGAGTTCAGCTAGAGAAGATGCATTTTTGAACAAAATTGAACAATGAATTCGATTAATTGAGAATGATCGAAGTTTCATCAGTGGCGTAGAAAATATGGGAGGAGAAGATTCTACAGCGCCCTATAGCGCACCACTGGATGAAATGTCCGGAATGACTTTCTGGTCAAAAAATGACCTATTCATCAGAGATGAAACCATTTACCGAGTTTGAATAGTTGAGTTATTGTGAAAAAACAATTTCCATTTCTCAACTTCGACATCCTGTATCTCGAGAACTAAAGACTTGAAGAACCTGTCAAGCGTTGTCGGTCGAATTTCGAAGACAATCTGAATAAATCAACTCTTAGAAGAGCTCTCCGGCCCCCTTCCCAATGAAATATTCACGTTTGTAATGCTGTCCACATTTTCTCAAACAAATCAACTTCAACCCCGATCATTTTTTCGTTCCAGCGCTTCGCATAGCACCCTCGTCCGCTGCCCCCATTGAGAGCCGCCCCACAGCCAGCCCCCCCCATTCAAGGACAAACTTCGGTCGCCGAGACACAAAACCAACGCCGCCTATATCGTAGAATGGTAGAAGGTGAACCGCAAACAAAGCACAAGCAAGCCTGTGATGTAAAAGACGAGCGCCTGCTGAACGGCTGCGGATCCAAAGATCTCGAGCTAGCGACCCTAGGGGCGACCAAGGACCTACCCGTCAAACTAAATCCGGATGCGGACAAGAACAGCGACAAAGCGGACTTCGAAAAAGCCATAGAACTAACTAGGTGAGTAGTGTATGGCCAGGCAGATGCCATGATCTTGAAACGATCAGGAAACACCACACACTCTAGATACAGGACCATAAATGATGTATGGTCTAAGCTCAGTATTGGGACGTAAGAGAGCGGTGCGCTGTGCGTCTCTTTTCAAGAATATGCCGTGGATTTCACCGACTCTGATATTATTGTTCATTATTATTATTATTCAACAATCAGCACAGCCGATAAGCCGTCAGTTTGTTACGTCCCAACGGAGCATTGCCAATTTTCACACGGTCATTTTCTATCTAAGAATGGCCGATGCCATGACTTTCATAACTATCAGAAAACACTACAGAGATTATACACACTCTATATAGATAGATCGACACTACAAGTGTAAGAATGGGCCACGTTCAATTGGAACGTCCCAACGGATTGTTGCCGATTTTCACACGGATGTTGTCTATCTCAAGAATGGACAACGCTCAGTTGGGACGTAACAGAGCGAAGGCTATAATCCGCTGTGCGTATCTTTTCATTGATACGCCGTGGATTTTACCGACTCCAATATCGATATTTGTGCAAAGAATCAGCACAGCCGCCAGTCTGTTACGTCCCAACAGAGCGTTTTCAATGTTTATAAAGTCGTTGTCTATCTGGAGTGACAGTATATTTTTATAACATTTTTTTTTATGTTCAGATATGGAAAATTTCATTTCCTCCTACTAGCAGTATGCGGCTTCGTGAGCACCTCGGAGGAGATGGACGTCATCTCGATGTCGTTCATCCTCCCTTCGGCCCAATGCGACCTCAACCTCAACACGAAGACGAAGGGCTGGCTCAACTCGATCATCTTCATCGGGATGATGGCAGGGGCGTACGTGTGGGGGTCGGTCGCGGATTTCCTGGGACGTAAGAAGGTGCTCATCGTGAGCTCCTTCATGAACGCTCTGTGCATAGTAGCTTCGAGCTTCTGTCAGTCTTATGAGCTGTTCATGGTGTTCCGATTTTTGAATGGGGCGGCGTAAGTACCTTTCCTTCATTCATTTCAGTCTCTATTTTCTCACGGGTTCGGAATGTTCTGAATGATTCCAGTCAGGGTTCATTTGGAATCTTTCCATCAGGATCATATTATAAAAGTGAACATAAAACGTGAACATGCGTGACAGAAGCACACTCAATCTTTATATGTTTTATCAAGTAAAATACTAAGTACCTAATTTACTTCCGATCAAACCAGGAACTGCGAGTAGTGATCCCCCATTGGGCTTATTAGATAGAGTAGAAAATTCTATTTGAACTCTATAGATTTCAATTCCACACCCCAAGATTGTCCAGAGATATGGAAACAAGCTTTTCTATAGAGGATAACAGTCAGCATTGTACCCAAATGTCATCATTCAAGATGTTTTTTTTTTCTATTTCAGGTTAGGGGGCAGCGGACCAGTGATATGGTCGTACTTTGCAGAATTCCAACCGAAGTCCAAAAGAGGCTCCATGCTATCCTTCATGGCGGCCTTCTGGACTTTGGGTAACCTATTTGTAGCCGGTTTGGCATGGCTTATCATTCCGTCAGAGATCGGCTTCAAAAACCAATATTTCGTATACAACTCCTGGAGAATATTTCTCCTGATTTGCTCATTTCCTTCATTCATCGTAGCAGCGCTACTTTGCTTCCTTCCGGAGAGTCCCAAGTTCCTGCTTTCTCAAGGAAGAAGTGAAGAGGCTATCACCATATTTAGATACATTTATCACGTCAATACTGGAAACGATGCCGATGACTATCCAGTTAAACATCTCATCTATGAACAAGAAGAACTCACCGTTGAGGAGAAGGCCAAGATAGCTAGTAGAGGAAAATTCCAGAACATGATTGTTGATATCCTGGATAACAGCAAACAACTCTTCATATCTCCTATTTTGAGATTCACGATTATCTCCATCACTATCAATTTCACATTCCACATTGGGTAAGTTATCTACTTATGCGAATTCGCAGCTTGTTTGGCTAGGTACCTACTTTAGATAGACTGTTTACTATATATTTTGTTATTTCAGGTACTATGGTTTGATGATGTGGTTCCCAGAACTTTTCAACAGATTTGATGAATACTCGAGGGCCCACAATGGCAGCGAAGCCTCCGTATGTGAAGTAACCAACTACGTTGTGAACATCGGAAGCCATGTTGCAGGAAGTGTATGTTCCGACAAAATTTCATCTACAGTTTTCATGGAATCTTTGATAACGGTCTCGGCCGCATTGCCGAGCAACATTATCGCCATTTTGGGAATGGACAGGCTTGGCAGAAAATTCTTCTTAGGTGTGTATTGAAGTAGAAAGAAAATTCTTCAAACCCAAGAGATCAATGGAAAAAGCTCTAGATCATTTCGGAGTTGACTTAAACCTCTTTTCTTTTCGTGAACTTCAACCACTCCAATTTGACTTCTCTTCTACCAAAGATTTATCATTAATCTTTGAAACGAAGAATCTGTTTTTTATGTTAAATTGAACATTATACTATAACGGTCTTAGTTCCGGAGGAACTGGGAGGGGTATTAGTGTGCCTAATTATTTTTTTATTTCAGTGTTCAGTACCGTATCGTCTGGAATATGTTCAGCATGTATGTATCTGGTTTATAACAAGACACACAACCTTATAGTATCTGCAGTATTCAGTAGTGTGATTTCATGTGGTAATGCAGCTTTAGACTCGTTGATAACAGAGATCTTCCCAACCAATCTAAGGTAAAATACATCCACACAATATTTTCAAGAACAAAACATTTAAGCGGACTCGATTAGTTGAATGTGGTCCGGTATTCTCAAAATGGCCGCGAACAATTACTAGAAGGAAATATAAAGAATAATTATGAATTAATCGTTATTTCTTTTCATTCAGGGCTACTGGAATAGCAGTTTCGATGGTAGCAGCTCGTTTGGGAGGCATCATCGGTAACATAGTGATAGCCCAACTTTTGGATTTGTACTGTCCAGCGCCTACATTCATAGTGACTGCGCTGTTGATAGGAGGAGGTTTACTCTGTTTATTCCTTCCAAATACGACACTCAAACCATTGTCTTAACATCGGTGACACTTTTTGCTAGATATTTAAAAACTATATTTGATTTTTTCTTGTTTTGTATTCCATTGTTTATTCATAGTCATTTTGACTCCATATGTCATCTTTTATATCCTATGAATTTTCCCCAAATTTTCAACTATGATTTCTTTTGTTTCTACCTCTGAATCGTTTTCCTTCGAAATGCCTACTAATTGTGTGGAAAATTAATCGCCTATAAAAGAGCATCTGTAGATAAATAAATGTATCTTCATATCCTAGTATTAGTAAATATGTAATTACTTAGTCTAGTGTAGTTTGTCGAGAGTTCATACATTTTGCCATTTGTATTGTATTATATACCATTAATAAAAAATATGAATATTATTCAATATTTTCCTGGTTTAGAGAGTTCTTGCCGTCTGTTCAACTTCATCAATAAGTTAAGTTACTTGTACGCTAAGCTTTATATTATTGATGAGTAGATGTTGGTTAGTAGGTATACCTACCTATCCCTACGTGGAAATATGAAATATATATTTTTTTCATAACCCACGGCTCACCGTCTTGTTTCGAGAAAAGTAAAAATTTCGAATTTTTGTCAAGCCGAGTCTGAACTTTCATTTATACGTTGACGCCACAGAATATTCGAGAATTTATGAAGTTCATAATATTATTATTTGGTAGGCATATTTTGCTAAATATTTTTGTTCAGATTCACATGATTAAAATATTTTCAAAGTAAAGCTTCCACAATGTGAAAAACGCTAGAATTCCGAAAAGTTGCACAAAAAAAAACACTTGAACAATGTGATGAATCGAAAATCGATTTCAAATGTCGCAATGATGACCAACAACCCGAAAATCTCATCCAAATTGTTTTGTACAGTGAATCCGCGTGGTCCATTCGTTTTTGAGCTTAATGAGATAATGATATGGATTATTTTGAAGTGTATTGGGAGTGATTTCTAATTAAATCAAAATATGCATCCATTACCGATTACTCACTAAGTAGGTTCACAAGGTTCTAGATTTTTGGATTCGCGAATTTTTATTCGGATGGTGGTCCTTAGAGTGACTTTTTTATAAATAGAGGGACGACAATAGTGGTACACTTTCTGATTGGTCAGACCAGTTTGCCATGCTTTGTCTCTGTTTTAAAATCCGTCTTTTGGGACTCGTAAGCCCCAGATTATTTAGATGATGAAATGAAAATATTGAATGTCTAAACCTAACATCAGGTGCGCAAATTCATCACTGCATGGGAGGTAACCTTCAGATTTTTAGCTATTCAAATTTGATCACGAATGACATTCAGGAAACGGCAGCCATTCGGAGGTCTATTGTCGGCACTCTATTCAATCTAGAGTGACTCTATAAATAGACCAAATAGAGTGAGGACAATAGTGGTGATCTTTTTAATTGGTCAGACCTTCAACATGGAGGTGTATCCACCTGTATTGTTTTCTCCATCCATTTCTACGCATTCTATTTCACTTTGTCGTTTTTTGCTCTTCGGAGACTCTGGACACAAAACATCCAACAATCAGACATAGAACTCTATACGTCAGTACAATGATGGAAATAAGTAGATGGTGTACTTACTGATAGGCTCTTATTTCAGAAATTCTTGTCGACCTCTCGAGAACAATGGTTCCGGCATTCTGGCGATCTTCTAATAGACGGCGATATTGCACAATTATGACATCTGTCAATTTTGAAATTGCCGCAGATTTTTAGAATTTCGAGTAAAATAAACCCACTTGTACATATGTTCCACGTACCTAAAATGCCATTTGTCATTTCATTTTTACTCGTCACACTCCTCAAAGCAGCAATAGCAGCATCAACATCTAGCGAAAAAAAAAAGATTCAACGTCTCGCTGGATGTGACGTAGATAAATCATAGTAAGCGGTCGAGTGATTTTTCTTAAGTTTTCAATACGTAAAAATGGCCGAGTACGCGCACCATCTATCTATTTCCATCATTGTGTCAGTACCTTGGATATTATAACTATTAGAATCAGTATTTTGGCACCAAGGTGGATTATATCTATCCACCTTTTTTGGCACTCATAAGTCTCAGATTATTTAGATGATGAAATGATAAAATATCAAATATCTAAACCTAACATCAGGTGGGCACTTCGAAGGCGCAAATTCATCACGACCATCAATATAGTCCACGAATGACATTCCGGAAACGGCAGCCTTGGAGGCAATCAGGCAATGAACTGACCTCTGAGTCCTGTCCTGATGCAAGACTGCATGTCAATGTCATAGACTGACACAATGTCTATGATCTAAAATGTCAATGACTCTTGACAGTGAAGTCAATCAAGTCAGTTCTGAGTTGTTGACATGTTGACAGATAATAATAAATAATAAATATTTATTTTTTCAACCTATCAATATCAACACTCAACAGTATCAACCCAGAGACCAACATATATTTTCAAGAAATCAAATGTAAATAATATTATGAACTGGGAACTGATAGACTATAGGTATCTATTCTAATAGGATTATTTATGGATCAATTGAGCTAGAAATCCATATTATCCAGATACTGATAGACTATAGGTATCTTTTCTAATAGGTTAATTTATGGATCAATTGAGCTAGAAATCCATATTATCCAGATTATTGAGAAATCAGGAGAGCATAGGATATAATTATGCCATTTCCAAGGCAAAAAGTCCTGAATGCAGATATAACTCACAAACATTCCCCTCAAGTAATGTATAAACTTCTGAAGAAGAACCTGATAGCTAAAGAATATGCTGATTATCAGTTCATACAAAAAAGTAAGATACCCACTATGCATTTTCAACAATCACTTCCAAGGTTACCGATACCAAAACTGGATTTAACTTGTGAGAGATACTTAGCAGCTCAAAGACCATTATTGATTGATGAAGCTTACAGAAAAACAGAATGTAATGTAAATCAATTCAAGAACACCTCTGGTAAGCAGCTCCAGGACATGCTCAAGAATTATGATAAGGTAAACAAAAACACCAGTTATATATCTGAGTTCTGGTTTGACAGTTACTTGAGAGATCGCAAACCCATTCCTATAAATTATAACCCAATGCTTGTTATGCACAAGGATGACCGACCACAGTACAATGATCAACTAGTAAGAACAGCAAATTTAATAATCAGCTCCTTGAGATTCTATAAATCCCTAGAAGCAAGCCTTTTGGAACCTGAAGTTTATCATCTGAATCCAAAGGGTAGTGACACAGAGAGATTCAGAAATGTATGTAGTGCATTACCCACTCACCTTGCTTGGTATGGAGCCTACTTGTTTAAGGCTTATCCATTAGATATGAGCCAGTATCCAAGTCTTTTCAACTCTACCAGAATTCCTGAAATAGACAAAGACAGGATAGTAAGGAATTCAGCTGGAAAGCATATTACTGTTCAATATAAAGGACATTTCTATGCATTTAGAGTTTTGACTGATAGCAATGATATTTTGCCAGCAGAACAAATCTTGGCAAGATTGAAATTTATTTTGGAGGACAATATTCCACACTGTGATCATCCAATTGGAATCCTAACTACTTTGGAGAGGAATAAATGGGCTATATTGAGACATCAGCTTTGTGAAAATGGAAATGAACAGAATTTCAAATACATTGATTCAGCACTGTTCAATGTTTGTCTTGATTCAAAAACTTTAGGGGATGATCCATATGCTGTCTCTAGAAATTTTCTACATGGAGATGGAGAAAACAGGTATAACACTGAAAGAATGAGCTATACTGGCACCTATACTTGATAATTTTTCCTGGATATTTTTCAGATGGTTTGACAAATCCTTTTCTTTACAAATATCAAAGGATGGTCAAGCTGCAGTTAATTTTGAACATGCTTGGGGTGATGGTGTGGCAATATTAAGATATGTACAGGACATCTATAAGGACTCAAGAGAAAACTCTTTTGTTTCCCCTGACACCAAACCATATGATGAAAACATAAGTAATGTGGTACGTTTAGATATACATCTGAGTGATAATATCAAGTCAAGCATTGAAGATGCTAAAAAGGAATACCTGAAAACATGCTCAAGTTTGGATATAGATTATTTGATATTTGACCAGATAGGCAAAAATGTATGCAAGAAGCAAGCTGTCAGTCCAGATGCTGTAATGCAACTTGGTTTTCAGGTAAACAAAATTTGAATGAATCAACTAACACTTTCCAATAGTTTCATATAGGTATGATTTCACATAATTGTAAATATATTGCACTTGGAAACATTTTACTCACACTTTCCACAGTGCTACCACTACCTGTAGTGCATTATCCTCTAAGCAATACCTCTATGGTGGTATTGAGATGAAATAAGTAATGATGCATTGTTACTAATGCTTGATTCCTGAATTCCTTTGAAAATGCACATCTTCTACACATCCTCCATCTTCTTAATTGCTGTGATATTTGAAACTTCATTACAATATCTAATGCACAAATTTATTTTATGTGAAAATAATATTGATGAATTTTTGCCAAAAAATGTTAACAGATCAATTTGAATACACAATCGGTGCACTGTTAGCGCCAACCGCCAACTATGTTTTTCTTATTTTCTCAGTTACAAATGCTTGATTTCTGAATTTCTTTGAAAATGCACATCTTCTACACATCCTCCATCCCCTGATTAAAAAATTTGCACTATGTATAATTGCTGCAATAATTAATACTTCACTGTTACAATATTTAATGCACAAATGTATGGATTTTCACATAAAATTGAGGAATTTTTGGCACAAACCTGCTAGCAGATCAGTTTGAATACACAATCAATCTTTGCACTTTTAGCGCCAACCGCCAACTATGTTTTTTTCTTCTTCTTCCTTTCGTTTTGTATGGCCTTAGCTACCTGGGGTATCTGGCCAAGTACACCCATCAATTTTAATCTTTTCTACTGCGGTCCACCGTGTGGCAGGTCTGGGGGAATCCCATGCCCCGTATAGGTTAGGTTCCTATCCTATAGGAATCAAACAGTTCTAATAATTTTTCGCAATTCACCTCTACATGATTTTCTTAGGTTATTTTCTGGACTCGGCTATTCCATGGTAATTTCCACCATGAGTTCTGGCCAATAAAAATATTCAAATTGTTGAATGTCAAAATTTTCTGTTAGAAAATGCAGTTTTACTCACTGCATATTCCTCTTGAACTATCATTGAAAATTTATTTTTTGTGCAGTTGAGATTGAGTACCTATTGAGTAGTAGTTCATTCCTAATAAAAGATGTATAGTGTACATATTTTAAATAACCTCTCAAGTACCTACCAATTCGAATTTGCAGGCTGGTTACTATAAAATGACTGGCAAGTTTGTTCCTACATATGAATCATGCAGTACTGCTGCTTTTAAACATGGGAGAACTGAAACTGTGAGGTCCTGCACCACAGCTACACAGGTAATGTTATTTCAAATGTATAAAAGGCATACACTTGATGAAGTTTATATGTTCAACTGATTTGATGATTATTTTTCAGGCTTTTACCCTTGCTATCAACTCTAAAGACCAACCACCTATAAGAGATTTGAAAAACATGATATCTGAATGTTCAAGGGTGCACAACCAGCTGACTAGAGAAGCTGCCATGGGACAGGGTTTTGATAGACATCTTTTTGCTCTCAAGAAGTTTGCTGAAAAGACAAATACTGTGTGCAACATTTTCGATGACCCAGATTTTGCCTTGATTAATCATATTATTCTATCAACCAGTACTCTCAGTTCCCCTGCCATTTATGCTGGAGGCTTTGGACCTGTTGTCAGAGAAGGACTGGGAGTGGGGTATGTACCTTGTATTTTACTATTATGCTCCAATCTTCAGCAGAGTATCAAACCTTCAAGAGATTTTCTGACACTCTAATGCCTTGACATATATCTTGTTATCAGAATATTTGCCTCCCAGATGTTGCAGTAGTGACAACAACTTTCTCTATTATTTCTTATGAACTGAATTATGGTGAATTATGAACCTTCTATTCCAAGTAGATCCAGGACAAATGGAATATAATAATAACCATCAAATGTTGAAATGAAAAAATAATCTTCAGCTCTTGGTAAGGTTCATAGTCCCCAAATGGAAAATAATGGTATCTTCTTCTTCTCGCTGCCAGAGTACTACTCTGAAAATCTATTAGCTACATAATATAACTTGGTGAGGCAATTTCTTAATTTTTACCTAGTTTTTTAATTGAAAATGAGTTGATTTCCTTAATTGAAGGAAAGATGTGGACTCAATGTGCAAGTTACCAAGTAAAATGAAAAATAATTATAAGTCAGGAAACCTATATTATGTAGTAGTAAAACATATTTCTTTGATTATATCATTGAAATCTGTCAAATAGCTTCTGACAACACTTGAAGAAACAATTTCAAAAACGTAATTGGACATTTTTTGCTAGAATTACCATGAAATTCCCAAATATGTGGTAAACATTCTCCTGTTCTGAACATATTCAAGAACAACAAGATATTAACTAACCAGGATAAAATGAAGGAGAAGAGTGGCATAGTCTCATGTCTCTCTGGTAGAAGGTTTTACTCTTTCTAACTTTCAAGATCAGTTTAGAATGTTTTATTGTCATTTTGTTTTTGAACTTTGTGTTGGGAGAGATTGTTCTGCTTAACTGCTTTTGCTAAAACATAATGTATTTCACATGAATTTCACATCTTCTGAAATAACTATAGGGTGCATAAGATATATATATTTTATTATTTCATGCAGGTATATCATAAAAGATGATGAGCTAGGTGTGTTGGTCACAAGTTACCCACCATATCAGAATGGATCTGATTTCATTGATTCTCTGCGTAGTACTTTTGAGAAAATCGTAGGTTTGCTGCAAAAGGATTAACTGTGAGTAAACAAATCCTATAAATAATTCACTTCCATTAGAAACTAGGATCTTATGTGATTATGTACAGGATGTGAACTTCTCATAGCTCTGTATCTAGATGGAGTTCCTATAAAAAGTTCGCCAATCCTTCCAAAATTTGTTCTGTGTTGAATTGGAGATTGAAGGTCAAAATGTGGTTTGACCCTCCTCAGACTTATTTAATGAAATATGAGGATATTAATCATACTACAGTGGCATTGAAACCATGATGCTTCAATTTAGTTTATTTCTGTAAATGGTTCATTTCGTCAATATTAGGCAAAATACACTCATCAGCAAAAAAAAACGGCCTCTAAAAAACGTTGGCCGAATTGTTCACCCTGTAATTTTTTCGTCCTGTAATTTTTTATACTCATGTTTCGGAATGTTAGCCTGAATATTATACGCGACCCTAAAGTTTTCGAACCATTCCCAAACCTCATTGCCAGATTGGCCACAATGAATCACATATGGACGCACACCCTTGGAGAGTCTTGCAAGAATGATGGAAGTAGGATACTTCCATCAATCTTGAAAGAAAGGAAAATCATCCTTGAAAGCCTAAATCACTACACAAATGATCACAGTGGGATAACGCCAAGTTATTAATGGACCAGAATAAAACTTCCTGATCAAACTCGGCCTCCACAATTTTATTGTGAAAAATAATCATAAAATGGCTTGATCATTATACGGGGAATGACAAAAGTTACTTTTTCACCCTTAACCTCATAACGCCCTGTGGGGAAGGTTAGTGGTTTAACATAGCTTATTATGTTTTGAAGTGTTATCCCTTCCCAACATGATGGTTTTTGATTCACGTCGATAATCACTCTTTGAGGGAAGATACAAGTGTTTCAAGATAGTATGGATTTTTTAAATTTTTATCAACAATAATTCAGAACAATTCTCAAATCTTCTCCATCATATTTTTAATTGAATTGTGATCCTCCTTCGTCCCTTCTTCATACAATGGTTATTGATTAACGTCAATATCTTCTTTTTGAGAGAGGATACAAGTGTTTCCAAGAAAATATAGATTTTTTTAATTTTCTATAACAATAACTAAGAACCTATTAAGCATCTTAGGGGTGACCTGAGGCACATTCGCCTTTGTCCAGCCTTGTCAGAGACTCTTCAAGAACTACGGTTCGCCCTTCAAGGAGAATTCAAGGAAATTGAAAAATGCCATACTTTCTTAAAACACTCGTATCTTCTCTTAAAAATAAAATATTGACGTGAATCAAAATCTATTGTGTTAAGAAGGGATCACAATTTAATCCGAAGCATAATGAATAAGCCAAGTTCAACCACGAAATTTTTCCACAATGCGTTGAGAAATATAGGGTGAAAGAGTAACTTTGGTTTTTTTCTGTATAATGATCAAGTCATCAGTTTCTCAGGAAAACTAATAATTAGGCCAACATTCCGGAACATGGATCTACGATTTGATCGAACTTTCACAAAAATCGGACGTTGATTAAAAAAGTTACATGCTGAATAATTTGGGCAAAATTTTCGGTGGCCGGTTTTTTGCCGGTGAGTGTATATAGTTTCTGAAAATTCTACTAGCATTGGTTAAGGAACGGTGATATGATGATGCCTTTTAGTATTTTCACTTTGGTTTTGAACAGAAATTTATTTTTGTATTATATAGATACTTTTGGTGGGTCTGTTATAAAATCATGAACAATTTTAAAAATTCTATGCCATTGGAGGTAGTACGAGGTATTTATAAATTCATTTCCTGAATTATTACCTTCAGTTTTATGAATACCCACTCCTGTTCTTGCTAGTGTATTAGTATTTGCATGTTCTCTCGAATATTTTGAAGAATGTTCACTCTGCGCTGCCTAAATATCAAGTGCCTTGTATTAGAATTTTGAAGGACTGATTGTTGAATTTCTATATATTATACGTTTATACAAATAGTGTTTCATATTTTTATAAGGAGATATGATCTTTTATTTTTGTTTGTTTCGTTACGGGATGAAATATTTTTCAGATCGCATATAATCAATAAATAACGGTATTATTCCAAGCGTTTTTTATTATGTACAAGATATCCACGTACATTTCAAACCTACCATACCTTATAGATTTCAACTCTATAGAAGCAAAATACCATGAGAAAAATAATTGAAACTCAAATTTTCACAATACCATTGCATGAAGTAATATCATATTGTTTTATTTTGAAGTCATTGATAAGAGTTTCTCCAATCGAATATTTCCAGGGAACCTCTGAAATGTTTGTATTGTATACTCCTTTACAGAGTTACAGTTATAAACCCCAGGTTCAGGTAAGTAGAGGTGACTTGTAATTTTTGTATCGATTTATCATTGATGGAGTGTGTTTTAGACTGCATAGATAAATAAACCCAAGCTACAAATGAAAATATATTTATTTTATTCAGTTACTTAACCTAATGTGTCTTCTCACATATATCATCCACAAATAATTCAAATGAAAAAAAAATCTAAATAATACAACTATGATAATCCATTATCTGTACATACAATATACACATAACAACAATGAAACTTCTCACAGTTTTATGCAATGTTTAGTAAGGAATTGTACATCTGGTGTCAAAATTATGTGAAACCCACTCTTTTGAAGTCGATAAATGAATATGCTTGAACACTCCGATAGCAATAACTCTTTAAATGCGATCAACACACGTGGCAGGAGACTATTGAAAGCATGAATCATCAGTGAAAATGTCGTCAATTTACACTTAGAACATCAGTCCTAGTGAAGAGGTAATTTTGCGAAAAGTCACACGACAAAAGATCGACTTTTCGAAAATCTAACTGAAAATGACGCGTGATGCGTCCAAAGTCTTATATTCAGAATATTTATCCCAAAACTTCGAACAGATTAAAAACAAAATACATTGGGTGATCAATCATCTTTATAACGAAAACTAACTGGTCCAATCCATGACATCCTGGGATAAATCCATTACGCAGGACTCGTCCTACAAAAAGTTAATACTTGCTCGTCTCATCAAGTCTCAACTTCCTGGTGTGGTAGTCGATTGACTTGTCGCATCTGTCAAGGTGGACTCCATTAATCTTTTGTGCGTACCCACCAACTCTGGTAGATCATAAGCAATCGCAACGTCTAACCTATTGATTGGACAACCCCTGAAATATGTACACGTCGCTGATAATTGCTGGAATTCGTATAGCGGGTTCAATTTGAAGAAGTCTCTATAGACGTCTGGATCTGGAAGATCGTATCTGGAAATGTTTGTTAACGTAGAAAGACCTTCGTAGATGTGGTAGTCTTGTGGATGCTCGGTTATCTCATCAGCAACTTGTTTTCGATTACCGAAAACTGATTTGTGATTGTAGTAGGTCGTCAGGTAGCAGTCTACCATTTTGGCATGATTCCGTACACGCACCTGAAACAATTCAGGCAAAAAAATTGAGTTAGTTTCGAAATTCGGTCATTAGCAGTTGACGATGATAACTCACCGCAAATCTTCGTGCACTAGCTATTTTATTTTCAATTCGTTTCTCGATGGCACTCCTCAGATCCCTCAAGAAAGCCCTTTCTTGGGCCTGGAGTAGCCGGACTGGCGCCCAAGGTTCGTATGGCCTAGACCAAAGAGATGTCGTGTACATTACTGGGGGTTGTGGTGAAGACATAAGTGGCGAAATGTTCCAAATAAGAGCCCCCTGAACTCTCATCAGCTCTTCTGGTTTCACTTGATCAGCTTTGTTCAAAATAATTCGAGTCTAAAAATGTAAAAAGAGCTCAAAGAAGTTTACACCATAGTGATCGATAGTACCTGGTGTTCTCTTCCTTTGAGTTGATCCAGAATAGCTTCGGTTTCTGGTCCGACGTCCAGTTTTGAAGGATCATAAACCAAGAATATGATATCAGCTCTGTCGATGAACCATTGGCAGGCATCATTGAATGGAAACACTCTTGATACTTGCTTTCTCACTTCTAGTATCCCAGGTATCTCCACAATATTGACCTAAGGCAAATTCAACATAATTAAAAATAGATTCAGGGCAACTCGAAATTTTCATATCTAATGTGCTTGTTATGACGCACTCTCACTCACCTTCTCCAAGAGCTTTGATGGAAGTTTGACACCTCGAAGTCTTTCTTCCAACCCTTGGCCGAACTTCTGTAGGCCTGAGAAAGTGAAATCTGCAGCTAGTTCTGTTCCTTCGATGATTTCGGGTTCATTCCCATGCATCAAAATGTTGAAATACGCTGGTGATGGTTCAGCCCCTAGTAGATCGTAACTAGTTAGTTCGATAATTCTTCAGTATCACCAGGTGGTCCACAAGAACTTTCGAAACACTTCCAAACAGTCGAGAGTCAAAATGTCAAATAATATAACACGCATCATATTTCAGCTTGAATAGTGGATAATGTTTCAAAAGTTTTTTAGACCTCCCGGCACATTCAGTTAGTACCTGTTCTGAGTGATGTTTCATTATACTCATTGTTAGCCAAGTAGTTGATGATAGATGATTTGCCACCGCTCCAAGGTCCCATGAACAGTATTAAAGGCTTAGAAAATATCTCGGCGTCACCAAAATGTCTGTTGCTGAGGTCCCTGTACTTATATAGCGTTTCCAGTGGTTTTATAGCATTTTCATAAAGCTTTTTCAACGCCTTCAGAGTAATCTCTGATACTTTATTAATTAATTTTTCAGTTTCGGAAGATTCTTCATCCAATTTCAGTAATTGTTCAACATGGTCTCTGGGTCTTAGTTCACTAGGTATTTCTACATCTAAACTTAAATCCTCAACAGGAACTGGTTTCCTTTCTTCTCCAGGCGTACCATCTGCTGGTGCCGCAAGATCTTCAACAATTTCAGCTTCATTGCTTTCAACATTTCCACCATCTTCATCAGATCTTGTCTCGCCGACAGTTTCTTCACTTTCATTTGTGATATTTTGTTCTGTACCTCCTTGTGGGTCGCTGCTGCCGTGTCCCGTTTCTTCTGCTGATGTCTGTGGTTGATGTTCCTCAGTTGAATCAGCCGATGCATGGGTTTCGGTTTCTTTTGAATTCACACTTTCTTGGGTTTCTTCTACACTTTCGGCTTGTTCCTGCACACTTTCGGCTTGTTCCTGGATATTTTCGGCTTGTTCCTGAATACTTTCGGCTTGCTCTCTACTTTCATTTTCCTCCTCAACACTTTGAGCTTGTGGTTGATCTATCTCCAATGAACTATTTTCCTGATTATCTTGTTCGTCTAGACTGTCCACTTGTTCTGCACTTTCAGTTTCCTCGTGAACTTCTCCCGTTTGTGCTTGTTCTTCACTACTTTGTTCTTGTTCTTCTATACTTTGTGCTTGTTCTTCAGTGGTTTCTATTTGATCTTCTGTGCTTGTTGCTTGTTCTTCTTTGCTTGGTGTTTGTTCTTCTGTGCTTGGTGCTTGGTCTTCTGCATTTTGTACTTGTTCTTCGGCACTCTCTGCTTGTTCTTCTGCACTTTGTACTTGTTCTTCTGCACTTTGAGCTTGTTCTTCTGCACTTCGAGCTTGTTCTTCTATGATCTGTGTTTCTTCTTCACTTTGTACTTGATCTTCGGCACTTTGATCTTGTTCTTCAATACTCTGGACTTGCTCTGTGTCACTATGGGTCTGATCTTGCACCTCACTACTTTGTGCTTCTTGTCCATGAACTTCTGGGTTTTCTTCATTACTGTCTTTGTTTTCATCAGAGGTACCTGTACTTTCTTCCTCATTATCTACATCCCTTTTTACTCTACTCTCTGCTGCGCTGTCTTCGCTAAACTGTTCGTTACTATCTTCCCTGACATCTTCACTATTTGTATCTGTTTCATTACTAACATTTTCCTGTTCTATTGATGGCTGAGTTTCGGTTTCTTCGCTTTTATTTTTGTCTTCCGTAGAAGGCTGATCCTCTCGACTATTATTGTCCCCCTAAAAAAAACAAAGAAATGAACTATTAGAAGATATTCGAAGTTGCTATATCTCTTTTTAAAGCAGCAAATCCGTTTCTCGTTAGAATACAACAAACCGTTACTCAAACTTCAGTGGAAAAATATCCAGTTTATTTTAGTCATTGCCAATTTTATTTTCAATGGTTGATAGGCAACGTAGATAAATTTGGATACGTTAGTCAATACATATTCCACATTTTGATGGGGAAATGACGAAAATCTATAGTTTTGTTCAGCTTAAAACATAGCTGATATATTTACAACGTAGCTACATTGTGTATCAGGATTATGGAACATCTTCAACAAGATATACAGGGTGAGTCAGGAAGACCGACAAATTTCGTATACGGATTTCTTATCTTATTTTGAAGAGAAAAGTCCCTATCAACGTATGTCCTAAAATGCATTCTCTCTGAGATACAGAGTGTCGAGAGTACGATAAAAAAAAATACTATTTCAGATTGATCAATGCAATCAAATGGTGTGTCCATTATTGTATTTTGATTTCCAGTGTCGTAGTTACGGTCTTATGACGTCCTTTTTATATTTGGTTCTGAGACAGATGAAATGTCAAATTGGTGTGTGACATCAGTCAGGCTCATTATTGATATTTCACCTACAAGTTATGATATTGAACATGCCCTAAATGTAGAGGATCCTGAGAGATTTGCGAAAATCTAAGGATATGTTTGTGGTAATATTGAGTAAAGAGCCAATTTGCCGCGTGCCCTAATCGCATAACGCTGATTTTCCTCAAGATATCAGAAAATTTCTCAACCTCCTGAACATTCTTGAATGTTGAGAACATTGGAAACATAGTACGGGTGAGTTAGCAGTAGGTCGACAAAGTCACTTTTTATTCTGCACGTTATCTCAATAAGGTGAACAGTTTATATTGAGTTCTGTCTCAAAGTGCAACCAGTTTTAGTATTACAATTTTATTTCTTCAACACAGCAATATTATCCCAAGACATTCTTAGGAACCTCTACATTTTGGCATGTGAAATGTTATTACTTTTAAGTAAATTATCAATAAATCTAACTGATGTCATACACCAATTTGGCATTTCAACTGTCAATGGAAAAATATGAAGGGAAATGTAGCGACACTGGTAATCAAAATTCGAAAATGGAAATTCCATGTGACTCCACTGATTAATCTGGAATAGTAGTATGCCAAGTCTCAATTTTTATCTTCAGAGATTCCGAAGAAATTAATATAATCCTTGATTTTTGTCGTACATTTGACACCCTGTACCTCAGAGAGGATGCTTTTTAGGAGGTAAGTTGAAAATGAGGTAAGGGCTCCGTATATGAAGTTTGTCGGACTTATTCTGACTCGCCCTTTATTTGTTGAACTGCACTTCTAATGGAATGACCAGGCTTTATTCAATGGAAAGGGTAACTTATTGGCAACAAATTGATGTTGAAAGAACTTTGAGCTGTTATTTCGTTTATTTTTACAAGGCGTTAGATTTGTTACTGTGATTTCAGACAAATATTATTTCCATTGTTATTTGGAATACATGATGAATTGAATATGTCATTGCCTCTTTTGGGATCTGTGCAAACTATTAGGGTAGTTATACTGCATAAATCCAATTAGATTCCAAATTCAGAACTTATAATCATGAACTACCTACTATTAGTTGGTAGAAGAAAGAATGATCCTAATCCATGGTAGGTACCCCTTTTGTTATTTGGAATAGATATTCCATATGTGGTACATCGATTTGATGTTGAGTGGATGCTTATTTTGTAAATATCAGATCAAATGACACTTATTATTGCATCATCTTTTATTTCGAATGGAAGTACCTTGCACTTTTCATTATAAATTGTGATTCACATGAAATTATATTTCAACTGATATGGTAGGTACCATCTTGGAAGTTTCTATCTATGGACTATTGAATGAAAATAATGAAATTTAAACTTTTTGCACTTCCAGTGTATCATCACAGTTTCATGAAGTATGCCATGGAAAGAAAAATGAATCTAATTGAACAATATCATAAAAGTACCAATAATCAAAACAATAATAAGTTTCCCAAAAAAATATAGTAAACATAAATAGGTTGTCGCTTTTTGTTCTGTATTTCCATCGAGAAGGCAAAAACAATATGCGGAAGTTGAATGTCTTTTGCATGGCTCTCATCAGAAGTTTTACAGGGTGATCCCTAAAAGCGGGACAATCCACAGTTCATGTTTTCAAATGGAACACCATGTAAGATAACATACTGGATATATATGTTCTTGTGATCACAAAAAATCACGAATTCAAAAAATATATAAAATATAATATACTGTAAACATAGGCCCAGAAATGCTTCGTTTTTAAGATTCAGGGTGTAAAAATTGGTTAATTACTCAAAATTATGTTTTTCCAATTTCAATGAAACTTGGTGATTTTGTTAACAGTATCAAGAAGCTTCTTTTGGTGTAATTATATTCGATATATTGATTCCAGTGGCGTCGCAGTGGGTTACCTTTTTGATATTTATGGTAAATAAGGTACAACGTCATAGTTTTTTCCAAGTTCGATATTTTTATCAGATTAACAATTGAAAATACAACTTTCTCGTATTAATTTGTTCATATCACTCAGTTTCTGAGGAAATAATGAAAAATTGATTTGATTCCAAATTTTAATGTGGTCACTAACCAGATAAAATTTTGCCATCATGAAAGCGTATATAAATGAATACTTCCAACCTCAATACCCTGTATCTTGGATACGAAGCATTTCAGGACCTATGTTTATATGAACTTTTCGTCTTAGAATCACCCAGATAATCGCCCCTTGAAGTTTGGCCACATACGTATATAACACCCTGTATATCAAATTTGAATAATCTTATCAGAATATCCAAGAGGGGCTACATTGGATCAGGCTCACCCATAGATGTCTTGAAAAATTAATCCGTCTTTAATACTATTGTAGGTACCTTGTCTTCGGGGCTCTCTCGTTCATTTGCTGCTTCTCCTTTTTTATCTGGAGTTCTTTGAAAAAATCTCGCCAATAAGGCAAACCTTTGAAAAAAGCTGATTCCTACCTCTGGCTCGGCTTGCGGTTCGGAAACGTTTTCGACATTTTCTCTGATTTGTTGGCCATCTTCGTTTGTCTCGTCTTCTCCATCATTGGAGTCGTCTGTAACCTCTGCAGTGGGGATATCTTCTTTACTGTCGCCTGTCTCCAATTGATGTTTCAGTGCTTTTTCAATATATGGCCTACATTCGGACTCTGATGGTCCGTCGGACTCCAACTCACCTTGCACACCTTCAATAAACACCCAAACATTGTACAGAATTTCACAAAAATTGAATCTGACTTGCCGCAAAGCAAAATTAACCTAACTTTTACGTAGAGCGATAACACAGTCGAATCCACCATATTATCAATTGATAATACTCTTTTTTAACATATTTATGCCTTTTTTATACTGACATTTGTAATCATAAGCTGATGATGGAGTTCTAAAACTCCGAAATATGTCCTTCCCTTCATGAAGTATTGAACTACTATGGTGGATTCAACTGTGTGATTAATGATGCTCCTCCTGAGATGTTAAAAATATGGTTTTAATGTCATCTATCTATATCCTTGAAAAATCCTAGTTGTAGTTTAAAAACTAAAGACAAGAACGTGTTCTCGTTTTGCTTGATTTTTTAAACTTCTTTGAGTACTTTCCAACCGGTAGTATACTCATAGATAGTTTTTTTATAATAATTTCAACTTTAAACAAAAATATCATTTACTGTCCTGACTAAGAAATGTCATTAACATTGGTTTTTCAAATTACAGTTACATTTGAACAATAATTTATTTTTCCACAGCGGCGGCACCAATCTAGAATTTTTGAAGGATGTCAGGTAGATAATTAAGAAACCATATTTTGTTCACTTTCACTTGATCTGCAATATCTTCCGAATGAATTGACCAATTTTGCTCTGATTTATGTTGTTCTCATTATTTTTATCCGGAGAATCGTCGTATAGACCGACAAAATTGGAAAGTCCGAACATAAAGGAAAATCATTCGCAATAATATAATGCCTTATTGCTGAGACCAATAAATAGGATCAATAAAAAAATATAATATTTGTTTGATTTCGTCATTTGTCTTGAGACGATTTTTTCATGACACAACTAAGGCCTAGAGTACCTTCTATTTGCCTTGCAATTATTCAAACTTATGACACAGATCTTATGATGCCAATGTTGTCTAGCATAAGTATTTATGCCCCTCAAACCAAAATAACTTTTTCTCCAGTTAGCCGAAATTGTGATCATTTTGACTGTTCCATTGAATAGGCTTATAATAATCGCAGAAGTTTGTGTACCCTTGTGAGACCCATGTATTGTATAATTTTTCTGACAGATTTGAAATCGACACTACCTCTACTCGATGTGGGATTGTCGATGAATTTAAATAAATGTTCGTATTCTGGCACGATTCCACATTAACAGCTGTACATTTTAACCAATGAAATATGTATTACGAGATTGTGTGTAGGTTTGAAATTGGAATTTTCGCGTGATTTCAAAATTTTCAGGTATCCTCGAAATACCTACTCAAACCAATTTTAAGAGAGTGAAATAACTCAATTCACTATTCAACTTCCAACTGCATCTTCTGTTGCGAATCTATTAGATAGTGATTTGTCCTTGTGTTAAACTTGGAAATGTAGGCTAAGGGCAGGTATTAGAAGAATGAAATGGCTGTTTTCATGGCCGTAAGCGGTCTAAATATGTAACAGTCTAGGGTATCCTCTCTTGGCTACATGCCTATAACTGACAATGCAATAGCATGTACTCAGCTACTTTTAGATTCACATTTTTCAAAATTAAAAAGATCGAGATTTCTCACGCTGTTATTTAAGAATAATGTGATTAATGGTTAGACACTGTATATAGATTTCGAACACAGTGGTTCAGAAATGGTGTATTGTTCGAAAATATGCATTAACATGACTTTTTGCTTTATTTTTAGCACGAATATATTTGCGGTGGGTTTTTATAATTAGATCGTCGCCTCATCCAAAAATAACATTTCTTATTAGAGTATGAAGATCTCGCACTCGCGGGTCAGTTATATAATAAATTCATAATTCAGGCGAAAACACCATAACCACTCGCAGGAACTCAATCGCAAACCTCATGGACCCAAGCACTTCCTCACTAAGCGGTGGACATCCATTCAACACCCCACAATTTCCGAAAAAAAGCAGTCAAGCTGAGAACGTACCCTGCAAGGTAGTAGCGAGCAGAGACAGGCCGAGGAGCAGCAACAGCCCAGAGGGTCTTCGGTAGACCTCCATGGCTTCTTCTCACCACACCGGTCACATAAAAGTCCCGCACTGAGCGCCCAGATTACGCATCGCGGCTGCCGTCGCGACGCGGCCAGTGGCGCCGAGCGGGGGCTGGCCGAAAATATGCGCGGTCGCGAAAACCCGATCGGGTCGCCGCTATCGGCCTCGTCGATTATAGACCAAGAGAAGTTGACAGGTGACGATCTCCCATTTCAAACTGCATGCCTTTTTGAGGCTTTATAATTAACCCCAAAATATGAAAAACAGACGGGTTCCTGGCAGTGCCGGTTTTACCAGGGGTCTTTTGGGTGCTATATAGCACCAGGCGGCAAAATCTTCAGGGCGGCCATTATCTGGATATTTTGATTTTTTACGCGAAGGATTTGATCAATACACTACCTAAACTGAAATTTATGTTAAGACGTGAATCATCCCAAGAAAAGCACAATTAGGAAAAAAAAATACGGCAAAAAGTTCAAACCAGAGAGAAGAATGGCGGACACAGTGTTTTATTTTAAGTTGCAGATTTGAAATTTTTCGTCGGACTTCCACCTACAAATCTTGTTCAGAATCATTTGACTTTCTGTTCAAGATAGTGTCAAGAGAGGATGTAAATTTGATCAAATTGGAAACTAAACTACAAAAAATGTATGTAGATGATCTGGACGAATTTGTTTCTGACGAATGTTATTCATCTGAAAACAACAGTTTTCCCTCCTAGAGACTAAAGCAGAAACTCCTATTATGGAATTAGTCCCTGTTTGTCTCAACTCAAACAAGATCTACTAAATGAAACTAATGTATAGAGCTTGTGAAGAGTATCATATATAAAGGCTTGCATTGAAGCAAGAAAACACATTTTTGTATTGTTACTTTATGTTTCTAGTTACGTACTTGCCTATTTGATTTTCCTTTTCAATCCTAACATATAACTATTCATTTTCCTTGTTATTCATTATGTGAACACGAAAGAATTATGTTTTTAATTTCATTCCACAACATCCTGTTTGTTATATAATATTTTTCATTTTGTTCATCAAACTTCTATACCAAAAAAAACTGGTGTGCCTAGAACTTTTCTATGGTATATTTATACTGCCTATAAGATTATGCCGGTCAAACGGATTTTTGACAGCTGTTGGCTCATCAAATTGTGGCAGCTTCAAATTACAATAACGAATTCAGCACTGTCGCTCTGGACTTTCCATTTGAAAACTATTCAGCATATTTTTCATTCTTTTCACATCCTAATGTAGAAAAAGGACCAGTATTTTTTCAATGGCTCTCATCTTTGGAATAATTCTCGAAACATAGAGGTGTAGAAAAGTACTTGATTAGTGCAAATTTGGCGAATTGAGAAACAAATGAACATCTCAGAGATGTCATGTCGCAGATGTGTCTGCTTCTGTACATCGCAGGGATGGAACATTCGTAATATCGCAGTGTGGCCTCAGCGCGACATTTTAGAGATATCATGTGTCAGATGTGATGCTTATGAACATCGCAGCAATGGAACGTTTGTGATATCTCACTGTTATCTAAACGTGACATCTCAGAGTTGTCATCTCACAGATGTGTTGGCTGGGTTCATGCCTAACACTATGCTGTTTCGAAATTTGAAGAATTCCAAATACTTCCAAAGATTTTTGGAAAAAATCGAATATTCGCGTTTTCATTTTCATTTTTTATTACTCTTTTTGAATAGTTGTAAATGGTTGTAACAAAACAAATTACACACTTTCATTGCTACTTTACATGTTCTACAAGATGGTATTATCAGATTTTCAAACCGAGTTCTTCTTATAGGCTCTCGAATAGTAACATTTTTGAACGCATATGACATTTTGGAGCAAATCATCTGATTTGTCTTTACTTTATACTCATATTTTTATTTATAGAAAGGAGGATAGAAAATTCCAAAAAAATCTGGTGAAATGAATTCTCACTCATTATTTTTTTCGAGACATTTAATAATTTCTTACGTAATGGGATGAACAATCCTGATTCCGATTCAGTTATAATGAAGATTTTTATTTATAAGTTTGGCACTTGCGTCATTGATAGAACTGACTGCACGTTGCTTGGCTTCACTACGTTCCTAGCCGTCTGAAAATGTACAGGTCTCATTGAAGGCATTTTTGACCTCACCTTACGTCGAAACTATTTGGGATTGAATGCTACCTGAGAATGTTGTTTATGTATTTACTGTGGCTCTTTTGTTTATACAAGTTAACAATGTTCGAATTGTATATATGTGTCTTGAGTCTTGAAATAGGTAATAGGTTTTTTCTACGGCTATAACACAAGATTGCTCTTGTTTTACTGCGTTCGATACATCAATGAGGTACTTTGTATGTCATGAATTTTATTTCCGTTGTGTTATTATTTCAAAAAAAACTTATCGCCCATGGAATATCAAATTTCAAGTAATTACTTTGTCTAATAGATGAGCATTACTTGACAGGAAATCAGATGGTTACTCACTGGAAATCACTATCATTCCGTGCTCGTTAAACAATAAACTATTTCCTAGGAGTGTTGAAAATCAGGATTATTTTTCATATGGTCGAGCTCAACGTCAATTGCGTGACCCATATTATTTGTATAACGTATGCATGAGAATCTATTTTTGAACAACCAATAATTATTAAAAATTATATTTCTCATCTGCTTTTTTCAATGTATTTCAAACAACGGATGCACTATGATCACCTATACAGGGTGTCCGGAAATACGCCTGCCTAACTTCACCAACGGCTTCTACGATCAAAAAAAGGAAGAAATAGTCCAATGGACGTGAATTGAAAAATGTCTCCTAGGGCTCCTGAGGATGATATTTCTTGAATATTTACGAAACGCCATGTGATAAAATGATGCAATTCGGTACAAGAAGTAAACTTCCTATGCCCAATGCAGTGAAAATAAATTCATTCAAATTTTATTCAGAAGTGTATAATATATACAGGGTGGGACTACATTGAATATTGCTCAAACTTATTGTATGTATATTTTTCGACAATTTAATCTCGGAATATGAAAATTCACACTCTTTACAAAAAAAAGGTGCTCTTGTTTTGTATCGATCAGATATGGTATCATTTTCGAGTGAAAGCGATTTAAAAATATTGTTACATCTCACATATTATGCATAGCGTTGCCAATTTTCAAATCATAGAGACCATGAAAAAATCTACTACTTTCTTTTCACCAAACATCATAGGAATTGCCTTTCGTGCGCTCCATGAGATAAAAAATATAGTGGCGTGTAAAATAGTAAAATGATGATTAAAAACTACTACAATTTCTTCTGCATTTTTTTCCATAGTCACTACGATTTTTTGCAATGTTATGCATCATTAAGTGAGATGTAACAATGTTTTCAAATCGATTTTACTCGAAAATGATTCATCTGATGGACACGGAACAAGAGCAACTTTTTTATGTGAAGAGGTGTAGATTTTTATAATCCGAGATCAAATTGACGAAAAAAATTAATACAAAGAAGTTTGAGCAATATTTAATTTAGTCCCACCCTGTATTATACACTTCTGAATTAAATCTTGTAATGATTTAATTTTCACAGCATTGGGCATAGAAAATTTAGTTAGTAAGTTAGTTAGTACCGCATCATCTTATCACATAGCGTTTCGGAAATATTCAAGAAAGATCATCTTCAGGAGCCCCTTTTCAGTGGACCGTATAGCTCCTTTAGGAGACATTTTTCGACTTATGTTCATTGGAACTTTTCTTCCTATTTTTGGTCGTAGAAGTAGCTGGTGAAATTTGGCTGGCAAATTCCGGGACACGCTGTATATACAAGGTGGTCCATCGAGAACGATGACATAAAAACGCTGGGACAGGTCGGTTTTAATCTGACAGGGGACACAGTTTTCTGTGTGTCAGATCAAAATCAACCTTTACGAGGGGCCACCTTGTATATCCCACTGATTGTCTTATCCAATTGATGGGATTTCATAAAACTTAGATGCAAAAGTTGATAGATACCGAGTGGTTCTGCCAGCAGAACCATGGATTTAAAAACTAACAATGAGTCATACATTTTTTTGTTACCTATGGCAATAAATAGCCTATATTATATAGTCTTATATACCTTAGTATATCATCAGGTTACATGTACAAGCATGTCTTGCTGGTTATAACAGGGCTATCAATTATTCGTTCATTTAGATACTTTTTATTTCAATGACAGGGCAAACATGAAACTTGCAGGAAAATTCCATCAGTATCTACAGAAGCATAACTGAAGTTTTGATCATGAGAACTTTAGTGCTTAGTATATATGTCAACTTCACTACTGAATATTCTTAGTTATTCGATGAATGGTCTAAATGAAACGATTTTATTTCTTCAAATCAAAATGTTTATTATTAACAATGAAACAGGGGGAAATAACACAAAATAACAGTTATTTTCGGGTTTTCAAAAATGTACTATATAGGGACTTGGTACATTTATTTTGCAAATAGAAGCGCCCCTAGATGGTTAGGTATACTTATATGCTAGCATTTCCGAATATACTGACTTTTTATATAGAATAAAAAATAGTAAGAGGTAGAAAAGTAAAAAATGTCTAATAACTCTAGGCGTTTTCACTTTCAAGACCAGTCATGTGTTCATTCAAAACGCAATGTTTCATAAATTTTTGCATTTGCGCTGTTGTCATTCTACCAGACATTCATTAAATAAACTTACTCCACATTGCAATCATCAAATACAACTATAGCTAACTGAAACGGATCTTATATCTACTGACGATACAAAATATGTTGCCACACAGTTTTGGAGGAGATGCCTATCGAGCTGCATGATTTTATAATCTAAATCTAGCGGATTATTCTACATTTTTCTACAAGTCTTAGACACGGCACAAAACATTCAAAATCATTGAATTATAATTAACACTAAAATACTCACGTTAACAGGCTCTAGTCGGAGATATTCCGACAAAATCATCTGTAAGTTTGTTTTCAATTTTCATTTAGAAAAACGAATACATAACATTTTATTCTGGGAAGTAATTTCAGGCCCTAATATTTTGGAGCAGTTTGTTACTGTTACAAAAAAAGCACAATTTAATCTAAAATCAAACAACATTTTCACTATCAAATTTGCCTTTGTCTATCTATTATTCTTAATTTACTTCCTAGGTTCTGAGAGCTTATAATCCGTAGTAATTACGAATTTGAGACCCGAACAAAAAACTTCCATCAAACTCAGTGATAAGGAAAGCAGGCAGTGTTTAAAATATTCTTTGTGAGTAGGTGTACCTATTCTATTATTATTGAACAAGCTATCGCCATTTGAACTAAACCACTGGTAACAAAAAGTTCGATAAATACTATATATTGAATTCTTTGAGTGCTAGATCTCCACACTAGGTCTCAGGTTTGGTCATACTCTTGCTACTATTACTTCTGATATCAACCGCTGGAAGCAGATGGAACTTCAGATCGTTTTCAAGAACATCTTCTGCAACAGCTCTATCGGCTTCAGCGTAGTTTGGATCATGAGTGAACCATATGCCTATGGCACACCGTGAACCTTTCGTTACGGCTCTGATACCATGCAAATTTTCAGCACCAGAAGTGAAAGCTACCATTCTACCACAGGTCGGTTTGATAGAACTCTGAAAAGTAATAATAAGGGTATCCCATAACTATAAAAGGTCGAAACTAGGAATTCATATGATATGATTTATTGCAGCATAAAAGGTTGTACATAAGTAAAATGCTTAACACTTATCAGCCTAGTGAGTGATGAAAATATTATATTTATGAAAATAAATCCAAATAAAGCAGACAAGTGAATGGCACATCTCTGAATGGGATCTAAGAGATTCAGCGTATGTGGAAACAGTATTCTAAAATGGGCCGGATCTATGCTTCAGTAGATCATACAAAGCTGTTGGAGGTGAAGTAGCTTCTGCGCGAAATTGTTAAGCATCTTTCGCGATGGATCTGACATGTTTTTTTCATTGATGATGGAAATACCGAGCATAGATATAGTGGTCTTGATTGGAATGGTGGTACCAGACATTGCTATATCAGACATACTGAGCTCAGCTTTTTTAGAATGGCGTTAAATTCAACCAGGTTGTTGGTATAAATTCAGCAAGATCTTCGTTGACACGGTTGACATGCCTTCTTCGGCTTCGTCGTGAGTTTTTACTTTCCTGGGAAAAAATGGGAATTCTAGAAGTGAACGCAGAATGGAGACTACTATCATCTGCAAGCTGTGGATAGGGCAAGTGGTGGCTCCCAACAAGATCATTGATATGAAGTTGGAACAATGTTGGTGCCAAAAGTGATCCTTGTGGAACGCCGAAATTGATGGCAATGGTATCAGACGATACTAAGCCAACCACCACATGGAGCGATCTACCTGAAAGAAAACTTGGTGGAAGAAGGCATAGCTAAGGTGGTAAGCCATTCGATGGGAGTTTTTGAAGAAATCTTTGGTGCCAAACATGATCAAATACCGTCGATTTATCCAACGCCACAGTTAGAGATTTATGAAGCTTGCCATATATGCGCGTAACGTAAGCAAGTCAATCCCCAGTTGATCTCTGATGATTTCTGATTCCTGAGCTTTCAAGATGTTATATGAACTCGATGTTGATGATTCGATTGGAATTTTGGTCACATGAAAACTGGACGTTGATGTTGATCCAACTTCTCTAGAAGAGTATAGGAACAAACTAGCCTTAACATTTATAAGTCTCGAACTTTTCATCAGTAGGTACTTGAAAAATTTCAGATGCTCCAACTATTTTTGTTTTTTGTTACTTACTTGTATTTGAGATCCATATTTATCAGCTGCAAATATGAATTCTCCTCCTTCAAAGTCATCATTTAAATACAAGATGGCGCTATAATCTCTCCAAGTGAAAGCTGGTGGAACTTTTGAACAAGTACCGTTGTCCAAAATATTGCAATTATCAGCATGGATTTCGTGACTAAAATCTGTTCTCTCCTTTGGCGAATCTGAAATTTGGGATCTTCAGAACTCCTAAATTACCGATTGAAGATATATACTCGTACTTGATTCGAACTCACCTGACAAAGCTGATCTACAAACAAGCTGTGTATAAGAGAAATATAATTTTTCTGGCACTCCGAAGTATTCTTGAATTGGCTTCAAAAGTTCGCCAGTTACTTTCAAATAGATTTCAAGATACCTAGGTTGGAGCAGACCGAAATACGTCAAAAATACTGTTCTACTCAACGTGATCCCCTCAAATTTTTCCATAGCAGTATGTGGTGACTTTTTTCCATCATATCCATCACCTACTCTAGCGAACAATTTTGCTATTGTAATAAGAGACCTACATTCTTCTTCTGAAGCCACTCCGTCAGATACGAACCTTTTTTTACCACCTAGCTGCTTTTCTTGCATCGTGATTTGAAATTTAAATTTTTGGGCCTGAAGGAGTAAAACGTTTGATTGGTCAGTACAGAACCTGACGTTACATTACTAGGATGATTTGGTGATCGAATTATACAAATGAAATTTCAGAAGAATGATAGCAGACCCAAGTACCAAGTGGATAACGTTAAACGTGTTGCGCTGGGATTCTGAATATTTCATCAGGTGAGTGAAATTTTAGCATATGAGTAGGTATTATTATTTAAGAATTTTATGTACAAATTATAACGAAATCGTTGCATTTCTGAATTCCATTCAGGTTGTGTACCCAAATGTCATTCCATATTTTGAAATTGAGGATGGTTACAAATTTCTTCACAAAAAATATTCTGTTTCGAAAGGAGAAACAGGCTTTAAAAATATAATCTGTACTATGTTGCTTTTATTTTGGTCGTGACACACTTATCTCTTATCTAATATTACATTTCAGTTGATGTGAATTTTGACCTCTTGATTGAAGAAATAGCAAGTCCATCATTTATAGTTTTACTATCGAAATATCTAATATGATTTCCGGGATAGAATAAGCCAGAATTAAAATATATGGAAATTAAACGATAAATTTTTTTCAACCTTATACAAATGATAATGTTATCATGTTCTTTGAGCAGCAATTTTCAACAAAAAAGTCTTTTTCATATTCAGAATCTTACGAGCATAATGGGCAACGTTAAGTTGACCACCCTGTACTTACTATCTGATAAATATTAATCAGAACTGAATGAATATAGGTATTTTATTATAACTGATATCTTGATACAAAGGCACATATAACACAATATCCCAAATCATCGTGTGATGTTAATAAACTGGTCGACAAAAGTTAGAGAGTATTATTATTTTATTGAGTGTGAATTGAGTTAGATACTAACTTTTTTCACCGTCAAAAATAGAAATTTGAGGTGATAGTATTTACAGAAAAGTTGGCAGAAGCATGAGTTGAAGTTCACGCAGTGATGTCAGAGTCTACTGCAGAAGATTGGCCCTGCAATAAGTTAAAGTTGTTAATGACCAACCACATGCCCTCTGAAGATTAATTGCACATCGAAGAAATTAAAAACACCGAGTCCTAGTAAAGCAATTCACAAAATTTAGATCAGTCATCATTGAATAAACCACCCATCTAGTTCACATTTGACGCATAAGAAATCAAATTTAAATAATTATTTTTTTTATAGATAGATAGCTTTATTCAAGTGGCATTATTTTTACAATAACTAACTAGTAAAACCTTATAAACTGATCGAAAAATGCTAAGGATATTTTTTTAAACGCGCTATATAACATATTTTCTGGAAAAATATTGTCATTGCAAAAAGACAATATCCTCAACTTACGCAAACGACATAGATATACCACATTTTTTTGAGAAAAAATATCTTCATAGCAAAAATACAATATCCCTAACTTTTTTTGATCAGTTTATATCAAAAGAACATTTAATGCTGATCTGTTTTGAAACTTCTGGAAAAACTCCATTATTGTTTGTAGACGTTTGTAGTGTGAATTTGAGCAGAGTATAACCCAGAAGAAGCCTCGCAAAGATTTCCAATATTGAATTTGAAACTACCATATATAGTTTATGAACATTATAGCAATCATAATTTTCCCCTGTCTACTTAATTCAAATTCAGTCATAAAAATGTATTTGGTTTCATTGTAATTATTATTTTTTTGTTAGAAAAACCAACAACACAGATTATTCACATGTCACATGTCGCCCACGTCATTTTTGAGATAGCAAATGTAGTGAGAAAAGGCTATGTAGATGAAGAAATAGTCTTACCTCGCTAACTTCCCCTGCTGATGATTTGGTTTTGAATTCTTGGTTGATGAATTTCATTAGCCTTGTTTCGTAAGTATGTCTCTGGACATATCGGATTGCTTCCTACAATGAAAAAAATATAAATTATAGAGTCTCTCGTCTCTTCAGCAATCATACATCTCTGGGCTGGAAGAAATCTCTATTCACTTTCGGTAGCTTGGAATAATATCTCATATTTTCGAGCATCGTGTCATCGTCAGGGTAAAATATCAAATAACTGGCCACTGCTCTACAGGCTGACTTCAATTTGCCCGCTACAAAAATAAATTAACACAGTCCTTGAATATTCTCAGATATACAGGGTGTGCCGTGACTCGATCCCCATAGCTAATGGGCATATTCCTTGAACAATTTCAAGTCCAAAACTCAAAAGTTCAGGAGTTATGAGCAAATAAATAACAACTACAATTAAATAACTGCTTTGCCTACTGGTGGATTGAAATATGTTGTGGTCTAGTTCTTTGGCCACCAAGGTCTCCTGACTTAACGCCTCTCGACTATTGGGGGAAATTCTACAGACACCCATAAAAGTACCAACTTGGCAAAAGCGCATACTGAGAAATATGCTACACTTCAAGCCTAGCATTTCCTGTAGAAAACATTTTCGCGACACGGGTATTCTAACTGTATGTAACTTGTATATTCTCCAGTATCTTACCTACTCAAAGAAAAATATTCATAATTCCCAAACCTGTGGGGAACGAAATCCTTATTGTAGTAGAGCTGCAGGTACAGTTTATGTTCCACCGTACTCACTAACCCAAGTGAAGAATCGTCCTAAGATAACAGCCATCATCAATCACTTACCCCGTATCATTACTCAGATTAGCTGCTTCAATCAGTTCAAGTCAAAAATCACCATTGTCTTGAAAGAGACCCCTTTTTACTCCCTGCAAGTGTTCTTTGAAAACCAATTTTAACATGTTTAATATACCTAGATACTGTTTTGTTAGTGATGTTATTACTGTTAGTATATATATATAATGTCATTTGGCCTGTTTCCCAGTTTATTATACTATTTTTCTATTCTAGTATCAAATTTTGCACATTAGCTTATTCAACATTATCTTTGCTTCCTTCAACTGTAAAATTTAAAATTGCTCATTACTTCTCAACTATAGAGTTTTGGACAAAAGTGTTTAAGGTACTTTCGACTCGAAGTTGTTTAAGAAATATGCCCTCAAGTCGTGGGGTTCGAGTCACGGGACACCCTGTATAATGAACATGACAAAAATGAATATATATAGATAAAGAAATACATTGAGAATTCGCATTCTCTATCTGATAAAAATATTATTTATTATTTCTCGTTATATTCAACACAGTCCTCCATATTTTTGATTTACTATCGATGAAAATAAATAAAAATTTACCAACAGATGCGTTCCTTACCTTTGAAATATGCGTACTGTAGATAATGATAATGACTAGGTAACAAATCATCATGTATTTCACCATTCAATGACCCTAATCTTGTTCTGCATTTTTGCTTACATTTCAAACTCACCGTGAAATGATCTGAAAAAAAAAATCGAGATGATTTGATTAATCCAAAAGTTTCCCTCCCATCAAAATTTTACTTTGCAGGCAAATTAAATCTGGCGAAAATTGAGTCATGTTCGAAGCTTATACATTTTTTCAAACTGAGTTCAATATTATGATTATTTATGCGATATGTATATCAGTCGAATGACATAATTATCAAAATTGTAGATTGTAGATTTTCGAAATCGCAAATATTGTTGAGTCCTTTGATTATTGGAAATAATGGGAAAAAGTCGTAAGACCCCAAAAAATTTATGAAGGAAATATTTTCGATTTTGATCATACCAAAACGTTTCTCGTCACTTCTGTATTTGCTATTTCAGATCAAACGACCTTTGCAAATTAAACCGACGCTATAGTCTATGCAAAGCCAGTTGGGACAGATCATCAAAGGAATGTCGGGCTGCGCTGCCGAACTTTCAAAGGGACCGACGGCCCGCGATGATGTGTTGTTCCAACTGACTTTGCATAGACTTTATGTTATTTCATTATTTTTTTCAAAAACGTATATATATATATATATATTTTATTTATTGATAATGATGGATCTTACTGGATATCGATGGAATGAAATCTGGATACCATCCATGATCGAATGGCCCCTCACAATGTGCCCTGCATTCTTCCTCAGCTTGAAGATAAGCACTCAAACTTTCTTCCATATTGTCAATCACTGTACTCCAGTGCTTACCCTCGTATGCGTCTGCTCCATGAACGTATAAATACACATAGTCCTAGGGGAATAATTTATAATTCTAAAACAAGTACAATCCCTTTCATAAAATTCCATAAAGGTATCAAAAAGGGAATGAATATTTGATGACGGGTGGTTTGATGAAATCATTTTTATACAGGGTGTTTCCTAAACTTCGGTAAAAAAATTGTGGAATGATTTCCGAAATATTTTTATGAGAAAAAGGTTTCTATAGATTGTTTTTCCTCAATATTTCTGAAACCTTCCATTCAAAAATCATGGAATTTAGTACATCGTATACACTTATGATGCTGAATCAGAATTTCAAAATTATCAATATTATCATACTGGGTAAAGGTAAGGGTAAAAACAATCTCAAATTTTTCATGGTATTTTTATCAACATTTTGACTTGAGAATATGTTAGCTGAAGGTATTTTACGTAAAAAATCACTCAATTCATATCGATAGGGCGAGAAAATCTCCATTTTCTGCATCGACGCAACGGCACCCTAAAATCATATTCTGGGCTCAAATTTTTTAAACTTTTCAGACGCGTTATCTTTTAAGAGTATGAGCTCAGGATATAATTTGGCTTCAAAAATTCATTTAGGGTACCAAAATTGCGATTTTCTCGAAAACTACTCGCCCTATGAAGATGAAGTAGGATATTTTGATGACAATAATAATAATAATAATAATAATAATTTATTTCCAAAGAAAAATAATACAAATGTGAGAAAAAAAAAGATATTATACAAAAAGTATATATACAAGAATACAAATTTAAATCTGAGAAAATCTGATTTTTTCATACATACAAAACAAACAATATTATAAACTTCATCTAGATACAAAGTGTGGAGGATCATTTACATATATGAATAAAATAACAAAAGGAAATAAATCTAGAGAAATCCCACGAAGATAAACTTGTTGTGGGTATATTCAGGATACACTTCTCTGTATATATATTACATACATATCACGAAACACACTTAGGAACACAGAAATACATGTTTTATATTAAAGTGAGTAAGTAAGTGAATGAAATTTGAAATTCATAAAAATCAGCCGAAGGTTTAAAAGTATTTTGATATGCTCGAATGTATAAGTACAAAAATTTGTCATTAGAATTAAAAATCATAGAAGTTGGTAATTTTGTTGGTATCAAATATCGATAAGTTTCGTAGCCAAATTTTCAGTTTGTTTCTGTATAGAGTTATGTTATTAAGTTCTCTTAGTGACTGCGGAATATGTGAAAAAATTTTAGGAGCTGTAAAGTAAAAAGATCTCTGGCCTATACTCTTCGCAGTTTTTCCAGTTATGAATTCAGATTTTTTTTTATGTCTTGTATTGTGTTCATGTTTGATGAATGTCAACTGATTTTTATTTTTATATTGTAGACACATGACCTTGTAATAGTAAAGCTTAGTTAGGTTGAAAACTGGTATTTCTGCAAAAAGTTGTTCAGTAGGATAGGTGCGATTTTTATTGTAAATTATTTTCAAGAAGAACTTGTAAATTTTTTGTGTGGCAACTATATGCTCCCCCCCAACCGGATATGCCATATTGAATATGGGATTCTACAAGTGAATGGTATAGAATTTTGAGTTCCTTTATGCCAAGAATATTCTTCAGGTGTTTGAAAGTGAATAGGATAGATCTTAATTTTTTAACTACTTTACTAATATGAACATCCCATTTAAGGTTCATATCAATTTCAATTCCAAGGTAAGTTATAGATTCAACTTTTTCAATTAAATGAACTGTGTTATTTACTATCAAAGTGAGAGTTTCAATATCTGGTGAGTTTGATTTGTTACAAGAAAATGTCATAAATTTTGTTTTCTCTAGATTCAACGTGAGATTCATTTCGCTAAGCCAACTACTTATTTTTTCGAGGTTCTGTTCCGCTTGGTTCTTTACCTCGTTCCAAGTACTAGCAGTACAAAGAATGACAGTGTCATCCGCAAATGAGGATATACTCAAATTTTTTTCAATAGAAAGAAGGCCATTAATGTACACCAAAAATAATACTGGGCCTAGTACCGTTCCCTGAGGTACTCCGATCGATAGTTCTTTAGGTTCGCTACTCTCGTCATCAATTTGTACATGTTGTTTTCTATTTTGGAGGTACGATCTGAAAAGGTTCGACACAGTTCCCCTCAAACCAATGTTGACTCTTCCAGTATGCATGGTACACACCTGATTGAAAATTTGAAATTCTGTTTCAGTATTGAAAGTTTATGCGATATTTCAAATTACATGATTTTTGAAGAACGGTTTCGGAAATATGGAGGAAAAAACCGAGGAAAAACTGTCTTCAAAGGTGCCGTATTTGAAGGGTCGTATGACCATCAGGAAGCATTTTTCGACAAATACCTATATATTTATATGAGCTTTTTTTCATGAAAATACCTCAGGAACAACCTAATTTTCACCAATGTTTAGGAAACACCCTCTATATTCGCAATCTCAGATCAATCTGTCTGATGTATACGATGGTTTTATTCCTTTTGAAAGTGTTTTGAAATGTTATCATTTTAGTGAGGATCTACCCACAGATATTTATTTTTAAATGAATAAAAAATCGTAAAACAAGCTCATGTGCAAGCTGATTCAATTCGCTAATTTATATTCCAGAATGATTCATCATCCATACATATAAGGCAAATATAATGCGACATACATCTAACAATATCTTATTCGAGATTTGCTTTTGAGTACAACATAGAAATTCAATTGGTACATAAATGTTGTTTCTTGTAAGTATACAGGATGACAGGATGGACACCCAGTATATCTTTCTCATTTCTGGAAGATCAAGCACAAAAATGCATTCAGCAGATTGAATATTTTATGTCATAGTCACATATATATATATATATATGATTTTTATCAATAATTAATAAACGTTACTCGATTGTGGCCATATGTTATCATATTGGAAAGCTCATTAAATTAGCTTTTAGATTGGTTTCCTACCTATTTTATATGATAGAGCTATTTATAGAGTATGTTTTCTTTGACTAAATATAAGTATATGACACTACACTGTTTTACCACTAACCAAACCGATTTTTTAACGCCTCGACACGTGTTTCGCTAGCTATGTTAGCATCTTCAGGAGAAGATTAAAACTAAAAAACTGAGTATATGAATTGGTACAAATTTTAGCGATTAGAAAATTTCTTAATTATATAACATCATTTTAGGACACCCTGTAGATTGGTTATTAGTGCATAATCTTTACTCTCAGGTACCCGCTTGAGTACTTACACTCTCAAAAATGTTATCCAGTTCCCTAAATTTTCCAGTTATGTTTTGCTAAGAAAACACGTTTGTGAAACCTAATAATTGAAAAATGCTCACGAGGAATATTTTCTGTTATCAATGTGTAGCAACTCACTTTGGCTTCAAAATTCACAATATCCTTCATTTCAACTCCATCCATTTCGGTGTAATATTTCAAGTTATCTAGCATTACTTTGTCTTCAGGATGTTCAACTATATACGTAAATGCTGATGAGGCAGCTTTCACTACGTCTTTCATCTGAAAAACCAAACGAAAATGTTAAACAAATCATATTTCCTTATACAGGGTGGGTGTATATAGGTATATGCCAAGCGAGGAAGAAACATCGAATGCACTTCGAAAGTAACTATATACCGTGTAAAAGTGTGTGATTTTTTTTTACTTTCGCGAATAGCTCGTTTCCGAATAATTTCTATATCGGCCAAGATGAGAGGCTGTTTCCCTTCAAAAAAACCAGGTATATCTGTCGAGATCTGGTAGTCTTCAAATACAGTGGCCGGTAAAATGATCTCGCACGCATTTTAATCTTTAGGAAAAACGACATTGTTATTGCTATTCAATTTTTTTATTGACTATAAATGTATACTGTGCCGTTTCTTCATTAAGTTTTGAAAATTACAGATTCCAAAATTCACAATTTTCTTCCATACTTTTTCAGCAGTCATTGAGGAAACAGTTCAGCCTCGAATGTGTATCGAAAAAATTGGTCACCACTTGGACTTTGGACACGTAATTCTCCTCAATGAAAACAAATGGCATAGTAGCTACATATTTCCATTCAATGAAAAGAAAATGTATGTGCATTTACAATAGCGCTTTTATTGAAGATTAAAATGTGGGTGATGATCATAGTAGGCTTATATCAGGTGGACTACGTATTAACGTATGCTTGATGATGAATTCAACCTATCTCTTAGTTGAGATTTTAGTCTTCAGAATTAATTTTTTCTGACTCCCCATCTTTTTTTGTTCAAATCCTCGGAATTATGGCAGATGTAAATGTTCCAGGCCAACCAGGTCTAGGTTCTGAGGTCGAGCACTGAACTCACGTTGGGCGCCACTTTCACTATAAAAGTGTCCGCCTGGTGGTAGGTATTCATGTTCAAGCATTATACCGGAACCCTCTATTTCAGTTTCTAGACACCCTGTATAGGATATTTTGATAGTTTTGTTTTCGCGGAGGTTAGCACAGTGTATTTATATTTTGCGCGTTTTGTAGGCATGCCCAAGCCCCATACCCAAAAATAGATTTTTATTGCTAATACTTTACCAAGACTTCTAATAATATGAGACTGGAAGTTCATCAATTCCAGTTTCAGTGACAGCTTTTGAATAGAAGATACCTATAATGACTTTCAGGACGATTAAGATGACCATTGACCAAAATCCAGCAAAATGTAATTTCCTATGCATTACAAATATTTGGAAATATGTTTCATAGCAAATATGTTCATCAAATAATAAGTTGATTGTACCTATCTAGGTAAACGAAGCTTCTATAGGGTGCTATAATAATATGTGTTGAATAATATGTTTTATATATAATACAATGATTAAGTTAAACTACTTATAAAAATGAGCGGATCATTTATCATTCATTACTAAGTATTCAAACAATAACATTGAAGATTACGCAATCTATTATACAGGATAATGAACTTGGCGGAACTTGGTAATATGACGACACCCTGGCAATTCATCGCATGTTAGTAAAAGAGCGCTTGTCATATAGAGGGTATATTTCCAGAGGGTCCTCTTGCATGAGGAAGATATTATTATTATTGTTGTGTTGTATGGTTGTTAATCAATGAGGAATCTTATTGATTATTCGCTGTAATATTCACCTGAAAATAGCAAATGTGTAAATATTCGTAAGGCTTCTGCTCTTCGAATAACTTTTCCGCTTCTGCATTAACGTTGTAATTCTTCAGGATTTCCGGATTATCATTTTCACATCCAATAATACACAAAGTTTGCCGTATCGCTCTCTCGTAAAACAACAAATTGTCTATATCTACAGGATACAACGGTTCGGACAATTCAGCGTCAGTTTTGCACTTTAATCTACAATTTTGTAATATTTTCCGGTACCTCCGATATTTCTCTAACGATTCTTCGAAATTCTTCACGCAGTCTTCCCAGTTATTCTCTAAATAAGCCTCCACACCTTTCTCGTACAACTGAACACATGTATCAGTAGCGTTAATTTGATCTGAAAAGACTGGAGCAAGAAAATAAACATTTAAGACGAGGCTTAACAGAATGCACGTGGCGCTCATATTGGACTCAATAAGTATACTGGTCTGGACGGTCTGGTATCGGCAGTGAAATTGTGGTATTGTGGAGCGCAGCATACTTGACGAGCCATAAAGATTCATGTGGGGTTCGGACCAGCCTCCAGCCAGCCTACAGATTAAGTATATAAAATTCTCAAGAAGTTGTTTGCTGTTTGTTGCCAATCTCCTCCGAAACGGCTTGACCGATCCTTATGAAAACTTTGGTGCACATTTGGTAGGTCTGAGAATCGGTCGTAAGCTATTTTTCAAATTGTAAATTCGAGATGGCGGACCTAAATATGGCGGACGAGTTTTGTAATTATGATCCGATTCTATTCAAAATTAATATTCGGGGGTTTTCGGGGTCGGAGATTATGATTCTTTCGTCAAAATTTGGAAATTCAAGATGTCGGAGCCAATTGGCGGACGGGTTATGTAATTATGATGCGATTCTATTCAAAACTGGTACCTGGAGATTTTTGGGGTCGAAGATTATGATTTTTTCGTGAAAATTGGGAAATTGAAGATGGCGGATTCAATATATGGCGGACGAGTTCTTTAATTATATGATCCAATTCTATTCAAAATTGACATTTGTGAGTTTTCGGGGTAGGAGATTGATATGATCCTTTTCCAAAAATTTGGAAATTCACTATGGCGGATCCAATAATATGGCGGACCGGTTTTGTAATTATGATCCGATTCTATTCAGAATTGGTATCTGGGGATTTTCGGGGTCGAAGATTATGATTCTTTCGTGAAAATTGGGAAATTTTACGTTTACGATGGTAGATCCAATATGGCGAACGGGTTTTAAAATTATTATCCGATTCTATTCAAAATTTATATCTTGGGATTTTCGGGGTCGAAGATTATGATTCTTTCGTAAAAATCGGGATATTCAAGTTGGCGGATTCAATATATGGCGGACGAGTTTTGTAATTATATTGATTGACAGTGAGTTGATGATCGCAACATTTATATTGTGCTCTGGGCTCACATTTTTTCCTCTGGTCATCTATTACGAGCCAGAGACTATATCTTGATGCACCACAGACCGATGTGCTCCTGAGACGTTTTTCTTATAGCAGGTATATATATACATTCGTCATATGTCCAGTTGTCCAGTTGTTGGAAACTAGCAGCCATCCCAGTGGATGGCTAGGAACCTTCTAAACCATATATTCACTCTGATACTGTCGTAATCGGACTTTTTCATTATTTACAAGTAATTTTGTGTGATAGGTCGTTTCACGATCAGGAAATGCATGATTCCATATTCATCATACAACTTTCACGAAATTTCCCTTGAAGTGCTTCACTTGCTTTCAGGGTCATTATCTGGTCGTCAATGATCATTTTCATACTGATTTCGTTAGGTACCGTCTGTGAGGAAGAGGTGCTCGACCTCGAGATAACGTCAGATTCGGAAATTTCTGTCTTCGGACTGTAGTGGCGAGTTGAATCCCACTTCTGATGTTAACTGTAGTTAGTTTCATTGATGAAATAAACACAATTCCAAGAAAACAGTTTTATTCTTCTGATGACTTCCTATATATGGCAAAAGTGACAACCTTCAGAAACATCCCTTTACAGACTAGAACCTCACTCTAACCTAATACAGATAGTGTATATCATGACTCCAAAACATATGATGCTAACATGTATATATGCGCATATACATAAATTATACTTGCTTACCTATTTTTATTGTTTCCTGAAATTACCATTCACCTGGTTTGAAAGTAAACTACTCTGTATATTGACACATAATATATTGATCTGTTATATTTGCCAATGGCTTTGATTCACCTGATAACGGCGTTATGTTATTTATATATGAATCTGATTAGGTGCCTCAAATAAGTCAGTTATAGTTAACATTCCTATATATACTATTATGGAGTGTGTGTAGCTTCATAAATAATTAGAAATCTTATATTGTTTTCGAGTAAATAATTGATAATATTCGTGTGTCCAAAGAGGAAAATGTACGTTTGTGAGATTTTCAATAAGTATTCATTATACAGGGTGTTCCAGAATAAAGTTCGTATACTCCGCGAGATAATTCTTCAGATGAAAATAATAAAAAATGATTTTATCAACATATGTGTCCGAAAATGCTTCCTAAGGGCGCTAGAGCCCTTTCAAGGTAGGTCCATGAATACAGTTTTCTTCAATTAAATTTGTTTCAATGTTTTCATCGATCCTAGAATTATGAAATTTTGCACCTAAGGGTGGTTGGATCTTACAAATCGGATCGTGGTAAGGAAAACATTATTTATTATTATACTGGTAGGTGTGAAACTCGTAACCAATGCTATAAAAATGCCCCAGCTTGTTTTATTTCAAGATTCGTCTCATTTCTTCTACCAAAATATGATTCTCCAAACACGTTTATGAGAAAAAGGTATTCTTGTTAGAATGCTGTAAAACGAACCTATTTCGAGAAAAGTGTAAGTTTCCATTTTGATGTCCGGAAAAATTCATCACCATCATTTTGATCGCGTGAACTCTTATGATGAAAAACTCATAACTTAGAATCACCTCCCCGAGTATACGAACGTTATTCTGGGACACTCTGTAAGGGTGTAGTGTGCAGTGCTCTGCTCAATTTTTTTATTCATTTATTTTTTTAAGTTACTATTAACGTATATGTCTTAAAATGCATCCATTCTGAGATACAGGATGTCAGAAGTACGAAAAAAATCGAGATTCATATCGATTAAACTTGGTACATCATTCCAGAATGATGAAGAGGTATAAAATTACTTGGAGTTTTTATTTCTGAATTTTGTCAACCAGTGGCGTCGTATATCTTGCCAAATTTTCTTTCATACTTTTTCCTAGATAGATATAATATGTCGATTTGGTGCGTGACATCAGTTATTGGCTTATTGATACTCAACCTAAAAGTAATAAATCATGGAAATCATCCAGAGTTGTATCACTCTGGAAGAAATATTATATTTTCAATTTGAAAGCGTTTGACCTTCAATTCCAACAAAAATTTCGTCCGCGGCGCATTTTTTACTATATGCAGAAATAATGTCTGAGTTTCTTGATCCTCCTTGGTATACACTGATCACTCTGAAAAAAAACTTAATTATCAATCTGAAGGGATTTGACCTTGAACCGAAAAAAAAATTCCCGCTGAAAAAAACCAATTTTCAATCTGAAGGGATTGGACCTGGGAAACAAAAATCTTCACCTGCGGCGCATTTTCACAGTACCAAAATTCTGTCTGAGTATCTTGACCACACCCTAGTATTCACTGAAATGACGCCCCTGCTTCAGAATTGATGCATAATTAATGTGGAAGCTGTGCAGTATTCTTCTCTATAAGGTTTTCGCGAACTCAGGGACTTTATATAATATATTGTGTATTTTTCTGATGCATTTCTTAATAAGATATTATTTTATATAAACAGCCACTAATAATCAAAATTTCGATGAGTTCGATTTCTGTTTGTCTTGTTGCTACATTATATTTAAGTGATTTGAATATTTTTATATCTACCTACTAGATATGACTAATTTCAAATTAGAGATTATTTCGAACTTTTTCAATTACCTACTGTAGTATATATGACTAATTCAACTCATATCTGTTATCACCGAATGCCGAGGGATGCGTAAGCGTAACCGATGTAAAAGAGCAGTAGATGTTTGACATTCGAACAGTGAAGACTGTTATAAAAGTATTACCGAAAACAGTGTTTAATTACGAAAGTGCAGGTTGTTATACCTAGTGTTTTTTTATAGAGGACACTAATAAGATAATCATTCTCAGTAGCAGGTCTCAACAAGTGATTAACATTCGCATTATGTAATTTCAATCTTCTAGGACAAAATATGGATCAACCCTGTAAATACATATTAAATTGATTATACTGTTAGGTATACGATCAGTAGAACTTTCAAATGAGGTGTCACATGACCCCTGTTTGTATTTAAAAAAATTGTCCAATACGTCATTACTTCATCACCGGTGACGAAACATCGCTTTTATCAATATCATGAGATGGGGCTTTAAAAATCAAAATTCACGTGTTTTCAAATTTTTTTGAGTCAGCGTTTTTCTGAAATGATGAATTTTGTACATATATACATATACAGGGTGTCCGGAAGATCATGTCGTAAATGATTGGGCTGATTATATAAGTGAGCCAAAATTAATAATATCAGTACTTTTTATAAAAGAAGATGTCTATTGTGCTTCGTTACGTAGTTATTGACTTTGAAAGTGAGAATGAAAAAAAAATGAATTTCGTGCATAACTTTCAAACGGTTGCCAGGGTATTGATGATATTATTCGTGCAGTTAAATAAACTCCTACTAATGCACCTTTCCATGTAAACGGCTTTTCAGATATTATGTTTTATATAGGATGGAACAAATTTTTTCCGTTTAATGAAAGCATTTTTGACAAATTTGTCATTTTGCTTTCACCGTTTGATCCCCTCATCTTTTTTCTACAAAAATGGTATACTTCATTTCAATCGATTTCTTGTACCGATGTAGAGAAAATCGCATTTAAAAACATACATCCCAACTGTTTCAAAGGTGATAAAACTCAATTTATTATCAATGTATGGATAGGACTAATTGGCTACTGCTCAATTACGGATCTTCAATATTCAACTCTTTTGCAAGAACATCCAGATCCGTTGTTAGGAGAGGTTCTTTTGAATATTCGAGATGATATATGTGGCTGATGCACGATCGTGCGCCTCCTCATTTCGACAAAGCTGTAAGAGATCATTTGTATATCAGATTTCTCCATGGTCCTTTTCTATGGACACCTCGGTCACCTGATCTCAATCTACTTCATTTTTTTCTTTGGGGCCATCTTGAATGTTTAGTCCATGATGAAACACCGCAGTAAATGTTAGGGATCAGCTTTTGAATCGAATTCTTACATCTGCATGCACACGCCGTAAGAAATGATCATTATCACATGTTATCTCGATTACAACGCAGATGTTTAGAAAACTTTAGAAAATGCGTTGAAGTTCAAGATGCACATATTGAAAACCATTTTTGATAATCTTCTCGTCTTCACTGATGTCATTCCATATGGAGAGTTTTAATTACCTCTGAAAACGGTTAGAATGTATGTTTTGAAATGCGATTTTCTCTAGAACGGTACAAGATATCGATTGAAATAAAGTATACCATTTTTGTAGATAAATGATGGAGGAATGTAACGGTGAACGCAAAGTGTGAAATTCGTCACCTAGCTGTGTCAAACGGAAAAAAATCGTTCCATCCTGTATAATACATATTTACTGAAAAGCAGTTTACGTATGGAAAGGAGAATTAGTATGGGTTTATTCACCTTCGCGAATATTATCGATACCATATGGCAACCGTTTGAAAGTTATACATGAAATTAATTTTTTTAATCTAACTTTCAAGGTTAATAACTCCGTAACGAAGCGCGATAGACATTTTGTTATATGAAGTACTAACGTTATTTTGGCTCACTCTATCAGTCCTATCATTTACGACATTGCCTTTCCGGACACCCTGTAAACCAGTGTGTGACAACAATTCATTATTTTTTAACGGGTCGGCCGATTTTCGACAACTTGAGACTCAAAGAATAACTTATCGGCGAATCGGCGACTCTTATCCACCGTCTTCTGCCATTGACACACCCTGTATAATGCTGTATATTAATTGACCTACGATCACCGCGAAATTATGACGTCATCAGTTCGTCGCCAAAGCACAGCTTCAGGACAGTAATGACAGTTGAGTGTTCTATGATGGGTTATGGGTTTTATGTTTGTGTGGTGGTTGTCAAATGAAAAAATGAAGAGGGAAGAGGTTAGAAATTAAAAGAAATAGGAAGTGCTTATCATTCAAAATCAGAACAATGAAAAAAGTCTGAGGAACATAATAAAAGATAATAAATTGAGTTATCAAAACAATTAGTTATCTAACAGAAAAGTGAAACAGACTATTCAGCTTTGTTTTACACAAACTAGTGAGTAAATACAGAATTCCAATAGTTTTCAATCTCATTTAATTATGAGGGCTGTTCCTGCTGATACTGAATTCCCTGTATGGGGTCTCCTACCCAAAAAAGAGACTGGGGTTCTGTCTTTCCTTTCCAAGTACCCCAATTATGATGGAAGGGGTGTTGTCATAGCAATATTGGACTCTGGAATCGACCCTGGTGCCCCTGGACTACAAGTAATATCTTTGAAATTATGTATATTTATATTATATTAAAAATTACTTTGTAGAAAACATCAGATGGCAAAACAAAAATTGTGGAACGCTTTGACTGCAGTGGGTGTGGTGATGTTAATACCACAAATATTGTGACTTCAATTGAGGGTGTTATTACTACCCTTACTGGTAAAAAACTGAAGGTAAATAATGATGTTATTTATGAAAAGGTCTTGATTGTTTTTAAAATATGCACTTTGCAGATACCATCTTCTTGGAATAATCCTGATAATACCTACAGGATAGGAGTAAAACATGCCTTTGATTTATATCCAGATAGATTGAAGGAGCGCATGAAATCAGAGTACAAAAAGAAATCATGGGATGAATCACATAGATTAAAAATTAGTGAAGCAACTAGGGATATAGCAGAATTTGAAATTAAACTAAATAGTAAAGTCTTCTAACCAAAGATGCAGTCCAAAACATTTACTTACATTGTTTTTCAGATGCAAATTTGAAAGATACTGAGAAACTAGAAAAAGAAAATTTAGAGGCAAAGTTAGATATTCTGAATAATTTAGAAAAGAAGTATAATGATGTAGGCCCTGTTTATGACTGTATTTTATTTCATGATGGACAAAAATGGGTGTGCTGTGTAGATACCACTGAAGATGGTGACTTGACAAAGTGTCCTCTGCTAGGAGAATACAGTGTCACACATGAATATGCACCACTAACTGACCTAGACCAGCTCAATTTCAGTATAAATGTTCATGATAATGGCAATGTATTAGAATTAGTTGGAGTTTGCTGTGAGTACTTGTACTTGATAAAGACCTGATCTCTCATTTATCAAGGATTTTCAGCAAGTCATGGTACACATGTGGCCTCCATAGCCTGTGGATACTTTCCTGATTCTCCTGAACAAAATGGTGTAGCTCCAGGAGCTCAAATTATTTCTTTAACCATAGGAGATGGCAGGTTGGGTTCCATGGAAACTGGTACAGCACTTATTAGAGCAATGATTAAGATAACAGAATTGAAGAAAACCATGGATGTACATGTCATAAACATGAGCTATGGAGAATTTGCACATTGGGTAGATGCAGGGTATATTGTAATATATATATATTTGAATTTTATGAACTAATTCATCATGATTTACAGGAGAGTGGGCGATTTGGTAAATGAAATTGTGAATAGATATGGTGTAATCTGGGTTTCTTCAGCAGGAAACAATGGTCCAGCTTTGGGAACAATCAGTACCCCTTCTGACTCAATTAATGAACCAATTATCAGTATAGGAGCTTATGTGTCACCAGAAATGATGTTAGCAGAATATGCTATGAGACAAAAATTACCAGGTAAAATAAAAAACTTCATTCAGCAAATTTTGTTTATAAAAAAGAAAACCAATTCAATATTTGCTAACCATATATTAGAAGGAAATCATAGTTTTGGCAAAATTATTTATATGTAGAAAATGAAGTAATGAAATTTAATGATCTTGAATTAGAAACTGACAAACAAAAAAATTCTAACATTCTACTTAGATCATCTTAAGGGCCAACAAAAAGTAAATAGACTGAACAACTTCCAGGATAATGTTTATTTGTAAAATTGCTAAAATAGGTTGATTTTAATTCATGGTGTAGAACTTTTTATCTGACCCTCAACTGTCCTATGTAATTTCCCTTCCCGCCATTTGGCTGACCAATAGAATTTGGATAGAGAAGGTACTATTTATCACACATTTTTGAAGAAGTATTTTGATAACAAAATTGGTAATATGAATATAAGCGAGGTTCCTCTCAATTTTAGCACCCTCTTGATGATAAAAAAATTGTATGTAGTGTACATCTTTTAAAAGCTGACATTGGTGATGTTCTGATATGACATTACTCCACAGTATACAATTTAGGAACACTAAACAATTAGCAGTAGCTTTGAATTTTCATTCAATTTCAGGGAGACAGAAATCTAATAAACCCAAAAGAAGAAGACGTTGGTTTATATTTTCACAATTCTTATTACTCACGTTGATGGATGGAGTGATTAATCATATTATCTTAGAAAACATATTATCCGCTAGTCATTCTGATTCATCAGAAACACTAAGCTCTAGTACCTCTAGTTCCAGTGATGAAGAAATTAAGCATAGCTGTGAAATATTTGATATCAAAAGTAGGAATAACGAACCATCTTGTAGATAAGTAGCAGTTCAGCCTCCATTACCACTGTGAGATCGTCCAGTTCGACTTCATACATTTTCCCAAAGTATTTGAAAATAATAATATATAATTTGTATCCACTCATACCTTACCATTTGAATGCTTGACCTAACATTTCATGAATACTGGCACTACATCACTATTTCTGCACCAATGGCCAGCAGTGAACTTTTAGCCTTTAACAGGTTTCTTTGCAATGACCCGCGAAAACGTTGCCAGTAAATTTCAGTAAAATCTGAACGATAAAATATACTGGGCAGTACTGTTCGGAAATATCGGAACATGCTCTTTATCATCAGTTCAATGCACCAATAACATTGCATAACAATTGACAATATCAAAAATGAAATTTAATCATTTCAAAATATTGCCGGACTACTTGAGGTATTATGTAATTCAATTGAGTGCATTGGATACCAATATAAAACTAGCTTTCATATGAAGTGTCAAACATTGGGCTACATAATATTTTTTCTTGTGGTGGTTAGAGATATGATGAAAATATGTCCCCCATGAATTAAAAATCGACCTATTCCAGCGTTTTTTCAAGTAAACATTCTCCGGGTTTTTTCAATTCCGTTGGCCCACTCAATATAAGTTGAGCAAATAAATGTAAGCTTCATTTATTGTATGGAGTATTCCACATGAAGGAGCTACTGTGTTAGCAAAACATGTGGTGTTATTAAAAAATTTGTAGAAATCTCACCGTTTGTGATTTACATTTACAATAGATTTCCCTCAAGTAATGCATCAGAGTCAATACAAAAAAATTAAGTCGCGAAACAATAATTAATAGTATAAGTTGTGAGAATATTTTCGCAGGGTCGCCTTACACATGGTCTTCCAGAGGCCCCACAATAGACGGTGGTGTGGGGGTACACGTTTGTGCTCCAGGCGGTGCAATAACGTCAGTACCGAACTTCACATTGCGATACTCGCAACTAATGAACGGTACTTCTATGGCTTCTCCTCATGCAGCTGGTGTTGTGTGTGTACTCATCTCAGGTCTGAAACAGCAAAATCTACCGTACTCCCCTTATAATGTTCGCAGAGCACTTGAGAACACAGCTACATTCTTAGAAGGGGTGGAAATTCCAGCACAGGGAAGTGGTTTGATTCAAACGGAAAAAGCTTTTGAATACTTAACGACTTACCACGACGCTGAAGAGAGAGATGTTAGGTTTCAAATTCAGTGCGGTTCTTCAAATTCCAAAGGCATATACATCCGCTCAAAGCAATACACCACATCGCATATATTCAAAGTGTCAATTGAACCACATTTCCTCGATAGCGATAATGTCCCTGCCGATAAAAAGATTTACTACAACCAAAAATTCGTCCTGACTTGTGTGGCAGATTACATAAGCTACCCCATGCATTTAGACCTTTCAAACTTGGCGAGAATGTTTGCTGTTACAATCGACACGTCTACTCTTGTAGAAGGTCTATACTCCACCTTTATAAATGGTTATGATGTTAAATGCATTGAAAAGGGACCAGTCTTTAAGATACCTGTAACTATCGTTCAACCAAAAGCAATAGTAGAACCTAAGCATACAGTGTTTTATCGTGACGTCAACTTCAAGCCAAATACAATTAAAAGACATTACTACACTGTTCCGAATATGGCCACTTGGGCTCTTCTAAGGCTGACATCGGATGAAAGCAATGGTCGATTTGTGATTCACACTCTTCAAGTAGTGCCCAGGCAACACTGCACAGCACTGGAACTAAACAAGACTGTTCCCATAACCAACTCCTCTGACTTGATCTTATGTTTCCCAGTAGAAGGAGATTTAGTACTAGAATTGGTAATCGCGAAGTATTGGGCTAACTTGGGGGAAGCGAATCTGAATTACTCCATTTCATTTCATGGAGTCAAGCCTAATTTGCCATCTATAACCATGCATGCTGCTAATGGTATACAGAGTGTTGCAGTTAAAACACTTCAAGGAGAAGAAATATCTCCATCTATAAACTTGAAGTATTCCGTCCAGATATTGAAGTTAGTATATTGTATATATAGGGTCTTCCAAAGGTCGAATATATCTAGGAGACCTTGAATTTCACCTAGCTTCGTTGTTAGCAGCAACTTTTTTTATGTTTCATTTTTGATTTGATACGGCCATTTTCGAGAAAGGGTGAAAAATATCATTTCAATAAAAATGAACTCTGCTGCAAAACAACGGCCACTGAAATTTTTGCCCCTGGATATGCTCAAATAGAAATCTGAATGAAAAGTCCTACTGGAACATCATCATTGATGAATCAACATATTATGATCTAAAACAAATCATTAAAAATCAAATGAACAATGACTGAAAGAGAAAGTAGAATGGGAACTCCTAATTTTAGAGTAGTGTGCATTAACACATCTGATCATTTCAAGACTTTTGGGAGACCGTGTAAAAGAAATGATATTTTACAGGAATATCATACTGAAATGATTTGTGTATTTTAGGCCATCTGAGGGAAAAATTGCGCCACTGACGTTGCGAGACATAATTCCTCCCAGTAGGCAAATTTATGAGTTAGTTCTAGTATATAATTTTAGTTTAACAAAACCTTGTGAGGTGTCTCCTAATCTAGCTTTACTAAGCGACATGCTGTATGAGTCTGAATATGAATCCCAATTTTGGATGTTATATGATACAAATAAGCAATTGATGGGCTGTGGTGATGCTTATGCATCAAAGGTAAGCATACAGTGTCATTCTTAAAGTTGGCATCATATGGGAAAAACTGTCAACAATAATTTAGTTTGAAATTGGACTTTGGCGTTAAGTTTTGCTTCAAAAAATATTTAAAATGCCCTACTCGGTCGGAGTCACGTGATTCGCTACATATCAAAAGTTACATTTTTTCAAATTGATCGCTGAATATAGGCTCATTTGTTCGATTTTCAAAAAAGTTGTTCTATTCCAATTTGTAACTTGTATTGTAACTTTGACAAAGCATAAACTTAAGTTAGATACGTGAAGTAGTTTGATGAAATTTCCATTGATGACTGGCATCATTTTAGTACTGAAAAAATCAATTCAAATAATATTCGACCCTGAATGATAGACAATACATCAACTTTGCATCAAACATAGCAGAAATTAGAAGCGGGGATTATTATTTTCTGAAGAAAATCATATTTCTGTCGATAATCAGTAATTTAGTAGTAGTAGTAGTAGTAGTAGTAGTGACATGACCACGACCGAGTAGTCCATTTTCCATATTATTCAAAGCATAACTCAACGCCCAAGTCGAATTTCGAAATTATTATTAAAAGTTTTCCCATACGATGCCGACTTTATGAATGAACACTGTATATAGGGATTTTAAAATATACTTGAGATTCTTTCAGTATTCTAAAAAGCTAGAAAAGGGAGATTATTCCATTAGGCTACAAGTGAGACACGACAAAAAGGACTATCTTGAAAAAGTCAATGAGGCACCTCTCCTCTTGTATCAAAAACTGAATAACAGTATTACGCTGGACGTTTACTTGTCCTACTCACAAGCACTTGTGGCTGGAAAAAAAGCCGGAGTTACTTATAATTCCAATCCTCATGTGCCAATACCGCTGTACATTGGAACTTTGGCGCCTGACAAGTAAGTAACGAAAAATTGTACAACTCTGCTTGATCGCCTTTTTCAGATTTTCTCCTAAATCTAATAACCCTGCGCATTATTTGTCTGGAACGATCACTTACACTAGAGACGAAAATGGGAAAAAAGCTGACGTTTATGAAATTAAATACTTCTTGACTGATAATATCACAAAAAAATCACCCCTATTGAATGGTCCCAACTCTGATAAAACTAAGCTGGATGAATATAATGAAGCTATTAGAGACCTTAGAACACAATGGTTACCGAGACTAGGCAAGTAATCTAGAATTGAAATAATAAATGGGATTGAATACCTTAGCTTCATAATTGATAATGAATAGTCTCTTAGTGAAGAATTTTTTCAGATCTCCCAACTGCTGAAACTATCTATGAAGATCTCACAAAGCAATACCCAGAGCATCTATTAGTCCATTCAGCATATTTGCAGCTTATCGATCCTCTCGATAAGCGCGTTTTACCTAGCATCAAAAAACAGACATACCCAGTAGATGACATGAACAAAGTTATAGCGATATGCAATAAGGTCATCGAAGGCATAAACGAAGAATCTGTTTTGGCTTTCATTGCAACAAAGACTGATTTGAGACAAGATGCTGCCAAAATTAAGAGGTATTTTTGACTGATTATAAATAAATATCAGTACATTTGGAACCCATGTTTGTCAGTGTTTGTCTTTTTAATCTACAGGATCACAATGTGCTGTGTGTGATTATCATTGAAATATTTCTTTTAGTACTATGGAACAACAAAAAAATATGTATCTGGAATGTTTGTCTAGGAAAGGTGTAGCTCTTTGTCGTATTAGCGTCTCTGCAGAGGAAAATGTATCTGAAGAAATACAGTCTGTATGGAAATCTTTAGTAAAATTTGTTGATCCCACAGATGCCAAGGTAAAGAATTTATTGTGTATTATCAGGGTGTTCCGTTTTTAGCTACCATGCCTCAATAGGACATAGAAAACTCCTACTGAACGCCACCTATTGAGGTTTGATAGATTAAAGTTAGAATATGTTGATTTTTTTTAGGTACTGACTAATCATGTATTGTACTTTTCAATCTGGCATGCATACGTTAATAATCAATTCGGAAGGTTATTGAAATATTTACTGAAAATGCAAGAAGATAAACCAAATGAAGATGTTGAAAAGAAGATAATTGAGTATTGTAGAGAGCTGAAATGGGATCATGTAGCTCAATACTTACAAAGATCTTTGCCTTCAAAGTTCCCTACTGCATACAAACCATTTTGAAATTTTACAGCCAGTTATCAAAATATTAGCGAAAAGTGAAATAATCAAATCAATTTTTTGTACGGGTATCTAATGTACCTACCTACTAAATGATTTCTTGTATTTATCTCCCTCATTCTTATTCACCTTTATTTATTTCAATAAATTGTTTCAATACTTATTTTTTGGAAAGTATTTATTTAATTAATATATTTTAGAGAATGTGAAATAAAAACGAAAAATCTATACAATATACACTTTATTTATTTCAAAGTCTGGAATGCATTTGGCCAGTTCAAATTTGTGTTCATTAATCACAGACTTGGATTGAAAAGTATCTCCAAAATCATAATCCTTGATTCCTGAAGAAGCATTCTTCATAAATTGAAGTAATTCCTTCTGTATGAACATGATACACTACTGTATAGAATAGACATTTTTTTGTCAAACAACTGATTTTACTGTTGCAAACAAAGGCAGCAGTCAGCAGATAATTTAACTGTCACACTATGCTTCTGGCATGCCTATTGTTGCAATGCTAATAACTGAAAACATCATATTATTAAGTGATATTTTTGATTTCAGACTAAGTGCTCAATAGGTCGCAACTAAATAACTACTAAGTTTCCATAGGAAATTACACATGAAATGAAATCAAGTATTTCATTATATTTTTAAAAATCACAATGCAGATCACTATTTCATAAATAAACTAAATTATCTAATTGATGAAATTGCAATGTGTTTACCAAATGACAAAGAAATCGGTTCTCGGGGCGCCATTCAAAATATATCATCTAAGAAATTTATGTTGAAGGGTAGCTCATTGAAGAGACATACTTTCCATGAAAACAAATAACTAGCACTTCCAGTTTTTTCCAGGCTGGAGTCAAGATGTGTCATCGGAACCCAGTATAGTATTCATACAAGGAATAGAGCTTGAAATTCCTTTTTTTTTTTGGCATCTAAAAAATTGTTTTCTTTGGGAGGAAAATATATCTCCCAAATTCAATACGGCGATAATCCGACATTTTCTAATTGTTCTATAATCACATTTCGAAAATGATTGTTCTCTAACATTTCTTGGAACTTGTGAATCAGTAGAGATACCTATACTTATTATCTCAATACAGGCATCAAAGTGTGTCTTATCTACTGAAAAATATCTCATATGCAGAAAACAATTTTTGGAAATGTGGGGTGTGAGAAATCCCAACCAAGTTTGTAAGGCTGCAATTCCGCGAGTTGACAAGATATCTGCATGTGCATCCTAACAGCTTCATTGCAGTCCTCAGTATCTTACCACTATTGTTACATCTGATTGCACAATGCGATATATGAATATTGTTGAGGTGCTCCACTAGTAATAGAAACATCAAAAGGTTGCTAGGTTCGATTCCCGGCAGGGCAGAGAATTTTTATTTATAAATCGAGTTATAAATTTTAATTTTCGTAGCCTCGGCCAGAGATGATTCTGCACGATTAGCTGTTGCGTTCCAATTAACAGTACTGCTCCTATAAGGTGGCCTATGGAGTTAGTAATAATGCCTACACAAAACACACATGGGCTGAATGACCACTTGTAATGTCGTTGGCCAGTTGGTATTAACATACATACCAATTATGAATTATGCATTATATCATGAGTAGCGAATCATTCTTGGTCTACAGAATCGTAGAATGATAAAGGTCATAACACAGGTGTCATAAGAAAGAAAACAACGATTATTTGAAATCTCTAGGGATGGAGTTGATTACCGAGCAACTGAAACACAGTAATCACAATTAACATTTGTCAAGGGAGTTATGTGTGAAAATATGGGAAATGGCTGGAAATTCTGAAGACCCAATGGTATGAAGTCCTAAAGCAACAGAATGATATTGTCTCTGCTCAAGAAGTCTTTACCAAAAAATCAAATAATACTCATGTAGTCAATCCGTTTCTTATTTATGCCTGGAATATATGAACACTGTGCAAAAGGTGCCTATTTCCATAGAAAATAATAACTATAAGAGTTTTTTTGGTGATCGTTGTTTTTTCCTATTTTCATTGATATCATATCTTCCAATATTGATAGGTGAATCTCTTAGATACTATGAATGGGATTTTTCTTTTCAAATTCATGTTATATATTATATGCATTAGGAAAAAAGCATTATTTTATGTTTTGGGACATTTTTATTTTAGTAAATAAGTCTCATTTTTTTTCTCTATCAGGTGATACTGTATCTGTCAGAAACATGGTATAAGAATATCTCATTTTCAAAACGATTTTTTATACTGGGGTTTCCCACACCCCACCTTACCAATGAAGATCAATTCGGTCACCTTACCAACACCAGGTTCACATTCTTGACTTGGGCCTACCAAAAGTACCAAAAATGTTGAATGTTTTTTTTTTTTCATAGAAGTGTGTCTTAATAATGAGGTAGCATCTCAACACAAATTTTCAACTCAAAAGTCGATTGATGACTCCTTATATGAATATTTCATTGTCACCCAGTAAATGCCAAAAAACGTTCACATACTTGATGGAAAATTCCAAGAAAATATTCAGTAATCACAGCAGAATTGAAGTACATAAGTACCAAGTACTTTTCATGGACACTTTTGTGAAGTGGAATATGCAGAAATTTCATTTAAAGGATTTCTACAAATAAATAGTCATTTTATTCCATATGGACATTCCAGTCTGGCCAAATACATCTCAGACTCCAGTGGCACTGATACTAATTTGTTACAAAAATTGTATAAAAATTACTTAATTCCTGAATGTTTTCACAGAGACCTTTATTGTACATATTAAAATGATACCTTCAGGTCAGATTACACTTATTTCTGACTCTTCTTCATTAAATCCTAGAGGTAATAGATCTGATGATAAGGGCAGGGTATTATAACCACCAACAACTGCAAAGAAAATATTCCTTTTTACTGCCATACTTTCAAATGTTTTTTGGGTAACATGCATCATCCTCACACCTAGAAATTGGTACCTACTTACCTTTGAAGGTTTTATATGTTTGATTTAATCCTATTGGTTCAAATGGATTAAACTGTGTATCAAATTCAAGTCCATCAAGTTTAATGTCCTGAATGTCAGGTGATAAGTGAGGCCTTGGCTGTAATGGAGGCATTATATGAATGTGTTGGAGTTCAGGTATGTGTGGTATCACCTACAAAATAAATATATTCATCATAAAATTATTTCTTTGGGACTATCTCATTGCCAGGAAGCTTGAATTGATGTTAATTCTGCAGAATAGCATTGTTATTCCTCAAACAAATCTAATACTACTAGTTTAGTACATTAGATTAAAGGAACAATAGAGATGTGCATCAAAGAAACAGTTTCATTCAAGCACCTATATGGTTGAAACAGTTTATAAGGTTTTTAAATTACTTTTTGTCCATCCATTCTATGGGGATTTCTGCAACCTCTACATTTGCATTCTATACAGGGTTTACTATCAACATAACAAGGACACCTCTGACCACAACAAGTTAATTTTCCAGGAGTAGCAGTGGCATTTCCACACCTGCATCCTTTCTTAGGCTTCACTGTACAAGGTTTTTTGAACACAGACTGGAAAACAATGTATTACCAACTATGAAATATTACAACTTCCTAATATTGAAGTACCTTATCTGTAACATCTTTTTGTTTGCTTGTTACTGGAGGTTTGCCAGCTCCTCCACCTTCTTTGGGTTTTCTCTTCAATGTTATTTTGCTGCCATTACCAGGATACAAAACCGAATAAAAAGCAGATCTATTTAGTACATTTGAATTCAATATATTGTTTTCTTCATTTCTACTGGGAGGTTCTTGAACACTTTGTATTTGAGTAGTTACTGAGTTTGAGTAAATGCATGGTAAAATAGCATAGGCAGATTTAGGTAAACCACCATTACTTTTGTAATCATCTTGAAATGCAGCCCCTTCTTTTATTAATAATATCAGATTACTAGCACCACTTTCAAAACCTGTGCCTAGATCAGATGCTTGTTGAGTAATACTGGTAAATAACTGGGAATTGATCAATGAGCTACACATTTTTTTGTAACACTGCAACAGTATCCGCAATCGGGTGTTTTCTGAATAGTCCCGACAGTCTTTGCATCCCTCACAGGCAGGTTTAATTTTTTTTCGACCTCCCTTGCATCCTCTACAGAGGTGATGTTGACATTGGGCTATATTCGGTGAAAATGGGTCTACTAATAAATTCGAGCAAACTACACAACATAGGGAATTTCTTAAATATGGTACCAGTCTGAAGAGGTCTTGCCATGAACTTGGATTGCTTGGATCAGATTTCATTATGATTCGTGTGGTTGTTACATATAAATTGGTGGAGTTCATCTTTGGTCCTGAAACGGTTCTATCTTTGAAATTCATTATTATGTTTACTGGAGAGGTTTCAATTTTTGGTTATGTTTTCTATTTTCTAAGCAAGACACAAATGAAAGTGTCTAAAAACCTGTTCAGCGGTGCCAGAAAGCACGAATTCGTTTTGCCCAAACGTGTATAAGGCGGTATAGGAGACCAATCGGAGCGATTTTGGCAATGGCGGTAAATTCAAATCACTGTTATCGACGGTAAATTCGAATAATGAAAATAATATCATTGAAATAGCGAATCGGCCTCAACAGTAGTATTTTTTTCAGAGAGGAAGGAAAGTATTCCTTCTGCAAAAGAGATTAAACTACTTTTTCTAAACATTTTAACCTCATTTGACCTAAATGAACCTCCTTCCTGAAAAGTGTATTTTTCAGAAAAGTACTTGAGAAATCAGAATTGAAAAAAAGCCGGTTGTTGAAGTAATTGAACCCGGACCACCAGCGTGGAAATCTAATGCACAATTATTGCTTGATTGATTGACTTTCTATACATCGATCACGGAGGTATACCTCCGTAGTATATTTGACAATTATAGTAAGCAGAAAGAACTCATTAATAGTATAATTTGATGAATTGACCTTCATCATACAGGTTGTGGAAAGATTTTCTGAATTGAGAAAACCTAATCACGATTCTGAGAATATTCCTTTTCAAGAAAGAATTGGTATGATTGGTCTATAACAATCTCCAATGCATATGTTTGTTTGGGCAAAACGGATTCGTGCTATTGGTTAAGTCTCAAATCTGTGGTTAACTAATCTTTGGCCTTGATTAACCGGAACCCCAACGATTATGACGTCAGTGCATTTGTCAATCTTGGTTCATTCCTGTCATTGGTCCTGAGACAACCACCGACGTGATAAACACGATGTGACAACTCATGACATGGAAATACATACATGTTGCATGTCTCTATGACTTTTAGTGCCATCACTCATCATTGCCATCCAATATCCAATTAGTAAACGTCAACATTTTTGGTATTCATTTTACTCATTTATAATAGATATGTACCCTAAACATGAATCGTAGTGAGGGATTTGTTAAAAGAAGGAATGTAACTCGGGAAAACAGTGAAGGAGTCAATAAAGAAGAACAAAACAACGAGAAAAGATCGAATCATGAGGAAGAAGTCGATGATGGAGATTCTAAAGAAACGAGGCTGACGTTGATGGAAGAGGTCCTACTTTTAGGCCTGAAAGATAAGGAAGGTTACACATCATTCTGGAATGACTGCATTTCTAGTGGTCTTCGTGGATGTATCCTAATTGAATTGGGATTGAGGGGTCGTGTGGAGCTGGAAAAACTTGGCATGAGAAGAAGAAGTCTATTGGCCAGGAAACTTGTTTTAAAACATGATACACCAATAGGGGATGTACTGCTTGATGAAGCTTTGAAGCATCTCAAAGAAACTGATCCTCCAGAGTCTGTTCAGAGCTGGATAGAATATCTGAGTGGTGAGACATGGAATCCTTTAAAGTTGAGATATCAGTTGAAAAATGTTAGGGAAAGGTTGGCAAAAAATCTTGTTGAAAAGGGTGTTCTCACCACAGAAAAGCAGAATTTCTTATTTTTTGATATGACCACACACCCTTTAACTGATAATATCACTAAAAGTAGATTAATAAAAAAGATCCAAGATGCTGTTCTTGTCAAATGGGTAAATAATCCTCAACAGATGGATAAACGTATGTTGGCACTCATATTTCTAGCTCATGCTAGTGATGTTCTCGAAAATGCTTTTGCACCACTGAATGATGATGATTATGAATTAGCTACAAAAAGAGTAAGAAAGTTGCTTGATTTAAACTTTGAAGAAGAAGCCAATAAACCAAATACATCAGATGTGTTGTGGGCTGTCTTTGCTGCTTTTACTAAATAACAACATATGATATAATATCCCTTAGGGTGTACACATATTGAATCCATTATTTTGTAAATTCATATAGAATAAGAGGATTTCTAGTATAATTACTGTGGTGTGTCAAAAATCATTCTTCAGGATACTTACCAACCACAATGTACTAAATGAAGTAGCTATGAAATTTCTGTCTGATGTGGGTTTCATTTTACTTTTCAAACTGTGATAATCAATATTGAATCATCACCTTTCAATAACTTTGAGTTGCTTCATTTCTACACTGTGGTATTAACTATGAAATTTACAATTTATATAATATCCAAGAAGTTATAGAGCTAACTCATATCTATAACAAAGTATTAGAAAATTGTGTAAAAATGCACCAAAGTGGTGATCAGTCAATAATATGGATATGATAAAGTACTTGTTTTTTAAAATCAAATCAATATGTTATATTTCACAATAGGTATTGAAGGAGATTTATTTACCTTCAAAAATGTAGAAGCACTAAGCAGCCATTAAGCAATTCAATGGCAGTATCATTCCATGTTATTGATGGAATTATATTTTTGTTGATAGTGAGATCTAAATTGTTGATTCTAAGATTTGGCAGTATTTATATTCCATACACATATGAACAATAGCAAATGGTTTTTGTTGCAATTGAATAAATTCCCAATGAGGCTTTGAACAAAATTCAAGTTTTGTACTGAAAACTCATAATACATGTATCTTATCACTAATTTTATTTGAAAAGTTTTAAGAGTTGAAAAGTGGAGCCTCAATTTTGGATGATATATAATTTTATTAGGATGTAAGTTAATATTAAAATTTATATGTCTAGCTAAATGTTCTACATAATAAAATGTTGGAAATGTGTCTGCCTCATTGGTCCACTTCCATGCCCAAAATATCCAGAAGAACCTCCATCCTTTTTCTGATTGATATTTGGGTATAGATACTATTTTCAATTGTATATGTATTCCTCTTACTACCTCAGTCAAACTTGTCTGTTGAAGACCAAGGATGGATAATGAAAAAAGAAAAGAACCCTACAAAAAAAGGATTTGGAATTTTTGAGATGACCCTGTGTATCAGAAATTAAGTATCTTCCAATCTATGTTCATATGACTTCTTTTCTCATCTCAATGAGTATAATGCCTCATTGAATTTAGGCAGAAACAAACTGAAACCCCCTGTATGTTTTGAGTGAAAATTTCAAAAATTTGTACTTGCATTAAGATATAGAACTGATGGATTCAATCATATGATTGATTAACACTGACTAATTGATATAGAGGTATATTTATTGCAGTAGCAAAAATAATTTAGGAGACTCTCATTTACAATCATCAGCATTGTCAGTAGGTACCCTTTCTGGAGAACAGCTTGCATTATGTTGTAGACAATTAGACATTGTGTCAAAGATACCTATCAAAATTCCTGTTATGACTGAATATGTAATACTTCAAAAAAACCACAAATAATTATCCCTTTTATTTCTATATGTAATTAGTCAACACTTCTTAGCAACCTCAGAGTTGAGATCATGTTTAACTACTATAAACTTGCATCTTTCTGTTTCTGCTCCCTAAATAACCTTTGAAGCTTCTCCTTAGTTTCTAGGGATTTTTGGTAATTTTGTTTTCTTCTGAGTAGTCTCTCTTCTTTCAAACATTTTACCATTTGATGATCTTCTGAATTACATTTACCAAAAAATCTCAGAAGAGGATTCTAGAAAAACAATCACATTGAATATAGGCTAGGTAAATATTCAATAGTTAGGTATACAGACTTTTTAGTATACCTACCTCTTGATGGCACTGATTCAACATTCGTATTAACTCATTGCAACCTTCGCTATGTAAATGAGCTGATAGATCTGTATGCATCTTTTATGAAAAAAGTTTGTTTTCTAATTTTCTATAATCGTGTTGTTTTTGTTTATAGTTGGGAACTGTCAGGCAGAATACTGTGTCAGGACTCAGGAATGAACTCAATTGAGTCAATTGTGATGTAATTCACTTCCGAATTCAACTGACAGTACTGAATGTGACTGAATCTGCTGATTTTCCATTCCGAAATCAAGAAAATTCACCGAGAGAGACCACAGAACTGAAACACGAAAGTGACAGATACTTGGGAGCGAAAGCGCATGCGTTTATCATGTATTCCGTGATTCCCTGTGACTATGAGGTTTGGGAATGGTTCGAAAACTTTAGGCTCTCGTAATTTCACATTAGATCCTAACCATAGCACTAATACGGAAAATATTGCCAGAAGTGTGGATGTCAATCATATGGGTGCGTTTTTCATTCCAACATTTTATCATGCGCATGAATCGAAGAAACCATCAAACTGTTGCAAAATTCCGCTGGAATGTTGATGGACATCCATCAAACTGTTGTAATAAAATGCGCACTTTTAAATCGCATTTCGAGAATCCAGCAGTTTGGAGGAGATTGACATGACAGTTGACACATTTTAGTGTTGTTTTTTGTTTTGATTTGATAAAAAACAATTAATATTGAGGATTTTTGAGATTCTTGAAAGATTTTGGAAGAAAGAGTCAGTGTTAATCAATAAAGTCGAATTAGCCTTTTCTGATTCTCAAGATACATGATGACTGACACACAACAAAATCCGTGTTTCCATCAATTTGTTGTATAAACCATTGTTCAATCCTTCCAGCATAAATTCCAACAGAACAATTGGTGACGTCACGACAAAAAACCGCATCTATCAGTGCGCACTTTCTTCGATGGAATGAAAAACACGACCTATGTTCAACAAGTTTCGTATTATTTTTTCCCTACGTCGGCATCAACGCCTTTTGGTCGATATTTCGTTACCTGTAGAGAAGAGACAGAAGTTGGTCCCGCTTTGAGGACAGCTTTGCTTCATTTCATAAGAAAGGTCAAGTGAAAAGAATTTCATGTGTTGTGAGGTTGTGAGTTGTGATTTGTGATAGTGATAAGCAGTATCAGTAGTATCACGCACGCGTGAATCTTTTAACGTTGTGATTGGTTTGAAAGCCTGACTATGGACCGTTTCGGGTAGAGTTGAATTCTTGCGTTGAAAGTAGATCACTGTCAACAAAATTTGTGCAATATGTGATGAAATGAGTTTAAAAATACCCAATCGGTATCGGTTCGTTTGTATTCTTGTTGTACTATCTACTATCTTGAAAATGTGAATGAGTGCGTTTTGGTTTTGTTATTCTGTCAACTGTATTTTCAAACAAAGGAGGTAGTGTAAACAAATGAAACAGTCACAATAATAAACAAGAATTTGTCAATATTATTGTCATCTGAATGTTATGATTTTTTTATAATTGCCATTAGGAGGTGATTTACTTTCACTAGTTTTTAGTTTCATAATCCTGAGCAATATTGCTTTGATAATGACGTAATTCTCTACTATTTTCAGCAAACAGTAGAAATGGATTCTTTCTTTAGTCTCTTTGATCCTAACTCTTGCACTGAATGCACCAATAATGAGGACTTTGCATTGGATAATATGAACAATCAACTAGCTCTTCCACCTGAGCCACAATTGGGAAATGTTGAGTATAAGCTGAAAATTGTGAATCCCACTAAGCAACGTTTTGAACATCTGGTAACACAGGTAATCCTATGTTTTCAAAGCTGAGAATTTATTGACATTCAAAAATGGATATTATTTGAATATATCAAAATACTTTCACTATTGATATAATATATCATGATATTTTTCTTGTAATATAAGAGATGGTTTCATCACTCATAAGAGGGGATTCCCAGACCATCTAAAAGATTTTGCACAGTATTGCATCATATAAATAAATGTTTCAAACAGCTAGCAAAATAGAAAATAGATTATCAAGGTCAGGAATGAAAATGAATATACCTAATCAGCTCATTTGAGTTACTGCATAATGCATTTGAAATCAGTATTTATTTTTTTCTAATAGATTTACTTGACAATTTTACAGACAGTGAACAATTTATATTTGTAAATTTAAAGCTCAAATGGCGTTTACGTGAGGGTAATGGGGAAGCAATCTATGAAATTGGAGTGGAAGATAGTGGTATCTTAGCAGGATTGACCAAAAGAGACATGACTGCTAGCTTACAAACTCTCAAGCAAATGGCAATAAAACTTGGTGCAACAACAACAATCCTTAGAGAAAGAGTTCTTGATAATGGACGCAGTGTTGCAGAAGTCCTTGTCAGAAAGATACCAGATGATCAGAATAATATAGAAATACGGGTAGCTGTACTAGGAAATGCTGATGCTGGAAAATCCACTTTGCTAGGGGTCTTAACACAAGGAAGTTTGGATAATGGTAGAGGCAGAGCTAGATTGAATATGTTTAGACACTTGCATGAGATTCAGAGTGGAAGAACTTCCTCCATATCTCATGAAATTCTTGGGTTCAACTCACAAGTAATGTTATAGTAACCTGTTTTTTGTTCCAACATATTTGTCTATTCTGTTTTCAGGGGCAACCTATAAATTATAGCTACAGTGAACTAATCACTGCTGAGGAAATTTGTGACTCTTCCACAAAACTTGTTACATTTTTGGATCTTGCTGGACACAAAAAGTATATAAGGACAACAATCCAAGGGTTATCTGGCTATTCTCCTCATCATGCCATGCTTGTGGTAAGTGAATCTAAGAAATTGTATGAGTTTTGGTTTAGTTGCAACTTTTTCATATTGACATATACATACACAATTTATTACATACTTTTCCAACTTGAAATGTTTCTTTATCATTGTTTAATTTTTTATATCAATGATTTGTACATGCCATTACAAATTTTTACAGAAAATTAGTCTAACATGAATGTATGTTTTCTTATTGTTTATATGTCACAGATGCAAGATATGAATCTTCTACTGTTTTCATATTATACTAATAAATTTCAATAATGAACTGACCTAATCATATTTCAAATAATGTTCTAGTGCTCCATCACATATTTAAAGTCACCTGAGCTATAAAATTGAGGATCAATATGTCTAGTCATTTGTAGAAAAAACTCATCAGATTGATATCATCTTTCCCACTCTTGTGGAAAAAAATTGTACCATAATCTTGCAAATTACATGTGAATTTGTTGAGGTCCCCTAAAAAAGTTAGCACGCCCCTGTTGAAAATTTCTAAATTTCTACAGATTTCCCACACCCGCCAAAAAATTTTGGCTTGCCTCTAATGTCGCATTTTTTTTTTTTTGGTGTTGTGGAAGTTTCCTATTTTTGGAATTTTTCATTGCAACTTCCTCAAAAAAAAATGGTCGAGATTATTGTCCCTAGGTTCACCACAATGATATCATACATATTTCATTACAACTCAAATTCAGTAAACACAAAAAGTCCTTCACTTCTGTCAGACAATGTGAAGAAAATCTTGCAGTGGTCGAAAGATAGGTATGTTTACATATGTTTTTAATGAGCAGCCTCAATTGTCCAATCTCTATTGACCTGTTGAAAAAAAAAATCGAAATTGCGACTTTTGTATCGCAGACCTCACAAAAAAATGTGTAAAATAATTTTATTGAATTTTGCTCTTTTCTATCTTGAATGAGAGAGAGGAAAGTTCTCTCCTCTTCCATCTTTCTCTTCAATGCTACTAACGTAACCGCATTGAAATATAGAGAGGTCCGATAAATCTGTCCTTGTCTAACATCTAGTTTGTGCCACCGAACTATTTTTGAATTCAGTAAAGTGTCAAATTTAACGATATTAACTTATTATATCAAAATAAGTATGATATAATTTGAAATTTCATTTGGAAAATTCAAAAGGTCATCAGTTAATGACATTTATGACATAGAAAATAGTTAAGGGGTGCCGACTAGATGTTAGACAAGAAAGATTTATCAGGCCTCTTGGCCACGTTGGTAGCATTGAAGGGAAATATGGAAGGGGAAAAAACTTTGTGCTCTCTTTTGTTCAAGGTAGAAACAATGAACTCAAAATAAAACACCAGTAAAAAATTTCAGAGCTCAATTCAAAGTAAATTATTAGTGGAGTGGTGCAGGTGAATATCAGTTGAAATTTTAGTCCTCAGTTCCCATTAAAATTTGTGAAAAATGATTATACGTATATCCATATCCTAAAAGTTTTCTTATCAGGGTTTTGTTCCTGGGAAAGTAAAGGGAGCCATGTTCAAACATATCATTCTCTTGCCCTCTAGCCTGTGTCTGTCTGTCAGACGTTCCCTTGAAAAAAAAAGACATATGAATTGGAAACTTGGCATGATGTTAAATTGTTAAATCTTCATGACGCACACATATTTATACCGGCAAAGATTGAATATTTTTTTAAATTCCAAAAATATTTTTTTTTAAATTTCAAAGAGGATGAGAGTGAGTTTTGCAGCCTCAAAAAAGATTTATTCTCTTGTGTGTTACCTAGGGGTAAACAGCGGTGGAATTCTGGTGTACAAACAACTGGAATTCCTTGGAATTCCCTGGAATTCATTGGAATTTCTTGGATTTTCTTGGATTTCTTGGTGAAATGAGGTATATTCCTGGGCTACAAACAACTGGAACTCCTTGGATTTCCTTGAAATTCATTGGATTTCCTTGGAATTCTTTGAGTGAAGTGCGGTATAATTCTGGTGTACAAACAACTGGAATACCTTGGATTTCCTTGGATTTCCTTGGAATTCTTTGGATTTCCTTGGAATTCTTTGAGTGAAGTGCGGTATAATTCTGGTGTACAAACAACTGGAATTCCTTGGATTTTCTTGGATTTCCATGGAATTCCTTGGATTTCCTTGGCATTTCTTGGATTTCCTTGGAATTCCTTGGATTCCCTTGGAATTCCTTAGATTTCCTTGGAATTCTTTGGATTTCCTTGGAATTCCCTGGAATTTCTTGGAATTCCTTGTTTGAAGTGCGGTGTACAAACAACTGGAATTCCTTGAATTTCCTCGGAATTCCTTGAATTCCCTTGGAATTCCTTGGATTTCCTTGGAATTCCTTGGATTTTCTTGAAATTCCCTGGAATTTCTTGGAGTTCCTTGTTTGAAGTGCGGTGTACAAACAACTGGAATTCCTTGGAATTCCTTGTGAAATTGAAGTTTGGTGTACACAATTTGACCGCGGTTTACCTCTTGTGTGTTACTGAGTGATTTTCGCTTTGGCAATGCTAGCTGAAAGGAATGATTTTATATTGGTCAATAACGTTTCATCGCTAGCATCACCAATGCCAGAATTGCCTGGCAATAAAACGGGGTTAAGGATACAAGAAAAACTCGAAATTTTTGGTGAATAATTGGTTCTGGAGATGTGTTGACAATTATTGTCCCTGATTTCCTCCTACTGACAGCAAAAAAAGAGAGATTCACAGTCACTCTTGACCGTTTTTTCGTTTTCCTTAGATATCTAGTAGTGCAGGAGCTGTAGGTATGGCACATGAGCATCTGGCCATAGCCATTGCACTGAATGTCCCATTTTTCATTGTAATAACGAAGACAGATCTGGTCCAACCTACTAGCACCCTACAGGGACTTGAATCTTTTCTAAAGCAAGTAGGAAGTCGCAGGGTACCTTTGGTGATCAAAAACTTGGACGATGTCATTACTGCTGGCGCAAATCAACTTACCGAAAATGTAGTACCGATATTTTGTGTGTCCAGTGTTAGTGGAGAGGGATTAGAGTTGTTGTTGAAGTTTCTACATGTTTTACCACCAGGTATCAGTTTGAAGGAAAAAGAACGTCTGGAACAGGTGAGCATTGAATGAATCCTATTGTATATGCAGTATGTACATTTCGGTTTAAAACAAAAAATCAAGAGGACAGTTGAACATAAAAACTCCAATTGAACTCTCTGATTAACGTTATATGTGCTATGAAAACTAAAATATCATCAATATGACATTTTTTTTTTTCGTCCTCGTGTTAAGGAGTATGTTTGATGTTTATAAAATATATCCTTAATGACTTATATTAATGATCAATCTGTCTATTAATGCATGATTGTAGTAAAGGCAACCAAAAACAGTTGGCTCATATGTTGAAATATCTCTATCATTAATCGACCTCATTAATACACTAGTTGGTTAAATAATTATTTTGAATTATTTTAGTTTTGTTACCCCATTTATTTTTTTTGTTGACCACATTTTTTTGACTTTAAAATTTTGCACTGAGATAGCGCTGAGATAATCGCGTGTGTATTGAGTGATTCACTAAAGTGTACAATATACTCCTAGATGACTCAAAAAGTTGAATTCAAATCATTATCAAAATCTCAAGGAAATATATTTTATTAACAACATTCTACTCAATAGGTGAATGTCTGGCAAACAATTTCAATTATTTGGTATTCTACAAATAGAACTTATCAAGTGAACAAGACCTAGGGTATTTTTAATTATTTCAACATGTACATGATTTTGAAGTATGTATTTGTATATTGTCCAGCTACAAGTGAATTGACCTTTTTACTGACTTGTTTAAGTACATACTTAAATGAATACCTTCAACTATTTTTTTAATGAAGCTTTGAAAAATTTTAATTCCTAATTTGTGAGGGTTTTCTCTAAATTTTCTTCAAATGCTACCAAAAACATGCCTCCATGGGGACATGTGAGAATGGAAGTGATAAAACTTGGTCATCTTCATTCTTTTTCACGTGAATTACGAGGAATGGGCTAATGGACTGATTTTTTTTCGTTTCTCATTCTTTATCAAGTGTTTTGAGGTTTCAAAATCACTGTAACTACTGACGTCAGTGATTGAAACACGTAGTTGCCAGATGTCATATATTCTTACTAGCTGTCTGGCCCACCTTCATAGGGTTGGTGAACCCATTTAAAAAATGAGTCATTTTTCTGTTATGTCTTCAATTTCTGTGCTAACCTATAGCTACTATTATATATTTACACCTATTTTTATTCTCTCAGTTTGTTAAACCATGAAAATACACATAGAAAATTTCAGCCATTTAGAAGTTATGTGATGAAAAAGATAAGTAGGTAAGGATATTTCTTACTACTCGTTGTCTTATTACGCGTTTTCCCGCGGTACACATCAGAGGAAATTCAGTTTGAAACGTGGCTACATCGCTTAACATCTTGTATCTTGTAGTTAGACAACACAGATCACAATTGCCAAGTCACCACTCACCAGCGGATATTTACGGAATGTTTGGTCACATAAAAGGTGTTAAGGTCTTGCCTTTCTCCCTGTGGATGAACATGTGCATTCAGTTCAGTTTTGATTAGTGATTACTACTCAGGATATTTTAAATGAAAATACTCGCGTATGACAATTTCCAACTTGACCATAACTTTATGACTTGGCAACGTGTCGGCCGAATTTGGTCGAGTTTTGGCGAGGTTGGCATAGCAGTATTCACAACTGACGTCATCAAGATCGATATCAGATGGCGGAACGTTCTGTTCAAATCGGGACGTAATTTTAAATGACAAAAAACATTTGAATGCAAGAAAAATATTTTGGGGTCTGCAGCAACACATATGAAAATTTTATACCAGTAGCCTGAGTAGTTTTTGAATAAATATACAGGGTGTTTCATTATTAATTGGAAATGTTTCAGCTATGGAATCCTGAGCTCAAATTATGAATTTTCAACCCAAATCACCTACAAAAAATCTGTCTTCTGTCTGAGTACAGGGTGTTTTATTCAATTGTCATATTTCGCGGAAAGTGTAGATACTAAACACCGTTATGTGAAATAAATGTTTCTGGAAGCTGCTAGAGGCGTACGACAGAGGCAATTGACTGGTCGATCCTTCCCAAATTCTACGCCAAAGGCGGAAATGCCATTTTATCACCATTTTTTAAATGGAATTGAAATTTGAAAATCACTATGGTAGTTTTTTTTTTCATATGGATCGAAGTTTCAATTTCAATTAATAAACATCAAAATCAAATTCATTGTGCAGCTTCATGTTTTAATTTGAAATATCTTGAAAAATAATGACTATCTAAAGCGTTTGACGCTATTGACCTCAATATTCTACAGGAAAAACTTCATGTTTTGGGCATAAGAGGAGTATTTTTGTCTTGGATAATATCATATATCCGATATAGGAAAATAATTGTTCAGATAGAACAAACTACATCTCAAATTTTTGATGTCGACCTTGGTGTCCCACAAGGGTCGGTTTTAGGACCCTTGATATTTTCACTTTTCCTCAATGATATTTCAAAATTCATAGATGCGGGTTGTTCAGTACTATTTGCCGATGACACATCTATCGCGGAGGCAGCAGACAGTACCGTGGAACTCGAAAATAAAATAAATTCAACTGCCAACAGGTTTGTTACTTGGTGTCATAATAACATGCTGATGATTAATGCCAAAAAGACAGTACTTATTGAGTTTTATGGAAGAAAGATAGGGACAACACTTGAAGTTTTTGTTAACGATATGCGTATCACTTCTTCTGAATCTACCAAATTTTTAGGAACATTTGTCGATAATAATATCAGCTGGAAAACGCATGTGAACTCAGTCTGTAAAAAACTGAGCTCAAACTTCTATGCAATGTTTCAATTGAAAAATATACTTAACAAAAATGCCCTTATTGACGTGTACTATGCCCTGATACATTCTATTATATCTTACAACATCATTTTATGGGGAAGTAGCACCCACATTGACAGAGTATTCATAGCTCAAAAGCGTGTTATACGACTTACATTCAATTTAAAACGAACCGATTCATGTAGACCCAAATTCAAGGAGTTCGAAATACTTACAACACCATGTATCTACATATATCACTGTGTTGTATATATAAAAAAAATGCAAAGTAAGTTACAAACAAACTCTCAGTTCCACAGATATCCAACAAGAAGTGGTGACTTGCTCAGAACAAAAAAACACAGAACAACTTTATTCGAAAAATCACCTTCATTTTCTGGTATAAGGTATTTCAACTGTCTGCCTACCGAAATTAAAACAATAACTTCACTCCACCTTTTCAAAAGAAGAGTCAAGACATTACTAGCCTCTGAGGGTCTTTATTCAACCGATGAATTCCTCAATTATAAATTTTAAAATGTTTTTATTGTTTGTGATCTTGTGTTATATAATGTTCCCACTTCATTCCTTTCTTCAATTTTTTTTTACATATTATCTACAAAAGTGAACGTTTCATATGTGTTATATATTGTATTTTGTATTGATACCTATATAAATTTTTATGACATATCCTATATCATTGTAAAGTGATCTATTTGGGATGAATAAAATATTGTATTGTATCGCTATAAAGTACCATATACGCATAGTGATAAAATGGTAATTCCGCCAGTGGCGTAGAAATCTGGAAGGATCAACCAGTCACTTGCCCCTGTCATACGCATCTGATAGCTGCCAGAAGCGTTTTATTTTATGTAATTTAGAAGGGGGGATTTTATTTACACTCCCTGCCAAATATGATAATGATACGTCTATTAGTTTCAAAGTAGTAGGCTGGGTTAAATATTCATATTTTAAGCTCAGGATTCCAATTGACTATATTGTAAAAGGTGATTCACTATATTTTTACCCCTCCTCCCTAACTGACTTGAACGGTTTCATCTATATACAGGGTGTTTCATTCCTAATAGAAAATATTTCAACTATACAGGGTGAGTCATGAGGAACTGTACATACTCCTACCACGAATAGAGGGCCTTGAGGGGAATACCTAATGATCATCAGAAAGTGTCTTCTTCTCTTCTTTACCAATATGTAGGGTGAATTATGAGATTTGGCAAAAACATCTTTTGGTCATAACTTTTCAACAGCTCCTTCGATTCGTCTGATTTTTTCATAGAATATTCCGCTACTAAACCCTAATGGACTGACCTATACAGAATCGAGAAAATCCAGGACCGTTTTTGAAAAATTTCGATAGTTTAGTTTTTATCAAAAAGTTCATTCTGTATATGGTTCTTGTAAACTGTGACAGGGAATTTTCAAAGCACCCAAACAAGCATCAAGGATAAAATATTCAAAATTCTCCCCACACTTTCACAGAATTTTTCAAAAAACTAAATTATAAGCAAAATCGAAAGTTTGATAAAAAATTTTATTCAGTCGAAAATAATTACTTCTCAACGCATAAATTTCACAAATAAAAGTAAGAGTCACATTTTCAATGCGTCAGCCCAATAGAAATCATCATGTTGTTTCATTTACAGGCCTGGATGTCGTCATTCCATTTTTTGTGGAGGGTATCTGTTTAGATGTTAATGGTCATCGATTCCAATAATTCAAGATAGTTGAACAGAAAATAAAGTTTACTCACAATTATTTTTCAAAAGCTATACTGACGAAGGCGGATAATAATCCTAGTCGGAGAATAAGTGACCAAAATAACTGAATAAAATAAATCGAATAGATAAAACTGTGAATTGAAATCATAAAATTCTTAATAGCGATGGTCATCAACATTTTAACATATACCTAAAACTGTGAATTGAAATCATAAAATTCTTAATAGCGATGGTCATCAACATTTTAACATATACCTCATCCATTGATTCGAAAAAGATCTACAGGGTGATTATTATATCCTCCACAAAAAATTGAATTACTGAATCCAGGCCTGAAAATAAAATAATATGTTGATTTCCATTGAGCTGAAGCATTGAAAACGTAAGTCTCACTTTTATTCGTGAAATTCATGGGTTGCGAAGTATTATTTACCAAATAAATATTTTTTTCCCAAATTTTCGTTTTTTCATAAAATTTATAGTTTTTTTCAAACTGTAGTGAAAGTGTGAGGAAAATTTGAAATATTTTATGTTTGATGTTTGTTTGTGACCCTTGAAAATTCCCTGTCACAGTTTACAAAAACGATATACAGGATGAACTTTTTGCTATAAACTAAACTATCAAAATTTTTCAAAAACTGTCCTGGATTTTCCCAATTCTGAATAAATCAGTCGATTAGAGAGTAGTAGCAGAATATTCCATAAAAAAATCAGACGAATCGAAGGAGCTGTTGCAAAGTTATGACCAAAAGATGTTTCTGCCAAATCTCATAATTCACACTATATACAGGGTGTCAATTTGAAAACTTCCCACCCTTAATATCTCCCTCCAAGTCGATAATATGGAAAAACGAAAAGACAGGTCGATTTTATTTTCGAGGGGGACATGGTTCTAAAATATTTTCAGCCCCGCGGCGTTGCCGCTTCTAACGAAAAGAAGCAACAACTTTGTTATTTCAAATGGAACACCCTGTATTTTATTGCATTTTTAGATTCTCCCTGAAAAGCTGATTTCATCAATGTATCTCACTTGGGGTCTAGCAGGAATGATTACAGAGATATAGGGTGTTCAAAATCGAGATTTTACAACTTTAGGATTTTTTTGAGTCGAAACTATTCATTATTGGTCAAAACGGCTTTCATGTCCCTATCTCAACTTTTGATTTACTATCTACTGACATTTATTTGAAACAAATACAGGGTGATCAAAAGTCTGAATCTTGAACCACCCTGTATTTGTTTCAAATAAATGTCAGTAGATAGTAAATCAAAAGTTGAGATAGGAACATAAAAGCCGTTTTGACCAATAATGAATAGTTTCGACTCAAAAAAATCCTAAAGTTGTAAAATCTCGATTTTGAACACCCTATATCTCTGTAATCATTCCTGCTAGACCCCAAGTGTGATACATTGATGATATCAGCTTTTCAGTGAGAATCTAATAATGCAATAAAATACAGGGTGTTCCATTTGAAATAACAAAGTTGTTGCTTCTTTTCGTTAGAAGCGGCAACGCCGCGGGGCTGAAAATATTTTAGAACCATGTCCCCCTCGAAAATAAAATCGACCTGTCTTTTCGTTTTTCCATATTATCGACTTGGAGGGAGATATTGAGGGTGGGAAGTTTTCAAATTGACACCCTGTATTGAAAAAGAAGTGTAGAAGACACTTTCTGATGGACATTCGGTATTCCTCATGACTCGCCCTGTATAGTTGAAATATTTTTTGTTAGTAATGAAACACCCTGTATATAGATGAAACCGTTCAACTCATTAGGGAGTGGTGAAAATATAGTGAATCACCTTTTACAATATAGCTATCTTTCAGGAATCTCCAGAGTTTCACATAGACGAGAACTTCAAAGCCGGCGACGTAGGTCAAATTCTCGGTGGGCTCTTGACCAAAGGGGTGATCACAGAAGGAACCAAGATGCAAATCGGCCCGATGAAAGACGGTGCCTTCCAAAAAGTGACGATCAAGTCAATCCATCGGAACCGAGTACCATGCAGAATGGTACGGGCAGGCCAAAGCGCTGCTGTCTGTCTGGACATCTACGTACCTAACCTACGTAACGGTCTGGTTTTATTGAACGTAGAAGAACACGCCGAAGGGAGCTTGTTTTTCCAAGCGAACGTGTCAGTTTTATTCCACGCCACTGCCATCCATCCTGGCTTTCAAACAACGGTTCATATCGGGAATATTCGGCAAACGGCGGTCGTTATCGGCATTTGTTCCTCGCAGTGCATCCATACAAACGAGCGGGATTCGGTTCTTTTCAAGTTCAAGTTGCATCCGGAGTATATAACGGTGGGGCAGAGGTTGTTGTTCAGGGAAGGGTCCGCTAAAGGGATAGGCGAAATCACTCAGATATTCCCACTGCATCCTTAAATTAATTCGTTTCTTCTGGGGGAAATCAAGTAGAATTGCTCTCATTGTTTATATTCAAAGATTTTGAATATTTGATTGTTCCAAGGTTACAGTCGACAGGTCCGCAAAAGAAAGCGTCCCAAATTGACGGAGCAATGCGACACTGTCGATTCAATGGCGTTAGAATTTATTTTCAAATTTCTGAAAAGAATGGATTTCTAAAGGTAGTTACTTCTAGTATAAAACTGTGTTAATTGGAAATATTGCAATAATATTGATTTATTTTATTTTTTGAAGTCGTCTATGAAGTGAAGAGATTATGTGCTATCACAGTGGTTAAAATCAACTTGTTCATCAACATTCAGAATCTTGCAAATTTCATTTTTATCATTTGACTTGAACATTTCAAAAAACATGATCAAAGAAAAAAAGTTAATTTAGTATTATAAGTGCTTGAGCAGGTTGTGTGTGCCTCCTAAAATTAAACCTCTCCTTCAACTCTTTAATTTCTAGATTTCAAAAAATTTTGAATGCAGATTGAAATGACTTTTTATATACATTAATTCAAGATGGATATCAACATTAATTTTTTAAATGGAAAACCACGTATATTTTGATATTTTCTTTGAGATCTTTTCTTTCTGCCTTTAAATATTAATGTATAATATGCAGCCGTAATAGTTTCCAAGATATTGGACCATGAAAATTATCTGAATATGCTTTGGCTATCGAGATACAATGTTGTCATAGATAGGTAATGCATATTTATAGCATTTTTAGGCCTGTTAACCCATTATATTTTTGAATTCAGAATGAAAATATCAAGACATATAAAAATATTTTTTAAATATCAAAATTGATGTTCATTACGGTAAATCGGAAACATTGTGTATAAAAAGATATTAGGAAATGAAAACTCAAACTGTTTAAGCAACTTTTGTATTGAAAATTTTTTTTTAACTTTCTGAAAACGAAAAAAAAATAGCATTTCATTTTTAGAGGCACACGTTCACACTTATGTCTAGTCATAAACCAATTTCGTATATTGAAAAAGATATGAGCATTGCCCTGTGTGGCAGTATTATTTCTGCCAGAATGACGTTTCAGTTGTGTGATGTTCACGTTCTTTTCTGTTCTCTCTTTGGTTTTACTTGTTCAACTATTTGAGAGAGAGAGAGAGAAAATCTTTATTGGGGATATACCCCAAAAGGCAATGGGCCGAAGTCTTTCAACCCTCGACTATTTGATTTGTAACCAAAATGTTTAATTTTCAATGTTTTTCACATTTGGTGTGAATATTTTAGAAGATCTATGTACAAAATTGTAAGTGTTTATGTGTAATTCGAAACTGATCGTACAAACTGTGAAGTGATTTAATGTAAAAGGTAGTAATTATTCACTTTAACGAAATTTAGTTATTTTCCACAATAATCGTACTGTTTCTCTTGTTTGGGATGAGTTGTACATTAAAGAAATCTGTGATTGTATTTAAGGCAGAGTTTATTTAGTATAATACAGTATTAAAATAGAGTTAATTGCCATACAGACAAACCTGTATTTTTACAAATTAGCAATACAATTTTGAATAGATCTCTTTACGTTTTAATAAATTAATTGTATGAAAAACATTGCTTGTATATTTCTTATTATTCCTCTGCAGAATTACGTGCTAAATGCATTTTAATTTCAATACAACAAGTTGGAAGAGAACATATAAACTAAAATCTAATATTCTACATTGAAAAGGTAATTTTTATAATATCAACATATTATTTTGTATTCCAAAAAAAATATCTTTATTTTCAGATAAGAATATGATGAATTCTAGTAGAACTCTTGCCAAAAATGGAAAAATCATTATGATTGAAACTCTTTTATACCTTGTACGACGTACGCATTTCGTATATGATGAAAAAATGGAGAACAAATATATGTATTCAAGCATGAACTTGAATTATTTTGGAATGTTGATTCCACAGGTGAGCACTGAAAAAATCATCAGATCTGATTCATTTACTATACATACATCTATTCAGAAAGTGTTCAGTATACATACAAATCCAAATTTTGTAATTGAAGAAAACTGATGAGATTCAGAACATCTCTCTTATAATAAAAAAAAAGTTCCTATAGGTAAGTGATTTCGCGATGTGTTGAAATAAATAATTATGAAGTCGAAAAGATACATACTTTTTCGAATATGAACAAATTGGTCCCTATTAAATTACTAAACTATTGTCTCTTAAAATTACTCGTCATGTTGAAATCACTCCTTGAATTTCATAGATACATATCGTTTTTAACTATCTTCCACCAAACAGCTCTTGTTTGGTAAGTAATATACTGGGTGGTCCACTTAAGACTATCCACCCTCAATAACTCTCAGAAAAGTGATTCTTCAAAAAAACAACGACTCGTCAGTTTTAGTTTAGAGGGGGGCACCGTTTGATGCTAAAAAGACTATATTTTCTTATTTTTGATCGTAAAATCTGCTGGTGAAGTATTGCACGCTAATTATGGGACACCCAGTATATATACAGAGTGATTCAAACTTCCTGCCCTTTGCTCATAACAGGAAAAGGAAGACTGCTACTGCTAGTTCAAATTTGGCAGAGGCAATTTGAATAGATGTGTGTCAGAGTTCGTCAGAGTGGTATTGCTAGTGATGTAACGATAGCAGATATGTCTGAGGAACTTTTCCCGTGGAAGTATCTATAGAAAAGTTAACGGTGTTCTAATTAAGTCAAGTATTAGTGAGTGTGGCATCACCCACCAGGCGGATATGGCTCTTCTCTGGATGGAATCTAAGACCATCAGCGTATGTTTGGGTGCTGAACCCCATATGTGAGAACAGTATTCTAAAACTGGTCGTATCTGTGCTTTGTGGATCATGAGAAGCTGTTGAGGTGTAAAGTAGATTTTCGCATGGAATAAAAGAAAGAGTATATATTGATGATGGACATACCGAGCATCGATATAGTCGTCTTGGTAGAATGGTGTGGTACCAGACATTGTTATATCGGGTATGATAAGTTCCGCCTTTTTAGAGAAAATACAGGCTTGAGTTCTGGTGGCGTTGAATAAAACTAGGTGCTATTCAAATCCCCTCTGCCGAATTTGCATTTTCAGTTTCCCTTTTCCTGTTATAATTCAAGGGCAAGAAGTCAGAATCATCCTACATCCTTAGGAAATCCAATTAGAATTTTTTTTGATATCTGCTGATGAATATCTTGGTATCCATTTCATGTACAAGGATATCCCGACTTGATTATCTATAGAGAATGTCCTGTACGTGCTATCTGGGAATTGTTATATGAATTAGGTATTAAGGTACCCACTATATATTTCTTGATGAATTCGGGGTGGACTACTCCAATAACATGTACTTGGAATTTAGGTATTGTTTTCGACTAGATTCCATATCTCAAATCACATAGGTAGGTAATTGATATCACTGACGCCCCCTAATTTCTAATAGTGTATATAATAATACCAGATTCATTTAGTTCACAGCTTCTCGTACAGCAAAATGTTCTAAAACTACAGAATGGTTGTTTTTGAACTTTTTTTGGTGCTTCTTTTAGGAGTTAGTTCTATTAGTGCCGAAAGAAATTATGACAACAGGTAAGACAATCAACTATAATTGATGGTTTTGGGGAAATTAATATTGGACTTGAATTTTTGTCAAGGTGAATTTATGAAATTTGTCACTAGGCGCAGAATAAGAAAACGAACTATCGAAATGATGGTTCCTTCTGAACAATTAATCTAGCTGAAATACAGTCTTATTTAAAATGGGTCCCATTTCTAGTTAATACAATACAAGTGCTGGGAGCTTTCAAAATGGGTATGATTGTGTCTTTTTACCAGAGATCCCTTTTAAATCGTAATATCGTTATAAATAGATTGGTATATGTTAATACAGGGGTGGTCCCAAAATTGGGGTGATCAATAAAATGAATAATAGAAAACGAAAAAACGAATCGAAATGGAAGAATAAATTGTTGTCCGAACACCGAAATCATCAATGCAATGTTGCGGGACGTTCAATAATAGTTGAAAGTCCTTTGTGCGATTTATTATCGTGTCATGTATCATACAAAACCCATTTTATTCATTGTCCCAAATTCGGCAACACCTTGTATAGCTAATAAAAGATCATCATAGATTCACTTCCAAACAATTTCGTAAATGTTGTTTCATAACATTTTACAAAACCGTTTAACACCACCGTCTTTCTTTGGCATCTGCGATAATCTGATCGCCTCCTCAAAAATAGCTCTCACCCCAAGCAGATACTTAGCAGAACACTCCATATATTTGTCCGCCCTTATCCTTTTGGCCATTTTTTCACCAGCATGCTGCGAAACGGGATGAGAACCAGTTTTCCCCAGTCGTCCTAGAACCCCTGGATCATTCCGCAGATCCAGTTTGTTTCCTACCAAAATAACCGGCGTGTAGGGCAGGAAGTGTTTTATTTCTGGCCACCACTTGAGTTTAACGTTCTGCAAAGAATCCTGATGGTCTATCGAGAAACAGATGAGCACCACGTTCGTTCTTGGGTAGGACAGCGGTCTGAGCCTGTCGTAGTCTTCTTCTCCCGCTGTATCCCAAAGAGCCAGGGTCACCGTTTCTCCATCCAGCTCTATTTCTTTTGAGTACGCGTCGAATATGGTGGGGACGTGAGATTCAGGGAATTCATTGAATGCGAATGTGGTTAACAAGCACGTTTTTCCACAGGCTCCGTCACCTACTGCGACGATCTTTTTTATTTTGGACATCCGAGAAAATCGGTTTCACTGTTTTGTTACCTATGCAAATTATTTCACAGCTATGGGAATTAGGTTATAGCTTGATCTTACTGTTTCTCCAGGTAGAGATAAGAGCCTTATCTTATCAATGGAACAATAACTTTCTTTCACTTAAGCATTCCGATGGATGATAAACGCCCAAATAATTTTATATATCTAAATCACCGTAAATTCACGATTTATTATCCTTATTCATTATATCACCAAAGTGTATTACATAAACCTATAATACCTATCTGATAAAATAATATTCCTGCAGGAAAAAATCATTAAAATTACCCCGAGAATAATCCTCTTTTGATATATCTACTTCATTTATTATTTCAATGAAATGTAAATTTTTCCCAAGCACACAAACATGCATACACGAAATGTATGGAAAACTGCTTGCATGATATCTCAAAATCATAGCAAAATTTCATTTCATCCAAAATAAGTTAACGAAAAATCTACTTGTGACACTAAAAAAGCTGAATTATTCGAAATGCGATGAAAAAAGGGATGCAGTTCTAGTTCGCGACGGCGGAATTTGAAGCGGATTTTCGAAATAATATCAAGGATGGCATATTTATAGATTGATTTTAGATACCCAAATCTAGATATATTGAATATCTATATCAGAAACGCTCGGTTTGCAAGGATTGTTAAGGAATTATAAAAATAAAAATAACGCCGATAAGGTTATGTGGAATGGTTTTGTTCGCGGTATATTGGAATCAATAGTAATTGTTTTAGATGTAAGTCAAGAAGTTTTCTAAAAAATAAGATTTAGGTATATACCTAAGATTTTTTTAAATAATTTTATCAGTTTTCGAATCAAATCAAATCAGAATATACTTTATTGTCTGAAGAATAGAATTATCATTGACATTGACAAAGTCGATATGCTTATATAAATATCCAAAGAAATTAGAGAATTAAGTAGAGTACCTATACAAAACATAAATACAATGTAACAAAACACATAAAGAATACGGAACACTGTTAAAACCACAAAATGTAGTCACGTCCCAATATAATAATGTATGAATTATTTTAGGAATTCCTCTGAAAAGAATTCGTCCAAAGAGTAGAAAGCATTTTTCATTAGTAGACTTTCAACTAAGTTTTTGAAAATGTTTTGGTTGTTGATATATTTCACCTCATCAGGAAATAAATGATTATACAATTTTCTGCCATTGTAAATGAAAGAGTTGATTATTAATGTAGGGAGAGGTATTGGGACTATTGGGTTCATTTAAATTATGTGCCCGTCTTGTATTATAGTGTGTAGTAGTATTGAAATTCTTGTTTGTTTTTATTTGCTGAATTTTTTTTATTTCTCTTGTTGCTTTTCAGGCCACGTATTCTTGTCGATAACGGACATATGATGATAATGGCTTCGATGGACAAAAATATAAGTTTTGTTACACATGGTACAAAGTCTGGGGTCTCTATAAACAATGTTGACCTACTCTCAACACTAAACAAGGTAAAACAGCTCTTTCATAGTCCATGAAAATAACAGTACTTGCCTATATGAACAGCAAAACATTTTTTCAAAAAACTGGATCGTGAAAAAGTGTTCTCAACTGTTTTTTATTAAGTGGTCACCTTTTGGCGAGGTGTCTTATATTCAATACAGCTGCTTCGCATCAAGATATTTTTTAAGTACGGATACTTGGACCCATTGCATTTGTTCAAGAGTGTTTTATATCTCCTAAAAATAATTAGATACTTAATGCAGTTGTCCGAAATTTCTTATCACACGACATGTTTCGCTAACACACTATAGCTTCTTCAGGTGGCATATTGATACAATAAAGCAAAGACCATCCATACACTAGATAGGCACCGTAAATATAAGAATAAGCAACGATAAGTAGAATGTCACTTGAATCTAGTATTAGGTATTCATCAATATAACGACTTGTCATATGCTCATTATTGTCTCATTGTTATTGCCACTCAGGCCACTAGATTTTATTTGGAATTGAGAAGACAAACTCGTCTCGTGGTGAAAAAGATCTAATATAAACCTTGGTAGTAAATAATATTATCACCACTGGACTTGATACCCCTCGGCTAAACTTTCGGGATATATTCTTGGTCCCTGGGTAAGAATGATATTCTTCACGCTATCTTATTGGTGTATAAATAACTATTATTGTTATCAGCAGAAAGCTGCGAGCAGTTAGTTGCCGAATGTATAAAACAGATAGAAAATTCGTTCAATACATTTCCGATGTAAAAATATCATTTCAAGGAGCTCAGGACAAATAACAAGGCCTCCGATCAACAAATTTAAACATCAGGTCAGCAGTTGCTCTTCTTTTATTCAAAGAGTTGAGATTGAGCATGTTCAGAATAGAGGTATAGTCATGGTTATCAATACGAATGTTCATTTTTTATGCACAAAATCTCATAAATTTATGTTGAACTCTTTCTAATGTAGTGCACTCCACAAATCGTAGCAGTTCATCAAATGTATCTCCCTGGTTTCCATCAATAGATTAAGAAATAAAAACTTTTTTATTCCATCTGTAGAAGCTAATTGAGCAACATTTATTGATATTCATGTGCAAGTTATTTTCATTGCACTACCTAGCCAAGTTGTCCAAATCATGTTGAATCAAATTAACATCATCTAATGAATTTATTTGTCTAAAAAGCTTCAAATCAACTGCAAACAATAAAAACCAGTATTTTCAAAACAATGTACAATGTCATTAACAACAAGGTACATGAATGATATTCGATTTTCCATTCCGTACCCTAATTTGCTGAGAATGACCAGTTGAAAAATACTGCTGTTAGCGAAACATGTCGTGTGATTAAAATTTTCGTGAAAATCTTATCGTTTGTGAAGTTTTTTACATTTACAGTAAATATCTGTTTTCAATATGACGTCCTCGAATTTGTGCTCTTCACTGTTGTTTTAGGCTCACAACGCCACTTTGCTGACAGTCAGCTACCAACAAACCCTGTCTACGTATAGCGACAGGCTCGAAGCTCTGGAACAGCGAGTTTCTGAGCCGATAATGATCAACAATTTCACGGATTCTGCGGACGATATCAGCCTCAAAATCAAAATAAGACGACTCACCAGAAGGGTCTCATTACTTCAACGAAGGATGGCCAGTTTCAACCGAATGATATTCAACAACGATTGCGCGAGCAATCCTTGCCAGAATGGGGCAACCTGCCAGGACATGTTCGGGAGTTACTTGTGTAGATGTTCTGAAGGATGGGAGGTAAGTGTATTTTTTTACGACTATAACACAAGATTGCTCTTGTTTTACTGTGTTCGATACATCAATGAGGTACCTACTTTATTTGTCATCAATTTCATTTCCGTATCTGATATCACAATGACTCCATTGTCTTATTATTTCAAAAATAAATCATCGCCAATGGAATGTCAAATTTCTTTTGTACTCATTATTTATTAGATTTATCCCATATCTTGACCATAGAAAAAAACTCCCGACTTCCGGTCTAAAAGCCCCACTTCCGGTATAGAAGTCGTGATATGGACCTTTCAATATGGCAATTGTGGTGCCTTACAATATTTGATATCTGAAACTTTTTTCGAAATAATCGAGGCCAACCGAGATATAATTTTGTCTCAAGATAAATGCGCGCCACACCCGGTATATGTACTTTGTTGGTCCTTCAGATCAAAGTGTACTGAATGATGTTTTCTGTGTAGGCCTTGGTACTGTGTATTGGCAACTATATTTTATTGGGAACATTATTTTGTGTGAAAAGTTGTTCTTGTTTATTTTGCTAAAAACATATGGCTCGTTACGTTGGAGCATGATATCTTATAACTCGAGTTATTGAAAAAAAGAACATTTTAATTCAAAATTTTGATGCCCCGTATATATCATAACATCGGAAAAAATGAAAAATTGCATAAAAAAAGTCATATTATTTTTGTTCAAAGAATATACAGAGAAATGCACAAAAAACGGCCAGTGCTGTAACTTCTGAATCATTCGAGATCAGATTTTAAAATTTGGTGGGTAGCAAGTATATCAAATCGCTCATTTATTGACCAGAATTTTTTTTTTATCGCCTCTGGTTCTCTATGTATGGTTAATGGATTGACTCCCTTTTTACGGACACCTTGTATATTAGAACGCACTCAAACATAAAATCTCGCATAAAACCCTGTATATTCCTTGCCACTTGTTGGATCGTATTATTTGTACAGGGCCAAGATTGCTCCATTGATATCAACGAATGTGCTAGATTTGCCGGAACAGATTTGGGATGTCAAAATGGTGCTACTTGCTACAATAAACCTGGATCATATGAGTAAGTTAGTATATATTATTGTCAAATGATAGCAGGATCAGCTGGGTTCTTCTTTAGATGTGTGTGCATAGGAGGATTCGTCGGGATTCACTGTACCAGAAGGAAATCAGATTGTCTCACTAGTGGAACTGAGATATGTGGCCACGGCACATGTGTAGCACAGAACAATGCAGTGGGTTACAAATGTATTTGTAATCAGGTATCTACCCATTTTGCTTTATATATAACCTACTGAATTCTTGGATAGATTAGGCCTTTATACTCAAGCGCTGGAATCCATCATCTTCCATCGTCTCATTTCATTATGGGAATATATAATTAATCATTGTTTGTCAAGGGAAAAATAGAAACCAGGACCTATATAGGTGCTTTTATATTATGTCAAGTAAATACACTCCTGGATTGACCGGAAGCACTACAATCTCGATTCATATATGACAGTGAGCACATGAAGATTGGAACAAATTTGCTATTATTGGCTGATTTGTCAGAAAGCACTAGCAAGGTTATATGTAACCAGAAAGTCCATATCTTCATGATATGAAGTACTAGGAACAATGATGGGATTCACTATGTACCATTTCCTGTTTCAAAGAAGAATGATTGTTGTTGTTGAAGATCAATAATGTACAGGTTGATTGTTTATATTTTACTCAATTGCTATATCTCAGTTGATATTGGTCTTACAGAAACGTAAACAATCACCCTGTACTGTCACTAATGAAGGTTATGGGATATTCATTAATGCGATGATATCCGAAGGAGAATCGATACAAATGTCAGTTTCTAGAGGATGTACACCGAAAATCTTACAATGCACTGTCACTGTCCACCTTTTTCATGTAAACTGTGCGCCCGTTTCATTATTCAAGCTCTCTGTACACGTACATTTTGTTTCTTCAAGAACCATTTTTCAAACAATATCATATAATAATATAGTGCAATGAATATCTGTGAAAAAAAGGAATTCATATCTAATCATTTTGGTGATCCCTCAATATAATTCGAATCAATATTTTTTCTTGAGACATTCCGTTTAATACGAAAACATCGAAACATATGATACAGTATACAGTTGTTATATAAGTGTATAAATGTATTCGTTAAAAACAATGAATCAGAAATGAGTAATCGATGTACTTTATATTCAATGCCTGAATGAGAGTGGATGAAAACTAGAAGTTATATAAGAACATTCCTGTTCTAGTATTCACCCTAACAGTATACATACGTAGATACTTAAATCTTCTGTCTAGTTCATAATCTTGATTTTGTTAAAACTGTAGCATACTGAAAAGTATAAATATTGCATATATTATGACCATAATGAGTAGGTATTTTTTGTATAATTGTAGGGTTGGACTACAGACGAATCAGGCGTTGCCTGTACTAGAGATGTTGATGAATGCAAGCTAAATCACCCATCCTGTTCAGTCAATCCTCGTGTAGGCTGCATCAATGTCCCAGGTTCATTTTATTGTGCCCCATGCCCTGCTGGTGAGTGTATTCTCAATCTGGTGGCATCAATTTTTATGATTCTCTTTTTCAGGTTTCAGTGGTAATGGCTATCACTGTTATGATGTAGATGAATGTGCCACAAATAATGGTGGTTGTAGTACCAATCCAATGGTCTTATGTATAAACACTCATGTAAGTTTTTCATTCAACTGAAGTTGAATTGAAACTGAAATGAACTGCTGTAAAGTTTTTTTTGCTGTTTTTTGTTTCCCAATCCATTTCACAACATTTTATTCTCTTAATTTAACATTTTTAGTATAGGTACAGGAATGGAGGTTCAATTTCAAATAACTACCACAGAATTGTACCTTCACCTGAAATATTATTCTAATGGAATTTTTCTTGACTTGAAGGGATCCAGAGTGTGTGGGTTGTGTCCTCCTGGATTTTCTGGAGATGGAACAACTTGTACATATCAAGGAGCAATATGCAGCGTGAACAATGGTGGCTGTAATCATCTAGCCACATGTAGAGAAAATTCAAGTGAGTAGAATATCATTTATATGTATATGTATACAGGCGGGTGGGTCCCTAGACCACAGTTGGAAAGGTGAATACCTCTTGAACAAATTGGTATTTGATATTTAAAAAAAAATGCGATTTTATATCATGCGGCATCAGAGCTATCTTCAGAAGTGTATGTATACAGGGACGATATCGATAGTTATCATTTTATTTTCAATTCACACACATATGGGAGATTGAAGAGAATATACGGTTCATATAAAAGAGTTTATCTATCCTGACTTCAATATCAAACCTGCAAGGGGCAAGGCCCTCTCAGAGACACGCAAACATAATTCCATTTTTCAGGAATAAGTTCAGATTACGTAGAATGTACTTGTCCGCCTGGATATATCGGAACTGGTATTGGTCCAAACGGCTGCGTTCGGTCCTCCGGTTCTCTCCATCCCTGTACACCAAACCCCTGCAAAAACGGAGTGTGCCGTGTGAACAACGCGACCAATGATTTCATCTGTACATGTACAAGTGGATACTCTGGTAGATACTGTGATACAATAAGAAATCTGTGCAATCCAAATCCTTGCCTGAATGATGGAGAATGTCAAAGTATCAACAACAATTTCCAGTGCAAATGTAAACCTGGATTCATTGGAGCACTTTGTCAGAATCAAAGAGAAGGTAAAAGAGAAATATTAAGAGTTCGGATATTATAGTTTATACTTCCTGGAAATAACAGAGAGAAGTAAAATATTATAGATACAGAAATGTACATGGAGGGGGAAATAGATGCTGGTTTTTTCTCTTAAAAACCCAATTTTTTTGGCGTTTCACTAAGGGTACGGACATGCCGAAGATACATGGATTTGCGCGGTAGCTACATCGATGTGAAAACAAACACATTCGTCCTTATGAGACCGCACATACCAAGGAAGTTTCACCCGCTCATCCTCGCTGCCTATCATAGCGGTTTACATCGATGTCGATGCCAGAACAAAATAGTTCGTTTTGCATCGCGATCGAGCTGTTTATCGCATGGTAAATTGTCACGTTTATTGGTGTTTTTCAAACCATGTGACATTCGCCTGCGATACAGATAGTATTTATCCATGTTATGCGAGACGTTTGGGTTGTTCGTTTTGTTAATGTTCGGTGATTTCATATACAAAAATGAAGGATGGGCTGATAGATTCGGTGTTTTGTCCTCCGCCTTTATGGGATAACCGCCATAAACAACTCATAAAAGGAATATTTTGGCAAGGGAGCTCTTTAAATAGGTGATGGTATTCTTCTAGATACTCCTTTTTTGATTTATAGGATGAGCCGAAAACTGGCGATTGGAAGAATTACAAATCACCTTTGACTTGGAGACATACCTACAACCACGGTCGTCTCTACTCTGTTGCTTCTATATATATACATAGTTTGATGATGAAAAAACGAATTTTCCCACTCAGAAACCGCGAAAAAAACACTGGAAGGAAGGCATTTTTGGAAGTTCTGCTCGTCATCGATCTAATACCTCGACCGCGACCTCCACCGCGGATATCTTCGGCATGTCCGTACCCTTCTATTTCTGTTCAGCTAACATGTTTCTGAACGGCCCCTCATTTTTGTAAAAATCTGAATCAGATATCTCCAAAACCTTTCATTATAGCTGTCAACTATTTGATATGTCGTTCGTGAAATTGCGTATTATGTTATTATTTTTATAAATCTAATTGATCATTTTAGCCTGTGGTGGTCTTCTGAAGGCAGAAAATGGAACTCTCAAATTTCCACCTGATGATTATGAAGATTACAACGATCGTTCTAACTGTGCATGGTTAATATCCTCTAATTTTTCATCCAGGGTTTTGAATATAACTATAAAAAAATTCGATATTGAGAAACATCCCAGCTGCCAGGCAGACTGGTTAGAAGTGAGTTTTATTTCACATATTTTGGCGTTTGTGAATGGTGAATCTATTATCCATTAATCATTTTGACAAATTGAGCACAATTTAAGAAGGTTGAATTTCTCTAGACTAAATTTGCGACCGGATTATTTCTCTACATGTTTGGATTAGTGTTGGTTATTAGTGTTTTCTTGATGAATGTACAAGATAAATCAATTTGACAAAAGATACCCATCTTATGGGGTAATGAAATGATGCTGATCAGATATTTTTAGTGTGAAACTTTCTTTCCTCCTTAAAATTTGCTTCAAATTGTTGTGCTTCAATCGCAATACGTTGTTATCTGGAATATAAAATTTGAATATTTTTTTATTACCACATATAAACTTCAATCACTGATAATTTCGTTTGAAAAATCAATTAATTGAATCTGTAAAGTTTCAATATTGAAATTGATCATTCTTTATTAGATACACGATGGAGGGAGTACAGCGGCACATACACTTGGAAGATTTTGTGGAAATCAGTTACCCTTGGGAGGTAATTTTATAACAACACATAATTCTGTATATCTTTGGTTCAGATCTGACAAAACTATAAATAAGGAGGGATTTGAGCTGACTTGGAATGCAATAAAACCACGTAAGTCCATCATTATCAAGAAAGAAATAGATAAAAAAATTCATATACATCTTCAGTTTGTGGAGAAACTATTCCGCTATCTAGAACTAGCCATGGTACTATACAGTCACCGGGTTCTCCAGGAAACTATCCAGTGAATCGGTAAGTCGATATAGTGTAGACATTTTAAATTATTTGTTTTTGAATTTACTCAAAAATTACAGTGATTGCTTTTGGAAACTGCGGGCACCTTTCGACAAGAGAATCATGTTTACTTTCTTCTTACTGGAAATTGGGGAGAATACTGATTGTACTCAAGATTATTTAGTAGTAAGTTTCTGTCAGTTTTTTTGTATTCCTCCTTTCCTTGTGCATGTACGCATTGATTTGATGGATAGGTATAAACATATAAAATACGAATTAATTTTAGTTCTCGTCTAGCCGGCACTATCTAACTTCTGGATCAAGGAAAAATGAATTTGAAACATTCTGCAATAGTTCCAAACCAGCACCATTTTATTCTCCTGGATCATATGTAGAGATTCAATTTCACTCGGATTCAAAAGATACATATAGAGGTTTCCAGTTGTCTTACTCAGTTGTTGAAGGTAAATTGGGAAATTCAAATTGCAACAACTCCAAAGAAAAAAAAACTGAAAATAAGGGGTTGTGGTGAAAAAGGCCTAGGGGAGAATCCTCTCAACAAAATATGAAAAAAGTTTTTATGAACATTGGTCCAAAAATGATTCGTTTCCGAGTAAAAAAAAAAGTTTTTTATTAATATCTTGAAAAAGTTGAAGCCGATTTGAATGAAGTTTTCATGGTTTATTAAAAAAAAATAATCAGACATTTATTAGGCCACTTACAGTTGATCCATAGTTTTCAGGGGCGAACCTATATATAAACCCACTTAAAATACAACATTTCTGTCTCTTGCTATTTTTTCGTATCTTGCTTCGTTTTCGAGAAAACCGGACAATACGGTACCATACCTCAGCATTCTCTAACTCAATAAGGAAAATAAAAATGCTTAGATATTATCCAAAAATAATACATTATTATATATGACAACAAAAAAAACATAGAATTCAATACCATCTTCAAAATGTATACGATCTTTAAATTTTGTGAGAAATATTTTTTCAAGTTATATTAATGAAAAACTCATTTTATTGAATCCCATATCTCACAGACCTCAAAATATCTCACAAACGAAGCATTTTCGGACCCATGTTCATATGAATCTAGCCTCTTAGGCTTCTGTCACCACAACTCTGATTTTCTTAAATACCCGGTATACTGAAATTACCACAATAATGTAATGCATTAATACCCTTATCTCATTTTCTTGCCGTCCTCACTGAAAATAAAAATTAAATTATCCGGGACATTCAAAATTCAATATCGATAGTATTTTGTAGTCCCTAAAGTTACCAAGATGTTAGTTGATCTTTATCTACTTTTCAGGTATACTAAGGATGGCAAAGTCATGTCAAAATAATATTGTGATGTTTTGAAATATTCTTGAGTATTTATCACAGTCACTTTAAAAACTTGGAGTTTCAATATTTTCCAGGCACACCCGGTTGTGGAGGAGTTTATACATCAACAGAAGGTAAAATTGAATCGTCAGTTCCACCTTATTCAATGTACTCAACTATTTGTGATTACAAAATCCAGCAGAGCGTTGGCTCTAAAATACGAGTAACCTTCTTGTCAATGGAGCTAGGAGATAAACTTGATTGCTCGTTTAATTATGTGAAGGTATGTTTAATATGCAACAAAAGAACTGTAATTCCAAACTACCTTATGAATTAAAATATCAGTTTTTAGTGTTGTGTACTTGGTTCCAATAGCATATGGGTTCTTTTCACCTTGTTTTCAGGTGTTTGAGGGTGCTGATGATGAATCTGGCTCTTTGGGTAGGTTCTGCGGTAGAACACTACCAGCACCATTCATATCGCAAGGTAACCAATTGACAATTCAATCATCTCTATTCTCACCAGCCAAATGGAAATTAAAATATGAAAAAAGTAAGTCATATTTATCTATTCATTCTCCATACACCGACATACCATGTGGACTAATAAGAATATGCACTATATCAACATGAAACTCACACTGTTTGCTTCTTCTGATTCATTGTGTAATCAATAATTTTCACATCTTTTTATCGAAATCGTTGAATTGGTTTCGGTATTTCAAAATAAAATAACATCAATAACTGCTTACTAGCAAATCATTCGATTAATATTTACTTCTGATTAGAGAAAATAGTCAAATATATGTATTTTTTTAGTTTGTGGATCAAAGTATACCGAGAAAAGTGGTTCATTCTCAGCTCTTACTGGTGATTCGGATTGTATTTATCAAATAGAGAGGCCCGTTGGGAATGTAATAATGCTAGTATTGAAAATATCTATGAAACAATTCAGCCCTCTTTTGTCTGAAAAGCATCGATGCTTCTCAAGATTTGTAGAGGTAAGTTTTTTCGAAATTGTACCATATTGTATTGAGACAGAGAGAAATCGTTCTACCACAAACTTTATTTTGCTAGGTGAGGGATGGAGATCATGAAAATGCAACACTGATAGGAAAATATTGTCAAGAGGAGACCATAAATATAACCTCAAATCACAACTCCTTATGGATAAAATTGAAACAGAGGCATGACATCTACTCAGTGAGAGCTGTAAATAATGCCTTCAGTGCCGAGTATACTTCAGTAGATATCGGTAAACAAGTTCAATAAAATCTCATCAGTTCTTGTGATATATAGAATAAGGCATTCCAAGGAAAGCTATCGACTATAAATAATTTCCCAAAAAATATTTTTTTACAAAAACAAATTACAAGTGTGAGGGTCACACATTTTGATGACATAAAAACATGAATTTTAAAGCATTCCAGTCGACGGCGTTGAAAGCCATGAGGAAGCTGCACTGACCTCCACTTTGATTGGTTTATATTGAAGGCAATATTACTTTTGCCTACTTTATGACTTAATAGCGTGACTGTGAACATTCCTTTTTGAAATGTTGTATAATGTAGTATAGAGATTCATTAGCTGATGTTGTTCTAACTTACTTGGGATTCATAATATCAATAAATATGGGACGTCCAATTTTCAAAAAATATATAGGATTGCTCTAGGAGGACGGGAGTGAAAGAAACTAAAATGTGACCCCTCATATATTGTTTCGGACTTGTTATTTCGGAAAAGTTTTTTTGAAATAACTAGATTTTGTCCCCTAGCTAAGAGACTTAGAATGGATATATAGTACATCACTCTATTCATTAATCAAGTTCAATATTTTTAATTGAAATGCACTGTATTTTTTTTGCACTAGGCTGTGGAGGTATCATGAGGAACAAATACGGCAACATTGCCTCACCAACTCATTCAGACGGCTTCTACCCTCCATCTATGAAATGTACGTGGCTTATAATAGCGCCACCCAATCATGTGATTCAACTCACTTGGATGCAGTTCAACGTAGAGCAAAGCTACGAATGCTCTTATGATAATGTTCAAGTGTTCGACAATAATACTGATCTTGGGCTAGGCGGGCTTATGGGCAAATTCTGTGGATTCACATTGCCACCCGTTTTGCTGTCGTCATCTAACACTATGACGATTGTGTTCACGTCAGATATAACAGTCAGCATGGATGGATTTCTGGCTTCATATACTACTATTGAGGAAGAAAATGGTGAGGAAATGCTCAAGTTGATTCGTTCTCTCCAACTCCTAAACATGAGGACTTTTGAATATTACCTACCAAGGAAACAAATTTTCTAGTTGATTTTTAAGTAAAATGTTGAATTTGTTTCCGAAAAATTTATATGATGTGTTCGTGAATGCAGTGGTTAAACGTTTTACCCGTCTGACCAATATACCAGAGGGTCCCGCCGTTTTCATAGGGACAGTAGTAATTGCTATTTTAAGAGATAGGAAGTTTATCAAATTAGACAGAACTTACGTACATTAGACCTATTTAATAAGCCTTTTGCAAATTGAAAAAATTTCAGCAGTTCCTGAAATATTTTGAAAAAACTGAAAATCACTGATTTTGTTTCTATATAATAATCGTGTGTTCCAAATTCGATCGTCACCATTGGGATCTCAGTACCTGTGAGAGAGTCGGTTAAATTACGAAAGTTTCAGCAAATTCAGCTGTGATTCAGAATCCGAGAAATCTTTACTAGCTTCAGTCATCTCTGACTGACTCAAAGAAAATAATAAAATAAGTTGGGGCAGGTCGTATCTCAGAAATTTGATATTGTCAACAAAAACAATAAAATGTTGCAGTCGTTTTATTAATTTTCGTGACAATCGAGAAAAACGAAAACACAAAATTTCAGTTTTTCTATAATAACACAAAAATGTCTGAAGCTTGATTTTCTTCTTTGAAAGGATAACACATTTTTCTCAAAATGTCTCATATGTTTTCGGGATAAGGTTAATCTGCTTATTATTGACCCTGAGATTTTTTCAGTTTGTGGTGGACATTATTTCACAGCAGCAGGTGTTATAAAATCCCCCGGCTATCCGGAATCGTATCCAGTGAATAGAGAATGTAGTTGGACAATAAATGTGATGCCTGGCCAGCAAATAATGCTGAATATAACCGATTTTGATATTGAGCCATATTCAGGTTGCAGATATGACTGGTTGGAAATAAGGTTTGGGTATATGAAAGAATATCCAGTAGATGTACCATAAATGAATCACTTTTAGAAACGGTGGAACTTCAGCATCACCTCTTATAGGCAAATTTTGTGGAAAAACAATCCCTAAACAGATTCCGTCTCACGCAAATAAATTATATCTCTTTTTCAAGTCAGACTTGAGCAGAACTGCACATGGCTTCAAAATAACATGGTCTTCAACAGCTACAGGTGAAAAAAATATAATAAAATTTTTCGGCCTGCTCGAAAAAAGACGTATGAGTTGCTCAGTAAAAAACAGTTTGTATATTCTACTGACCAGTCGGTCGTATAGTCTAGCAGGCTAAACACTTTCGAATTTAAGGTCGACAGCAATTTTTTCGAGCATCGTGTATTTTTCAATGGGTCTTCGATAACAAGTTGAATTTTCTAGGGTGTGGTGGTATTCTGAATTCTCCAACTGGTTCTATCATATCACCACATTATCCAGAACCATACAGCAGAAATACCGAGTGCCTGTGGAAAATAATTACCAGTGCAGGATCTAGAATACAAGTAATCTTTTCTGATATCAATTTAGAAAAACATGCAACATGCTCAGCAGATTATGTGCAGGTAATGACATACAGGCAATCAATTGTACTTGCTTATATGTGATGTTGAGATCATTTTCAGTTATTTGATGGGATAACCATTAATTCAAATTCGCTTGGCAAATTTTGTTATGAAGTAGTTGAGCCCGTCAAGTCGACAGAAAATAAAATGTTGGTGAAATTTAGATCAGATATAGCGTTCCAAGGTCGAGGTTTTCAACTCCATTACACGACAGGTGAGAGCAACATGGAAAATCAATAATTACACCATATAAAATATAAATTATCGGGTGACAGACGATAAGTACCTCTGTCTTACGCGTTTCGGCTACATTTACTTTAACTGGGGAGTTGAATGATTTTCTGAGGATTTGCGAGACAAACTTTTCAATAGGTTTACCTACATTTTGTGAGCAATATAAAGAATATAACTTTAGGGGTAGCTGAAATCAGCACCAACTTGTTTTTTTCTAATGCAACCCTATGACTGAATGAAGTTTAATATACCTATTTTCAATATATTTTCATCAAAATTTCGATTTTTAGCGACAGTTATCTACAAGGCCTTTTCACCAGTTTACAATAACACTTGTTTCGACCTGTGAATACGCGGCATACAAACTAAATTTCTTTTTACGGCTATAAAAATAACACTGATGGCATACGATAGCAGATAGAAGTTTGCGGCAAAAAATTGCTATAAATTGTTACGTTGAAAATAAATTAAATTTTGATTTTATACACTCTCAAACGTACAAAAAACTAAAATTTGATCCTCTTTCCACCAGCTTTCCGAAGAGGGTTCACAGGCCATAGGTTGTGTGTGTTTAGAGTGGTTTCAGCTACGCAATATCCAAACTTCTTTCTCTGTCACACTCATTGAGCTTATGAAAAATTCGAACGCGAATATCTTCGAATCGTTTGAAACATCCCAATCAAACCCGGTATAGTTGAATTCGTTATAATAATCCCTAACCGATTATGGAATAAAATACATGGTGTTCCATTTGATGTAATTTCCGGGACAACCGGAAGATCCGAAAAAAAAAATCCTAAAATGTGAGGAAGTGCCCTCTAGTGAGCATATTCGATGTTTCAAATTTCAGAAATATAGCTAGAAAAACAAAGGAGAAAAGGGGGGTATACCATGAGTCAGTGTCACCCGGTATACCGAAGGCAAGATAGGTTGAAAATCAGGGCGTCCAATTCACTAAATATTACACAAAATATAGTTTGAATACAGTGCGTCTTATTTTTCCTGAAATTGAATTTTGTCACTTCTCATGGAAGCACCCCTTACGTAATCATTGAGGTGGCGCCTCAAATGACCCTGTATATTAGTAGTATATATTCCATGTTCATCCCATCTCCCCGTATACTTCAAATATCATAATAATTATTATCAGTCATAGATGAATAATTGTTCGAGAATTGATACGATAGAAAGGTGACGAAACTAATTAGTCATTCGGGACGAGGTGATGAATCGTGTCAGTCTTGTGTTAGATGTCATCGTGTACGGTCTACTTGAAGTGCTCGTATCAGTTTCAAGCAAGAATCTAGTACATATCGCGAAATAGTATACAGGGTATTTCACAATTAGCGTTAATTAGACGTTTCTGGCAAACCAAGCTACAGATGAATCTGAAAATTTGTTGGTATGTGTTAATTGACATGATTTACACAACAGTAACATTTTTTAAACGATGCGGCGTAGCAACAACTATGACTTTTCAAATGGAATATCCTGTATTTCATTGCATTTTCAGATTCTCCCTAAAGAGCTGATTTCATCGATGTACCACGCATGCGGGCAAGTTCCCACACTGTATATACTGATATAAAGATATTTTTCAGTTTGCAAGAATACAGTCAAAGGATTCCAAGGAGTTATAGAGAGTCCTAATTTCCCTAATGAGTACTCTCAGGATGAAGATTGTTTGTGGGAAATTGTTGTTTCCAATAGAAATAAAATAAATATAACATTCTCTCACTTTGAACTGGAACGATCACTTACTTTTGCAAATAACAGTTGTTTATTCGATTATGTTGAGGTAATTCTTATTCAGAAACGAAGAAGCAATCATGATTATAAAGATATTTTCTAGATACGGTATGCGGAAGAAGCAGAGGAATATGAAGAAGAACGCCCTTATACGACATACGGCAGATATTGTGGGGATGAAAATCCTGGACATCTCAGCCTGAATTCAGATCACGTTCAAATACACTTTGTTAGTGACAAACTGTTGCTCGGAACAGGTTTCAGATTAGAATGGGTAATATTCGGTAAATGATGTCCTATCTTTTGTCTTCAAAGAATTGCATAACCTTCGTTCTTCAGGTTGTGGTGGACATCTGAAAAAAAATACTGGCACAATTGCGTCGCCTAACTATCCCGATCCTTATCCAACTTCTGTTGAATGCGAATGGCTGATAGAAGTCGATTTTGGGTACAGTGTGGAGATAGAATTTCATGAAGTGGATGTCGAAAAAGAAAGCTCATGCCAATTCGATTCAGTCAAGGTATATATACATCTATTTCACTAAACTTGTGTAATCCCGCGATATGCCTGCCCACCCTGTAGCCCATGAAGTTTTTCAACTTGAAGTTGGAATATTCATTTGGTGAAATTCAGTTAGGTATATATTGGTATCTCTTCTGAATAATGAATAAAAATAACCAGTACCTAGGACCTAGGTGTATTTGATGACGATATTCAAAAAATCGCTTGCATTCATATAACTGTTTCACTATGCTTTTTTATCTAAACTCAGATCTTAGAGAGCCTCATCCAGCTGTGTGAGAAAAAATATAGTTGTTTCTTTTTTTTCGCATAAGAAATTTAGTATCACCTGTTTGCACTTTCTGAAAAGCGCTGTACCTATACAATAATCTATTTTTAGTTAGTGTTATCTATAGGTCCTTAATAATATCAATTCCAGGTTTATAATGGTATGGACAGCACATATAATTTATTATCCACTATTTGCAAACAGAAGAAACCTACAGTTATAACTAGTACGGGGAACTTCATGTTTGTCAAATTTGCGTCAGACATCAGTTATCAGGGAAGAGGTTTTACTGCTGATTATAAAACCGTAGAAACAAGTATGTATATAAGCACTGAGTGTAAAATCATAAACTATACTCACGCCATTATAAAAATGTGTTTTTTAGAATGTGGTGGAAGATTCACGGCTGCTGAAGGTAGCATATTTTCACCAAATTATCCGAAGAATTACAACAAAAATGAAACATGTGAATATCTCATCGATGTGGATGAAGGTCATTCGATAGAACTAAAATTCAAAGACTTAGATCTCTATAAATCTGAGAACTGTTCCCGGAATTATGTCCGAGTATGCTCTCCTTATTGCTGCCTTGGATAGAAATTTATTTCGAGTTTTTCAGATGCATGATGGTCCTACTGCTGGATACCCTGTAATAGAAACTGTTTGTGGAAATGAAACTCCGAATACTACAATCAAATCGTCATTCAATAATATGTTCATAGAATTCAGAGCCGATTCATCATCAAAAGGATTCCTTGCTGAATACTTCAAAGTAATATATTTTATGAAACCATTTGAAGAGATGATCCAATTAACATTGATCTCAATTTTTTCAGTCTTGTGGCTCTAGAATCACTACTCAGAGCTCTGGGTTCATAGAAGCACAAGACATGGAGTTTAACGATAATTTCCAGACTTGTGTTTGGACGATTGTTTCTTCAGATCCAAGTAAGGCAACGATTGTACAAATGAATCGCATATTTTCGGTAAAGTTCAACCTTCTATATTTCATTATTTACAAGAATTCGTAAACATTCTGCATTTCAGTTCAAAATATTAATATTGTTAGATTCAAAATCGAGGTATCGAAGATGGTCACATTTTCCACACTCAAACACAATTTGTACAACGATGACAGTTTATCAAATACAACATCGACGACTGACTCGTTCTGATACTAATGAATAAGAGCCTGCTTCAACCGATTTGTCTTTCCTAGGCGTTTCATTCATTCACGGGGTGATTTGAACTTCGTCGCTAATAATATGATATATAATTATTCCAAATTTCAATATCCATCTATCTGTTGATATTCATTCGATCTATTGATTATTGTTAAGTTTACACTACACTGTTTTACCACTAACCAAACCGATTTTTTAACGCCTCGACACGTGTTTTAATCTTCTCCTGAAGATGCTAACATAGTTAGCGAAACACACATTGACTGAATGACACCAAGTGAAACAATCGAGAACATAGGTACTAAATTGTAGCAAGACTTTGAAAATTAGATCAGAATTGGGGTATTTAGCTATTGTGGAAGAAGATGATGTTACTTCCTGAATCCAATTACTGATATTCTCAAATAAGTAAAGGTTGAATTTTTCAGAAATTTCTGAGTAAAATGTATTTTATTGAGAGATTGCAAATATGATCAAGATATATTTTTCAGCAAAACACGTTTCTCTCACTATCACTCACATGCATGGGCTACTCTACTGCGATTTTGAAGGCTCTGCTGTAAAGGTATACAATGGAGAATCAACAGATTCTCCATTGCTAGCGAGCTACTGCGGTTCAAAAGTACCACCTACTTTAGTCAGTGATGGATCGGCCCTCACTATCAAAATCGATTCAAAAATGTCTTTCTTCGCTACATACTCAGTTTATGATTCACGTAAGTTGATGTTTAGGTAGCATAAAAGTATACAACTTTTGATACTGTAGGTATTTCAAATCGAAGTTTTGATATGATTCACGATGATTTTTACAGAATGTGGCGGTACACTGACTTCATCTGAAGGATTTTTCTCGACTCCTGGATATCCAAAGAAATATGCTTCCGACACTGAATGTGAATGGACAATTCAAATATCACCAGGTATGTAAAGCATTAAGTAGTCGAAGTAAATTGTCAAATTTATTTATAAGTAATCGCGTGTTCTGTGATTCTTCAGACCCAGTGCTTTTCAAGTTGATACTTACAGCTGATATAAAGGTGAAATTGAATACAGTTATTTAGAGTTAGTTATTGGAACATGTAATAGACATAGGGAAAGTATTGTCTACTCTCTTGTTCAGGTAATCAACTCACTCTCAACTTCATCGCCTTCGATATTTTGGATAGTGAAAACTGCAACAGTGACTACTTAGAAATAAGAACCAACAATGCTACGGGACCATTACTAGGAGTTTATTGTGGAAAGAATAAACCGAACAATTTGACACATGAAGGCAGTGTCTGGTTAATGTTCAAAGGCAGTAAATTAGATAAAGGAAGTACCTCTGTTGCAGCCAAAGGCTTCTATGCGGAATATATACTGAGTAAGTGATTGTATACTGCTTTCTGAATATTGTTCGACTAAATACATTTCCAGACGAGCATAATGAATTGACTGGTGTTCGTGGAGACATTTATTCGCCCTTGTATCCCCAACCTATTTTGGAATATAAGGTATTTGACTGGAAAATAACTGTGGGACTGAGAAAACGAATTTTACTTACTTTCAAAGAATTTTACTTGGACGCCACGGATTATACCGATGATAGTTGTTACTTTGCATCATTTGAGGTATCAAACAATTCAGAATTCTCAAAATAAATGATTACTAGATGGTTTTTCAAGGTATTTGATGGAGTGGATGACACAGGCACTTCATTGGGTAAATACTGCGGGATCTCATTGCCAAAACCTATTAAGTCATCATCCAATATAATGTTCATAAAGGTGGAATACAGTAGCCCCAGACTTGGCTCTAAATTCAGAGTATCTTGGGAGGAGATAGCAGCTTCTAGCCCTGTCTTGCTACCAATCCAAAGTAATGCAACGCTTTCTACTGAAAAATTGTTGTTCGTTATACGCTTATTACTTTCAGACAAAAACTGCAGCAACATTACTGGGGAGATAAATCTCCGTTCTCTGGGCAACTACACGTTCACTTCTCCGGGATATCCTGGGGGATATGCTCCTAATCTGAATTGTGAATGGATATTCTCGACTGTTCCAATGAATCACTTGGCCATAGCCTTCATAGACATCAATTTCGACACTAATGTCAATCGAATTGTGACCAGATGTGAAGTCTTCAGCGATTATGTGCGGCTCTATCAAAGGCATTCATACGATAATGATTGGCAAGTTATGAAAGATATATGCAGGAAAGATGATGCTCTTCATTTGATACATGCTGCTGAGTCGCTGAAAGTACAGTTCGTATCCACTAGGTTATTCAATGGTACCGGATTCAGAGCTATTGTATATGATTGTAAGCAGGATGAAAGAAAAAAATATCTCGGGATGTTCATTCTTAATTTTTTTCAGTGTGTGGTGGAACACTAACAGATTCGACTGGTTATATTGTATTCAATGAATCGAATTCACGTATTAGTGAGGTGAGATATTTCAACATAAATACATGATGATCTTATGAGTTTTACAACTACTTATCTGCATCGCTGTGACACCAACGTGTATAGGGTGGTTCTGGAAAAACTGGTACATATCCTTACAAAATAAGTACCTACCTATATCATACAAAATGAAATGAATTGAATTTTCACACTTTGGAAAAATATCTTGAATTTTACTTCAATAAAATTATATGGCCGTTTGATGTACAGGGTGTCACAAAACACAACGTCAACCAGAAAATCACAATATATGACCTTTGTAAAATATTGATAATCTTGGAAATATTGGCACTTCTATGAATTTCGTGAAAATCGAAACCTTTGATCAGTATTTCTAGTCCCGCAAGTACAAAACTTCATAGTTTATGATTTCAATTCTTGTTATGCAACCTGGTCAAAATATAAACAAAACTGAACTACACTTACAAGTTATAATGGAGGAAAGTTTATTTTGTGTTAACTACCTCTTTTTTCAGTGTCAATGGAACATAACTGTTCGTTCTACCAAAACCATTCAGTTAACATTCGAAATGATGAATATAAACCATGATAAAAATAAAGGCTGTGACAATTTCCTTATGGTAACTAATTTATTTCCTTGTTATTAGCTATAAACTGAACATCATTCATCATTTCAGATACGAAATGGTAAATATTCGGATTCTCCAATTCTAGGCAATGGAAAATATTGTGGCACAGAATTGCCTGATAAGCTAACATCGACAGGGAATAATTTGTTTATAAAGTACAAGGGATCTGAAAATATTGTGGTATATATAACAGGGCTATATTCTTCCAGCACATTAACATTTTTGTTATACTTAGGGATTCCGGTTGAAATATGAAGAAGTTTCAGCTTCATGTGGCGGAGAAATTATTTTGAGCCTCTATGACCATTCCACGGAAATATCGTCACCAAACTATCCAAATATACCAAACCCACACATAGAATGTCAATGGTTGATAAGAAGTCCACCTGGAGAATCACTCAGAATAGATTTCGAGGAAAGATTTGATCTAACGCCCAGCAGAAAGTAAATACACTCGATATCTATCTAGTATTAGAACTATTTTGCATTTTTTTCCACACTATTCATGATTACAAACTTCTCAAACGATATGATTTCCATACATACAGTAGCTTCTCCAAGTAAAATACTCCTCCAATACATTTACATTCAAATGATGTTCGTGAATGCTGTTGTTGAACATTCTACCTGTCTGACCAATATATCCCTTGGGACAAAAAGAAAACAATTTCAAGATACACTAACCATATGTCAGAAGAAAATTATCGTTTCCATGATAATCTCGAAATTTTAACCACAACGATCAATTACACCTCAATACTTCATCGCTTTTGGAGCCGTTTTTTTTTTTCATTTATTTTGCATACTTTCCGAAATGAAGGATTAAGTAGCTTGCGTGCAGTTAATTCTAATCCATTGGGTTTGTAAGTATTAATAAATGTTAGGCAAATCAAACATGTTCTGTTATTACTAATTTTCTGGAAACCTTTTCGTTTTCCTATTCAACATAATTATTATTGTTTCGGAAATTACAGAATTTGTTCATTCAGTTGTTTGAACAGTTCAATTTCGAGATTTCTATGCCATATTTCATGGATATCTAGGATTGATATTTGAAAATCTTGATTTTACAAACATTTAAAAATTTAATGGACACATTTCAGATGGTTTGCTCATGAGATATGTTGCAAATAAACCGAATAATTATTTTTGAAGACATTTTTTTGTCAGGGAAGTATTAGAGGGGTCTTCTAAAATTGCTCATTTATTATAGTTGTGAAACAGAATATGTAGAGGTCCGAGATGGGGGCACAGAATTCTCAAGACCCATAGGGAAATACTGCAAATCCGCACCAAGCTCTCAGTTCTCAACGGACAACATGATGTTTGTGAAATTCTTTACGGACACTGACGACCCAAAGAATGGGTTCAAAGCGAGAGTGTCCATAGGTCAATGTGGAGGTACCATCAGAGGTGACAAAGGAGATTTATCATTTGCAAGTCCTGCCAACGCCAAAAATCTCAATTGTACCTGGCGCTTGTCTGGCCTTACAGATCATTATCTAACAACTACTTTCTCGTCAGTTGTTTTGAATGGACCATGTTCAAAAAATTATATCAGAGTTTACGAAAATATGCTGACAGCAGATGGTAGTAGGACTGGTACGTGTAAAATATGAGTGCCTATAGTGACGTCAAGGCTGACAATCAATGTTTTTTCAGAGAATGAACTCGGAAAATTCTGCGGGAAGAATGTTTCCACGAAAATTGCTTCAGCTGGAAATCAGATGTTTGTGAATTTCGTAGGCGACAATGATGGAAAATTCAGCTTGAGTTTCAACAGCAGTCGATCACGTGAGTTGTTAATACAATGTCCTCTATAAATAGTGCCCCATTTTAATAATAAGGAACTTTTATGTTAATATTTAAATAACTTTACATAGTGTTTTCGAATTTGGGGTATTGAATGAAATGGAAAAACAAGTCGAAATGAAAGTAAATTTTCGTCGGAAAGAAACTATTCTGGAATATTGAATCTAAAAATTTGCCTAGAACTATTACTTATCAGTTTCTAAAACAAGTTTCGAAATTATTTCTACTTCGATTTATTGTGTGTCATCATGTCTCATACAACATCCAGTTCTATTGATGGCCCCAATTTCGGAAATACCCAGTATAGTTATACAGTAAGAACTACTTGAAAGCGGGACAACCCCTAATGTCTTTTATTTCCCATCAGCGTTCGATGGCATTTTATTCAGTTTTGTATGATATTTCATGTACTTTATCTGATGTAACTATATATTTATAGGAAGATCTGATTTTTTTTTATGTTTATAGTGGGTGTCAAAGAAATTTACAGAGCAGTATCTTTTCATAGAATTTGGTACACGACCATTTGAGAATAAGACGCTAAATCCAGGAGTTCATTCAGAATTTCCATCACATTTTTGTATTATTTGTATAACTCCAGTAGACCATCAAGGTTTTTGTTCGAGAAAATAGTGTAGTTTTGTCCCGTGTAATTTTTCATACCTTTTAAGTAAAAAAATTCCGAATCGGACGATACATTTCAAGGGGGAAAGTCCTGTTTTCAAATGTGTCACACTGATACAAGGGTGAAAAAGATTTGAACAAAAGATCTGTACAAAATATCTTGACCCAAGAGTTATGTCAAACAGCCTGGAAGTACTTTAGCCCCTGAATCTTGGATATAATAATGTAGGCTCAAATTATAATTTTTTTTCTTTATTTTCCCATTCCCAGAATGCGGTGGTACGATAAACGAAGAATCAGGAGAAATTCTTTCACCTGGCTACCCAGTGATGAATCACTTCAACCGATACTGTAAATGGACGATAGTTGTCCCAGAGGGCCGTCGTATAATTTTGAACTTTATCGATTTGGACTTCGACAGTAGTTTTTTCAGTCAAGAACAGGCTGTTGCTATTTTCGATGGGAAAGAGTTCAGTGTCAGGAAAGCTTTCCTCATCAAAGGAGAGCAACAAAAAACCATCGAGTCGAGCGCAAATGTAATGACCATATTATTCTGGTCCAGTAACCCGTCTGAACACAGAGGCTTCAAGGCTAATTTTAGTTCTAATGAACCAACAAGTAAGTAGTTGAATGTTGACCCATATACAGTTTTGAAGGATAACTAGTGTGTATGTACTGGGTGATTCAAACTTCCTGCCCTTGGCTTATAACAATAAAAGAAAACCTGCAAATGCAAATTTGGCAGAGGGGATTTGAATAGTGTGTAATGTATATTTTTTCGCATTTAAACATATTTCAACTCTTTTCAAAATGACGGAAATGTCGTCAGAAAGATTATTTTTCCCACAAAGTGACCATTGTTTTCTCATGTTCTGAAAGAAGATATTATTTTGAACAACTTCCATCCGAAAAGTTTTAGGATGACAGTTGTTTTCTGCCATTTTGAAGGAGGTTGAAAAATGGAAAAATGTTTGAACACGGAAAAATATACCTTACGCGCAGCTATTCAGATTCTCTCTGCCAAATTTGCATTTGCAGTTTTCCTTTTCCTGTTATGAGCTAAGGGCGGGAAGTTCGAATCACCCTGTACATGCATTTTCAGTTCATTTTCCTGATACATTCTTCAAATACATATATTGTATCATCCACTTTCAGTATGCCTTGGTGATTTTTCAAAAGAGAGTGGTATTATTTCTACACCACAAGCAAGAAACACTTCTTATAACTGTCACTGGACCCATACATCTGGCGATATGAACCTGAGAAAAACGACAGCAATGGCAATAACTGTCAATACAAACTATAAGAAATCGCTCACATCCTCGTATGTTTGTGGACATTCTTTTGTTTCTCTAACAATATCTAATCAGGAGAATGAGAATTTGAACAGTGTATGTAGTACTACCGAATCGCAGATAATCACTAGGTCCCCATTCCTCACAACTAAACTAAAGGTAAATACTAAAATAATCGAAAAAAAAATAAGGATATTGTGTTCTTCCTTACAAGTATTAGACTTCGAGGGAATTTTTTTTCGATAAGTTTATATCATCTAAGCGTCGGAAATCAAACTTCAGATGCTGTAAGGTATTATTTTCTTCGCCCCCACCCGCCGTTCGTTCATATACCTCTTTTTTATTTCATCTACCAATCAAGAAGCTTTCATCGGCAAAAAATATTCGTCTATTGAAATTTTCTCGGTCTACTGAGTCGTTGAGTTTCAAAAACACGATTTTCAAAAAATATTGAATCGACACCACAACAACACTGCATTTAATTTCAGCAGAATATGAGTAATCTTCAGTCATTGTGATCATGAACTCTACATTATCTATCTACGATACAAAGATTTGCATCGGGTATTCGCGATAGACATATTTTTTATATGAAGTACTAACATTATTTTGGCTCACTCTATCAGCCCTCTATCGTTTACGGCATGACCTTTCCGGACACCCTGTATAACTAGCATTACTCATTCAACTGTAAAGCGCCCAAATGATACTGAAATACATATGGCGGGATGGGGGTGAAGCAATTTGAAATACTTTGCGAAACCTACTATTCATTTTCTCAACTAAATTATTTTATTCGAAATTACAAATTTTCAGGCTCAAGTATCACATAAATACGAATTGAACTTCACAGCGTCCTACAGCACTCATGATTGTGGTGGGATATTAACGGGTCAGTCGGGAATGATCTCTAGTCCTAACTTCCCCAACAAACCCTCGAAAACATTCGAGTGTGCATGGCTCCTTAGAGCAGATGAAGGGCAAACGATAAACATCACAGTATTGTCGAGTAACTTGGGCGATGACTGCGAAAAAAGCTTCTTGGCAATTCACAATGGAGGCTTGCCCACTCATCCGAGGATCGGAAAGTACTGTAGGAATGCCAAACCTGATCCTATATTATCCCAAGGTAGGGAAGTGTGGATCGAATATAGGTGGGAACAAGGTTCTACCGGAACGGGATTTCAATTGAAGTATGAAGCAACAAGCAAAGGTAAAAAATCTACTATGGCAGTGCTGTGAAATGATATATTACATAAATATATACTGTGTAAAGAGTGACATATGCACTTTCCTACGAGTTGTTTTACACAATTTTCCCTAGGATCATAAATATGATGACTGTCCTTCGGGACCTTAGAAGACATAGAATGTAAACCGACCAAAATTGGTTTTTATCTCGAAATCATTGCCATCTCGTAGGAAAGTAGATTTTGAGTGGCCTCACATGGTGAAATGTTTATTTTTTCTTAGGTTGTGGTGGTGTTTTCCATGATAAATCAAGAACAATTCAAACGCCAAATTATGGAAGCGACTATCCAAATAATGCCGAATGTCTCTGGCTGATAGAGTCATTGCCAGGTTATCACATTGAGCTGAACTTTACTGGAAGATTCCACATAGAAGAGAGTGTGAATTGTACTAATGACTATCTAGAGGTATCACTCCACAACAAAAATAATGATGATATTTCTACATCCCGAGAATTTCAACAAATCAGTTTTATATTTTTTTATTAGGTGTTCGACTGGAGAGATGAAGGATGGACCTCTCTAGGGAAACATTGTGGTCGAATTATCCCTTCTAACCTAAAATCTTCATCGGAGAAAATGAAGATACTGTTTAGAACTAACGATAAAATAACAGCTAACGGATTCAAGGTATGTTAGAGAATTCAGTAAGAAACCAATCCTGTTATTTATTTTTTTGTTTTTCTCATTTCTGAACAGTTGATATGGACTTGGCAATGCGGGGGGACATTCATAGCCTCTAAGGTTCCACGTGTTATTGTCAGCCCAGGATATCCAATGAGATACGAGGGTAATCTAAAATGTGATTACACCATTCAAACAAAATCTGATGTTCTCAACCTGAGATTCTTAGATTTCGAATTGGAAATAGGTAGAACATTTTTTTTAGTAATGAAATGACATGATTATATTGTTTCGCTAATTTTAGGAGAACCTGAATGCAAATTTGACAACGTTTCAATAAACGGATATAATTATGCGAGATTTGCAGTGATGACAAAACAGGTTTATTGTGGTGATAAACTTCCCCCATCTGTAAGAATGAGGGGGAATGCTATAGTCAGTTTCAAGACAGATCCATGGCTAAGCAGAAAGGGATTCAAGCTGGAATATGCAGATGAAAGTGAGGCAAATAAATTTCATGAAAAAGTGATCGACAAAATGTGAACGACCATGAAAATTTCAAATTCAATATTAACTAGATTTTTTTCTTGTAAATTAACTGAATCTATATTTTTGCTGTTTTCTTGTAGTCCCGTACAGAAACGACGTGGAATATCCGTATTTATATATGGGTAGTTGAATTGGGATTAAAAAAAAACATGGCTTATTATTTCAAAACAGAAGTATTTGGTGGTTTCTAGTGGATTGTTCGACAGATGGTCGATTTGGTCTCACTGTTTCAGAGAGCCTTATTTGAGCATATGCTTTCGCTACAATTTTTCATAATTTTTTGTGTGCTGGTTAACCCAGATATCTGTTGGACTAAGCCCTGGAACACCCTGTATACCATAAAGAGATTGCAGTATTTAATATGTGAATGACTTTCAGGTTGTGGTGGAGATATAAAAGAAGAAACAATAATTGAATCAAAACAATTATCTGGTGCACATACTAGATATCCACTTTACTTGCAACCAAAGATAAAGTGTCTGTGGAATATTACAGCTCCTACCAACCAAATTGTCGTTTTGGCGTATGTATTTCAGATTTCAATTATGAATAATTTTCATCGGAGATTTCGTTTGAACTGAACCACGCTGAATTGAATTTGAATTTAATTTTCAGATAAAAAATAGTCGATAGATTATATATTTCTTTCAGTAAGAATGTTTCTGAATGCTGGATATTTTTCAGCCTTTGATTTCATCGATTTGATTCGAACTAGAACTAGATCTTTGATCACTATTTTTCTTTATTTTATGAGGTGTGACGGTTCAGATTCATTGTAGTTCATGTTTAGGTTGGCATAAAGTTGGTCCTATTTTTTAGGATAAAAGAACTACATATGCGTTATACTCCGATGTGTTTCGGTCAAAGTGTCGAAATTTTCAATGATCAAGAGAATAAACCCAATAGACTAGCCCAATTGTGTGGAGATTTACGTGATGAGTACCCACTAATCTCAACTTCTAATAAAATGATAGTTAAGCTACAAGCAATGCCCAACAGCTATGAAGGTTTCAAAGCTGAAGTAAGATTTTCACATGGTGAGTCACATTTTTTGAAATTGATAAAGGGCCAACAAAATTTAAAGAAGTAATCAGTTCAAAATCATTGGTTTTTTATACTCATCAAAATCATGAACATTATTCTCACTATGATATATTGTTAAAAATGTACTTTTTTATGATTATGATATTTAGGTCCAGCTGAAGGATGTGGGGGCACTATTAATTTAACAGAAACTAAGTATATTCAATCACCGAATCTGAACAACTTGGATTGTGCATGGATAATTATTGCGCCGAGAGATTATCAAGTCCAAATAGAATTCACAAAGCTCAATTTGATCAGTACTTGTGGTGGGAAGAATGAAAGCTATCTCCCATGTGACTGTTCCCATATTGAGGTAATTCTATTGAATACATTGACAATATGACTATGAACCGCAACGAACGTGTTTTTATAGGTTAGAGATGGAAGAGGCCCATTTTCAGAATTAGTGGAGAAGATATGTCCAAGCTCTAATGTTCTCAGTGATACTCGACCTATTACAACTTTTACAAATACTGCATTCCTCCGAATTTTGCTCAGAGGCAAAAAGGAAGATGCTTTCAAAGCTACTATCAAACCAATAATGTGTAAGTTGATTTCTGAATATTTGAATTATGTATTTGCAATAACTTTTTTAGTTAGATGACAGTATGATTTATTCTTCAGCTAGGCTAAATCACATCAACTAGTTCATTTACGCATGAATAATTCAAATATCCAGTCGAAATTTAGGTTATTTATTTTGAAAAAAAATTGATACCATTGACATTGACACTATATACAAGGTGTTTTTGAAATAAGTTCATAATATATTCAGCGCATCGATATGATACAGTCTAACGAATATTCATATGATATAAGATTATTTCTAATTCTTTCAATTAACGAGAAATTTAATTCCGAAAATTGAATAGAAAACGGGAAAAAATCAAGTACGCCACTTTAAAACAATTTAAATGATTGAACTCCGCGTGACTGTGCCTCTCGCATGGAAATTGTAACAGAGGTGAAATCAGAATTGCTACAGCTTAGAACTGGGTGGAAAAAGGGGTCTCATCTCAAATTTTATTTTGACCCCTAATTGTTTTTCTTGGTGCCATTCGATAGTATACGTCGAGCTTTTTGATGGTTTGAAATATTTGCACTCAATCAATCAATCAATCAATCAATATCATTTATTGTATCTGAAGAATCATATTCTTATTACAAGGAAATTGGTGTGAGCCAAATTTATATTATATACAATCGAGACACTGTTAACAGAAGTATATAAAAGAGAATAAAAAAAAACTGAGAACATTTCGAGTACAGTGCTATCCAAAGAAAACAAAAAAAAAGAAATAAAATAATGAGACGCAAAAAGAGTAGATTACTCATTAATGATGAAAGATCGTAATTTTAAGATATTCATGATGGCATGAACCAGCTGCTTCAAAGTGTCAAAAGAATGAGAATTAAGGATACCTATCAAATCATCCATATTGCTTAATTGTTCGAACAGTTCACTTCTCCGTATGCCAGCATATATAGGACATATGAATAAAATATGTGCTAAAGTCTCTCTCTCATGCAGATTACAGAAAGTACAGAGTTCTTCTGTGTTGATAATGTAAGCGGAGCCCGAGAAAGTGAATTTTAATAGTGTTTTGCTACATGTTCGAATTTGAGCAATAATTCTGGTAATGTGTATTGGGCAAGCAATTTTCAAATATTTTTGGCTGGCGTCGTACAGCATTAGTGACTGATATACATGGGGAAAATTTGATTGATTGAGGCTTTCGAGATCTCTTCTTAGCAGTGCATCTTTGAAATTTTTTATAATTTTGTTGGCTAACTTTTTCGACGGGTTGTTAATTAGAGCGTCCCACTCATGTCCCTGATCCGCCAAAACCAAATATTCCCTGACCTGGAGCAGCCAGTTGTACTTTGGATCGACATTATTCAAAGTTGAAAGTCGTAGTAGACATAGTTTAGGTAATCTTGTATTTTCCATATTGTTTAGACTGGTCAACCATGAAATAGCTGCTTTTAAAATTAAGATACTAATCTTAAAATATTTGCACTTACTTCAATGCCACCCTGTATATCTTTCAAATGGTTTGCTCGGTGTATAGAGAAGAATGTTAAAAAATGCACAATTTGGTGTGTGGGCCTAAGTGCAAAATTCGTCTATTATTATCAGAGTTTTAAATAAGGGCTTATATAATTGCACTTCATTTTTCATTTACTAGGGAAAAACGGCCAAACTCTCAAAACTGAGACATACTAGGCCTATCTGATGATTGAAAAGATTGAGTCGAAATGAGGGTGATATACAGATTCTAGCTCTACAAACCTACAACAAGAATAGCGCGGTTTTTAGTATTCTCAGTATTCTTATAGTAAGTATTTCCAGAGTTTCTTTGCTCAAGGCGCTCCAAGTGACTTTGTGAGGACTATAAGGAAATATTGTCGAATTCTGAAATACGAAATAAACACGGCGTGCATAAAAATTGTATTTCCAGTTGCTCTACCTTGAAAAAAAAATTAATATCGAATAATTTACGAAGCAATTCCAGACATACATTTATGGACATTCTCTTTCTTATTTCGATCTAAGGAATACTCTTAATAGTTTTTGCCGCATGTTTGGTAGACATCCTGTATATGGAGTTTTTGAAAACTTGAAATTCAGTTTTCGTACTATATTGATGAGTAGTACCCAAATATTATTTCTCCAAATATCGACATGAAAAATTACATATTGGCCTTGATTATTCATACAATGATGGAAGTAAGATGCATATACTAACAAGATGAAACATTTTTATGAAAGCAATGAAGTCAGACATTCTATTCAGTAGGGGGTGGTAGGTATCTATATGGGCGACTAGGTGAACAACTTTTTGTTGAGTAACGAAGGATAGCGATCGGTAATGCAGAATATATTCGAAGTTCATTTTTAGATGTTTTTATGTAAGAAAGAATGTCGCATCAGGGCCGGATTAAAATATAAATAAAGTTAGTGATTTCCCTGCTTCAGAAAGAAGGATATTCCTAGATTCCCAGAGAACCAGCCAAGAACTATGGCCAAATTTTGCTTTAACATTTTACATGCAGGTGTAAGGATATTGGCTCAGTTTTTTATTCTGTTTTTCAGCTGTTTGTGGTTCCAGTGTACTCATTGCCACCAATCAAATAAAGAATCTGACGTCTCCCAACTATCCAAATCCTTATCCACCAAACATAAAATGTACTTATTCAATATCGACCCCCAATATGTTCGACAGAATATCTCTGCACTTCATAGAATTCGATTTGACGAACGGAAACAAGAAAGAGGAACTGTACAGGTGTACGGGCGATAACATTCAGATTTACGAAGATCCTCACAGCAAAATGATTTCTGAAGGGTTAGGTCCTAATACTGTATACAATGGTGGATCCAAGAGCTTATCTTTGGTAAGAGCCCATCAATGGAAGTGAATATGAATCTATACTGGGTATTTCTTGAGTATATGTTGAAAATTTAGGGGCGGATAGGTGACGTCAAAAGAAGAAGGAAATTTCCCATAAAACTTATTATGAGAAAACGGTCCACAACGTTTTCCAGGTACAAAAAGGCAGTATTTTTGCGTCATTATAATTCACATTATTTTCCACATTAATATACAATATACATGTTTGATGCTATTTTTCTTATTTTAAGTTTTTATATTGATACCCCTTATACATCCATTTTTACTGCATTTAAGTAACATGAAGTAGATCGACTATCTTTTTTCTCAGAAGACGTTCATGGTCTGGAAATATTTCTTTCACAAGAATATCAAGAATTTGGCTGCTGAGCGATATTGAACCTCAAACGGAAGGCACGCTGCTCACGAACGTATATACTTATTACTACTATTCTTTTCAGTCTTACAATGACGTTTCTGGAAGGCATTTGTTTTGTGGTAGTGACAGAAAGCCTTTTGATTATTACTCGAATGGAAAAGCAATATCATTATCACTCGTCAGTTCCAACTCAATGGCAAAGGGAAGAGGATTCAAACTTGAATACTCTTTGGCAGGTACTGGCTATATACTATTTCTTCAATACTATGCTTCAAATTCGAATTATATCTTCATCTTGACTATCTTATTTGATTATCAGAGTTACCTACCATAATAATTGTAAAAACGTACACAGTGGCGTTGATCCTCATTACGATGTTAACTGTATTTTTTTGTGACAAATTTGGCAAGAAGCCTTGTGAATTCTGAAATAGCGATTCGAATTATATGGATTCTATCAAAAAATTGTTTATTGAAATTTCTAATCCAGTCAGTCATTCTAGATAGAAAGAAATATATGGTCCGAATTGGTAGTGTATAAACTAGAGTACCTATGTCTTTAATATTGTTCGAAGATCTATCAGCTGCTTCATTGAAAAAAAAATTAATCACCTTTCTTTCAGGTTGCAATAGAAATTACACAGAGTTACAAGGTAGAATTAATAATGGCAATGACAGAAGAGAATGTCATATTTCAATTGTGGTGCCCGATAACATGACGATATCTTTATATTTCTCGTCATTCTACATGTTTCACTCTGTTAACTGTACAGATCAAGCCTTTGAAGTAAGTTGTATATATTTCAAATTCAATTCTTGATTGAACACTTCATTTTGGAAATCAAGTGTGCTTAGACTTATTATTAGTTTTTGATATCAGTTAGGCTCAACGATGCTCAATTACAATGGCATAAAATTTCACATGCCTAAATAATGTGAAAGTTCCCGAGGTATAGGAGAAACACTAAAGATAGGTTTTATTAGGAAGTATTAAGTTGATATTATGGAGCATAAGGAAATTCAAAATGAAAATGATATATTTCGGTCCATCATCAGTAAAATATTAAATTCTACAAAAACATCAAGTGTGAAAATCACATATTATACCAGCATATGAGAATGAAGTTATGCTGATATGCTGGAGTTTACTTGCTTCATCATCTACATACTCCACTTTGAGACACTATGGACTACACCTTCACTTATTTCATTGATATTCAAAGGTGCCATATTCTCATGACAACATATCTAAATCATTCTCAACCACCAGAACATTTTTCTATATCAAGAGAATAGAACAAATCACCATACAAATAGGTTACATTCTTACGTTGGATAGAAAGTTTTTCCACCACATTAGCTGTATACAGGGTGTTCCTTAAACACATGCTAATATTGAAGGGGGTGATTCTTCAACTCATTTCAAGAAAAAAACTTTCCACTAACGTATGTCCTAAAAGTCTTGACTTTTGAGATACAGGGTGAAGTTTTTGAAGAAAAAAACAGTTTTTTAATAATAACTGGGATAATATTGTAGACATCTTCATGAAATTTGGTACATATCTTCTATGCATCAAGGTGCATGTGATGTATACAAATTTTCCTTCTTTCTGCCAGTGGCACCGTTAGGGGGATATGATTGATTATATTATACTTGAGATCTCAAGTGAGCAACGAAGGAGTATTTCCAAATTCAATAAAATGCTACAAAAAGTCATTCAATTTTGTACAAAAAAGATTTTCTTGTTGGGTATCAACGCTCCGTTTTCGAGAAAAAACGAGATCAAACTTCAAATTTTGATGTAAATGCGAAGCTTGAGTATTCTATTCAAGACATCTATTAGGTACTGGATAACCACAGTACCTATGTAGCATTTTGAAATTTTTGCACCGTCACATAGCAGAATATATTTTGCCATCAAGAAAATCTATACATGGTGGACAAAAAAAGAATCTATGTATTTCAACTTTGATACCCTGTATCTCAAAAGTTAGGAGTTTAACGAAATACGTTCATGTGAAGTTTTATTCTTGAAATTGGTCCGAGAATCGCTCCCTTGAATATCAGCATGTCATCAAGGAACACCCTGTATACCATTATTTACTTCTTTTCAAAGCGTGAAGTGTGTTTTTTCTACCAAGGTAGTTTTCGTCATTTTATGAACTACTCAGTCAATAGACATAGCCAACTCTGCTGTAATTAACCTGCATTTACTGTTCTGAAGCGAGATTCGCAGGAACGGCACTCCAATAATCTAGTAGATATTTATCAATACGACTTGTCATATGCTCTTTGAGGCGTAAAATAATCGGTTTGGTTAGTGGTAAAACCATGATGTATAAATAAATATTGTCGGTCTCATTCTGACTAGGGTCCCTTGATGGAAATTGACCTTGAAGTCATCTTAACAGGGTACGGACAGATCCTCGTCGCCTCTCACTCCAAAGTGTTTGTGAAACAGTTATATAGTTCCATCCTTATTCAATGCTGGGGATAAACACTAGATTTTTGACATTCGTTGTTTTTTAGATTATATTGAGGTCACTGGCGCATCATACGTAATTTCCATATGGAATTCCTTATTCAACTATACCAAGATATAGATGAACAATCCTCTAGTTTTAGAGTTTACTACTCCAGCATAATCTTTGCGAGGTAGTGAACATATGAATTGTACTGAAAGCTTAATATATTTCACCAAAAGAGACTGTTCTTAGACTGTATACCAGGGTTGACTGAATTGACTGAATTAATGCTGATTTCAAGCTGAGCAGTAGTTTATCTATGAGCTGAGCCTTATGATTGAGAAATGGTGGAAACCTCGATGTGGGTATCTAAACTACTGTACTCATGTCATGTGTACTACATATATTTTCGGGAATCCAACTCGGAGAAGAATTTATGGAGTGACTAATATCACACTATGTATAAAATTTCCTCTAGTAATACGTAAAATGTGCAGGAGAATGAAGAATAGAATATACTTTACCCCTATGTTAAACATATGATTTTTCCGTCTCCCTTAAATGAAAAGTCATTTTCGAATGATTTATTGATAAAAGTAACAAACAAGTAGGTATAGGTAGGCAGTATAATTTATAGGCACGTTATTTTCACTCTTGCATCCTACATATTTTCTATTTGTGGTAGAGTAATAATTATATAAACTAATGTCTTTCGCCATATTGCATCCGTCATCTTGAATTTTCCAATTTTGACGAAACAATTATTATCTCCTACCCCGAAAACCCCCAGATACCAATTTTCGAATAGAATCGGATCAACATATTATTAAAATTTTGAATGATTTTCTGTAGCGCCCATGGATGTGACGTGACAGCAATGTCAGGGATGCCAGTAGACAAAACTAAAGTCTCCAGATCATTAAAAAAGAATGCAGCTATGATCTGTCCGTACCCTGTTAGGATGACGTTAACGTCAATTTCCATCAAGGGACCCTAAGTCTGACTTACCCTGCATGTAATTCCAGGTCAGAGATGGTTCTCCCGATGGAAAAATACTGCTCACGGCTTGCGGCTACAGAGTTCCGGATCCTGTATTTTCTTTCACCAATAAGTTGTATGTGCATCAGTGGAGTCACAGAGTGATCGGGAGCCTGATGAGATTCGATTTTGTTTACACCAGTACTACAGAAGGACGAGGTTGCGGGGGTGAACTGTACAATAGCAGAGGAAAGATTTACAGCCCGATGTATCCAAACCCATTCAGGAATGATACTATTTGCACTTGGACGATCAAAGTACCTGTTGGTTTACACGCTGTATTGAAGTTCAATAGTATGTACACACAGTGTCTTTCAGAAAGTTGGTATCATGATGGGGAAACTTTCAATAATTATTCATTTTGAACTTCGACTTGAGCGTTAGGTTAAGCTTCAAACAAGATCCAAAATGGCCTACTCTGTCAAGCTCACGTGACTCGTTACATGTCAAAAGTTACATTTTTTCATATTAATTGCTGAAAATGGGCTTATTTCTATTCCGATTTCACAAATGTTTCTCGAATTTGAACATTCTCTATCTCAACTTTTAGGTTTTGATATATTTTAAGTTTCTACCAAAAATTCGGTGATGTTAAAAAATGTTAACTTCTACAAAACTGTTCAATACCACCAGCATTATATCGTGCTACTAATTTCCCATCACTAATTATCGACAGAAATATGATTTTCTATAGAAAATAATCCCGCTTCTAATTTCTGGTATGGATTTTTTCATTATTGAAATGATACCAAAACCATCTATCAAATTATCATCAAACTACTTTACGTTTCTAACCAAAGTTTAGGACAGTTGTGTATTTTTTTAATACAATATTTTAAGTTGCGCTAGAACATTCAATTTGGGACACATGTATAAAATCGTTATAGAAACAACTTCTCTCAGTAAATGTTTTCGAAATGCAAATAATTAAGCCTATTTTCAGCAATTAATTTGAAAAATAAATTACTTTCCAAATTTTGCGAAAGTCACGTGACCCCTATTGAGTCATTTTTCATATTTTTTGAAGCGATTAAAAGTTTTTCCCATATGATGCCAACTTTCTGAAAGACATATGGGAACATTTTGATGCCATTATACAGGGTAGACAATAGTAGGTCCAAGCTAGATTGCTGGAGTTCGGACGCGCTTCAATTGCCCCGCCCTGTATAGGGTCAGTCGTAAGTTTAGGACGCAGAAATTTGGATATTTTTAACAAGATGTTGATATTGTTGCCTCTTGAACATGCACACTAATAATCCTTGAACCAAATATATAGGTACCTATACTTATGAATCACCCTGTATATTTTCAGTTTTGGACATACAAGGAAGCTGTGAACAAACCAATATTAAAGTAGTGACACATGCTGGTTATGACGATGTTGTAGTGAATACTTTTGAAATTTGCAAAGATGTGAGTAATAATAAAAAATAATTTTTGCGTGGAGTACCTCTATAACTCGAAATTTATTACTATTCCAGTATCAGGTTGGGCCTATTATACGATCGGAATCGTATATAGAAATTATATATGAATCTTCGATACATAATGGTGGAACAGGGTGGATTGCACAATTCCAAGGAGTATCTAAAGGTGAAATATTGTAGAGTCGAAATATTTATCAATGCTGATTTCTTAATTTTTTCAGATGTGACTGAAATAAATTGAGGCAATAAAGGGCTAAAGGTATGAGGAGTTTGAAGCAGATACTTTTTTGTCTCTAATATCAAATGACAATGTTCATTAGGTACACTGTACATAATTTTTATTTAATAAATATTGTTCATATAATTCATCTTCCATTCACAGATGGAGGATTTTTTTTTTAAGAACGTATTCTTTCTATTCAATGGCCAATGCAACACTCTTTGAAAAAAATGAACTTGTATGGAAAAGTGGAAAACATCAAGTTGCGCCATTTCACCGTTTTTTATTGCACTTTATGTATACCTTATTTATACCCATTTTGGATTTTTCATCTTTTCAAACATTTCTACAATAATGTTTATCCGCATAATAATTATTATACTATTCAAAATAATGAAAATTCTTATGAGGTGAAGGCAAATAGTCAAAATGTTCAAAATCTACAGGGTGGAGACTTCAACTGGAATAAATTCGCTATAGGGAGGAGGTGAATGATTAATGATTTTTCTGCAAATTCGCAAGGCACGTTAACGTTTTAATGTGTTTACCTACATTTTACCCTCCAGGGGTTGCTGAAATCAGCCCCAAACTGTTGCAACCATATGGCTTTATTGGCCCCCTCATGCATTGGAAAGCTGGTTGAAACAGAGGAATCCAGCGTACTGATCAAATTTCAGTTTGCAGTACGTTTGGGGGTCGTATAAATTCAATAGATAATTTTCAAATTCATTATATTTTTACCGTATTTTCATCAAAATTTCGATTTTTAGTGACACTGCTAAGGTGAAAATACCAGTTTGCAATAACACTGAATTTCTTTTTGTGGCTCTATAAAAACGCACATTTTGAGCAATTTTGTTATGTTGAAAATACTTTCAATTTTAAAATATTTTGATTTCATGCAACCCTTGAGACAAAATACTGAAATTTCAATATTTCGCTGGATTCCTCTTTCCACCAGCTTTCAAGCAAGGGGTCATAGAATAAGCCATATAGGGTTGCATTTGAAAAAAATAAATTGAAGGTGGTTCGCAGCTCTTCCCCCAAGCATAGTCATCTTTAAATAGAGCCTGTGCCCGATGGGATATTTATTCTAGATATTGCTTGCAAAATGTTGGTAAATACTTAATATGGTAAATACACATTGAATCATTGACGTGTCGGGAATTCTTACTTTTTAGACAAAATAGTCACCTCCCCGCTAGCGAATTTATTCCAGTTGAAGTCTTTACACTGTATATCTCATTCATAATGAACTGGATGAGACAGAAAAAATAATTATTTGGTAGGTACCTATTCTTATAGGTAATATATACATATATTACTGCCATCAACTCAGAAATAGTAATTTAAAAAAGTCGATAATGAGTGAATATTTTTTCAATCAAAAAAATTAATTATTCAGATAATGAAATGGAAATATCAAATATCTAAACCTAGCATCAGGTGGGCACTTCGAAAGCGCAAATAGGTCTTTTCATTTAGATGACAAATGACAATCGTTGTTTACATCTCGCCTCCAACGACAGTGGCGGCGAAAATTTTTTTAAGGAATTATTCAAATTATTGTTGTTGACATTGACATTTCTCATTTGATGTTGATCAGGAGAATAATGTGCATGCAGAAAAAAAATCAAATTGATATCATGTTGAAGAAAGCAGGAAATAATGGAACAAAATGTACACAAGGTTTCTACAGCAGAATGATTGAGTTATAAATAGTTTTCATCTAGTATTTATTCTCCACTGAGCACCATTGACGACATGAAAAATAAAAATACAACTTTACCAGGAGCCTCTCATTCAACGATACAACTCTGTGGCTTTAAATTTACCGAAATGAAGGAAAAGTCTCACTACCTGATTCAGGTAATATGTGGTAGGTCTAATCTACATGATTTATTTTTTTAAATGTAACTACACTCTCAATCTGGAGGCTTATTTTCCATGCTGTTACTGTAAAGTGGTAGCGAAGCTAATGACTATTATTGAAGTATGTAGAAAAGGTTCAGTTTAGGAGGAACATTCTGATCTTGGTGTGCATGAAATTATTTGGAGGCTTCTTGATGCTGTTACTGTAAGTGGAATGGAAGATATGACTATTGATGTGGAAAAGGTTCATCAGTTTAGGAGGAACATTTTGATATTATGGTGTGCATGAGAGTTTTAATATCAGGCATTGATGTTATACAAAGGGATTAGTTCAGTAATAATTTTCATTATATTTTGAATAAGTACTTATTACATAAGATTTTGCTCAATTTTGTATACTTCCATACCAAAATTCCAACAGTCAGAACATTTCTGCTTGGACTCATTGATAAGTTATGCTGAGAGAGGGCATTAGTTTCTAGAGGCAAGCAGTATAAGCTTACTATTTCAATTACCACCTATCTAGTGGTATATTGAAAATATTTAGTTTTTGTTCTGTACTCATTAACTATATCATATATAGTCACAGATTAACAATAAGGTTTGTTAATCTGTGACATAGTCATCTATGAAAATATACAATAGGTACTTTAGATTATCAAAGAATAGTCCTCTGGGACAGAAATTGTTCAAAGCTTTCTTTAATATGAATAATCAACACATTATTTTGTATCTGGACGAAAGGCCACATTTGATTATTCACAAGCAAAATAAAAATCAAGACCATTCTGAGTTATTTAATTATTATAAATTCAAATTAGTGAATAATATCAAGGAATACATAAAGAATGTCAGATCATTTTCTGATATCAAAATGATAATACTCCTGTTCAAAATTAAGGCACCACTCACATTTCTTTGAGTTTTAAATTTTTCTACCATAGCATTTAATTTTGCTCAAGTTCTCAATATTTGAATAAGGATAACTCATCCTCAATGCAATACTCTCTGATTACCCTTATTTATATATTATTATCCTAATAATTTACTAGAAATTGCAATATAAAGAATATATCAAAATGATTATTAATGACTACAGGTGTATTATCTAATGCCATATGCTTACAATATAAATCAAACTATTTGAAAGCTTGAAAAGTCCAGTCTGTAACATAATGTTATATGCAACAATTTCTGATAAATTTGTGATTACTTCATTAGATCATTAAACATAATATTCAAATTATAACTAACATATATCATTCATTTATTAATCAGTTTTGCTGTGAAAATAATAAAGGAAAGCACATTTTATAATTAGGTATTTTCAAAAAATTCATACATGACAGCATTCCTGATTCACAAATTTATTACAATTCATTATTACTGTTTCACTCCTAGAAAGTCATGAAAACAAAATATAAACATTTCAAAATTAACAGATCATTTATTCATTATTTTTGATGTTAGAAATAAAAGGGAGCAATTGTATAGTTATTATATAAAAAAAAACATCACTATATCTTTACTGATTCTCTTCTAGAAAATAATTAGAAGAAATTATGAACATTGCAAAATAACATAGAACATTAATGTATTGAAAATAAAGGGTAGCAAATGTTATAAGTTATTACATCAAAAAATTGTTCACACTACATCTTTACTGATCCACTTCCTCTAGAAAATAATTAACACAAAATATGAAAATTTAGCAGTAACAGAACATTTGATGAGTATTAAGAATGAAGCCAGCAAATATATTTACAGTTGTTATTATATTGAAAATATATGATTCACTTCTAGAAAATAACTAAAACAAAATATAAACATTACAAAATAAAATATATCATCGATGAATTATTTTTGCTGAGTATTAAAAATGAAGGGGAACAAATGTTATAACAGTTATTACATAAAAAATTCTTTACACTACATCTTTACTGATTCACTTCTTGAAAATGATTGAAAGCAAATTAAGAAAGAGATTTAGAACTAACACAGAACATTTATTCATCATTTTTGATAAGTAGGTACTAAGAATGAATCCATCAAATGTAATAATAGTTATTATATCAAAAAAATCATTACTCTACAGCATTAGGTAGTGATTTACTTCTAGAAGTTATTCAAAACAAAATATTGAAATTTAGAACAAACATGGAACATTTATTCATCATTGTTGCTGAGTAATAAAAAATAAAGGGAGCTAAATATAATAATATAATTATTACGTTCAAAAATTCATTACACTACAGCACTACCAATATCAACTTCTAGAAAATAACTAAAACAAAATATGGAAAAATTGAACTTATTCATTATTTTTGATAATTAATAAGGATTAAAATGATTAGTCATTATATTGACAAAACACACTTGAGAAGAGAAATATAATACATTATACTGGGTGACACAATGTAACTCTTAGTCTTTACGGTAGAAGGAGAATAAAATGAACCTACTCACAGGGGATTTTTTTTCTTCCTCAAAACACAAGATACGTTTTCACTATATGAGAAGATATACAGGAAGCAACAAAAAGTGTAGGAATTTTGAATAGAACACCCTATATATCTATCTATAAATCGAGGTATATTGATGTTATCTATGACAATCAATTCTCATTGGTAGTGATCACTGAAAATCATTATTGTAATCATTGAAAAGGCCTCCTTTTGAAAATCATTCAAAATCGATCAAACTTTATTATTTCTGAATGCTCATAAACTGAGAAATAGTGTTCCAATTCAAAATTCACACACTTTTTGCTGCCTCCTATATATTTTTCTGTAGGTAAAAATTTATTTGTCAATTCTCGTCGGCAAAAAATCCCCTGTGAGGCTATTTTAGTTTTTTTTCTACTGTCAAAAATAAAATATTCTTGGGGGTGGTACTTTTCTAATGTGTCACCAGGT